CACACCACACTTCATCAAGGTCAAGTCTCAATGTGATGTATTGTTATGTCATGTAAAAGTCTCACACCACCCTTCCTCAAGGTCAAGTCTCAATGTGATGTATTGTTATGTCATGAAAAGTCTCACACCACCCTTCATCAAGGTCAAGTCTCAATGTGATGTATTGTTATGTCATGTAAAGTCTCACACCACCCTTCATCAAGGTCCAGTCTCAATGTGATGTATTGTTATGTCATGAAAAGTCTCACACCACCCTTCATCAAGGTCAAGTCTCAATCGCGCACCACCCTTCATAATTTCAAGTCTCAGAATTCTATTTGTCCGTAACACGGAAGTATTGCTTCCCAACTTCCTTTGACTAGTATATACTGTACTATATAAGAATAATATTATTATTATGTAATTCCACTATATTACTATTTATTCTATATATAGGATCTTCAGTTCCCAGGAACCCAGCAAGTGGTGGCCACGCTTCAGGAAGGTGCTGGTTCTCTCGTATGGTCCTCCGGCTATACAGCTCTCTGAGTCCATGGCTACCCCCCGTGGGCCCACAGAAGTTCGTTTCAATCACGTCCCTGGGCCCGGTCTGGGGGCGATCCTGGAAGGCTGGTCTGATGAATTGCCGGAGCCCAGTAATGTGGACAATTATATATTTGGATATATCTATGGTACACGATAGAACTCGGCCCTAAATGACTGGCAACAACCCATGGGTCCATGGGTCATGGTTAATTCGGCTAGCATGGGTCATGGTGACCAGTTGCTACCCATGTGCTTTCAATGATTCGTTTTTTTTTTAGTTGTTTTCTTGGGGAAAAAATAATCCCAGGGGATCCTATCATAACTACAAGCTACCCAAGCTACCCAAGACCGCATTTGACTCACCTGACACAGAAGTTGTAAGGCTCGGCGGCCATCCAAGACCAACAAGGAACTTACAAACCAATCAACCAATATGATGAGACATATATAAGATTATATAAGTACATGTTAAGCCAACATCACTTTTAAAAAGATTCCAAACTTATTTCAGGGGAAATTCCTTAAGAAGCCAAGGCAAATGTTCCCGTGCCATTCCTTACCCATTTTTTGACCTGGATATAGAAACCCCACCAGGAACTTAGATCCTTTTGCGCACGGGAAACACGTGGATGTCTAGATCTATTATGTCGTAATAGTTTAGTGTATAAATTATTCTAAATTGTATAAACCCCATTAACTCTAGATTCCACATACATATATAGGTATACACATACATATATAGGTATACACATACATTAATTATATATATATTATATATATAATAAATTAATCATATATCATATATCTACCATAAACCCACCCAACCGTTACGTTAGTTATGGTATCCAGTGTTCGGGAGGTAGCGCTTCGGGGCTATGGCTATCCACTGTTTCGAGCTACGACTTGAGTTTCTCAACCACATGATCGTATATGATTTGTTTAGTATAAACATGTATAAACGTCTAATTCCTCCTGGTGACTTTACTAAGATTCACTATGGTTCACTCGCTTAGTTAACATTAGTTAACGTTCATCATGAATCCCCATCGTTTGCTGATGAAAAATCCCAATTTTTGCAGGTGAACTCCTCGGTTTCTGACGACTGGGGTGAAAAACCGTTCAACTTGCCAAACGGAGCTGAGGCCAAGACCTCGAGGCATTTGGTGCCTTGGCCACAGACGGGAATCAGTATATATATATATAGAGAGAGAGAGATATAGATATAGAGATAGATATAGATAGAGAGAGAGAGAGAGTCATCCCGAAATAGATGGCAAAGTACATCCCTACTATATAATTTGATGATGTCTTACTTGTCCATCTATTTGGGGACGACTTGACTAATTAGTGTGCGTAAGCCAAAAAGAACATGTTGAGGGGTATCTAAGATCAGTGTCATAGTCGAATCAGACTTTGAACATCTTGGAATAGGAATTGGATGGCCGGCGCAGACCACCTGAGGCTCTGTGCGAGATTGCCTCCCAAGTCACCACGAAGTTTTTTGCTCGGCGCCTTAGATCAGGGGCAAAAAAGACCTGCTGGAAGATCCATTTCCAGCAGGTGTCCCCCAATGAAAAGCTGGAGAAAACCTCCAAAGTTCAATCATTTTGTGATACAAACCTTAGGCTGTTTAGTTTGGTTATTTTAGACATCATTCTCAGGTAGTGGGATTCGGCTTGTATACAGCCATGTCGTGATCATTCGCAGAGAGGATATGAGACGATGGGCACCAAAATTGAAACCGGAATGTAAAAGAACTCGTATGGATCTGCATGCAAAGACGTCCAGCTTAAGGAACAGAAGCAAAAGTATCATTACTTCATTTCCCTTACCACCAGCATTTGCTTATTCTGCAAATGTGTGGTCGCAGCTGAACATCAGCCAGTAGAAAGAGCTGCTGGCGCGCCATTTGACATGGATTGCAGTACCGATCATTTGTTCTTTTCCATCAGTTCTTGCGATCTCAGCGATCTCAACTAAGCTTCATGTTTTACAGAATAGAGCAGATATAGATTGTACAGAGAAGCAGTGAAGTTTGCACGGTGTTACTACTAATTATCTACGTACAGTTTTCTGGGGTAAGATAGATGACACTGCGGGTGCGCCAGCATGGGGCCATCCTATACCATCCTTATTCCAACATGGCATGCAACACCTCATATCGTGCATCTGCATTTAGACCCGCGAAGTACACCATATATCCATATCATAGCTTGTTGGTTGGTTGGTTTTTCCATATATTGGGAATTTCATCATCCCAACTGACTATTTTTTTTCAGAGGGGTAGGTCAACCACCAACCAGATAGTCACCAAAACCATGTCTGGGAATCTTTGCCAAAACCAACATGACCCGTTCGTCATCCATCTCCCGTTTGGGTTGGGCCACAAGCCCGTTTTGGGACAGGTCAAGCATGGTCAAGCCCTGTATCTGGTTGAATCACGCGAAATTGAACTGCCAATGTTTCAGGATTTTCCCCCCTGTATAACTGCTAAATCACTTTAAATCACCATGTTTCATGTTTGTATCGTGTTGCATTTCCAATTGTTTGGTTGATAGAATCCTCAGATATCAATAGATATCATCATATCATCCCCTTTCTTTTGGGTGAAGCCTGGTGAGCACCTTGCCGAGATCTTCTCTGACATCTATCACCTCATTTCTGGCGCCTTGGTTGGAATGGAATAATAGATATGTTCAAGGAAAGGTTGAGGGAATGGAAGACAACGTCAAAACTGGATAATATGGATGTGACATATGTAAGGGATCATGCATTTTTGAAATACACACACACTATCACACACTTATATGAACACTGAATAGTATGTATACTGTATGTATATATATAATATATATATATAATATATATAATATATATATATATATATATAATATATAATATATATATATATATAATTATTTATTTATTTATATTATTCATATGTACACAAGATTTATTAGATTTGAGATTGCGTTCTCCTCCGGAAAATGCCAAGGCCTTAGACGATCTCTGAAATATAAGTGCAAGTAAATGTGGCATTCTTGGGGGGATGGCTATGGATGGTAGGCCACCACGGGAAATGTCAGTTATCCCACCATATCCCACCCAAGATAGGCTGAGTTCTGTTTTCCCCCACGAAAAATGACACCTTTTTGCCCATGATCAGATAATGATACATACTATTACATATTATACATAAAAATATAAATATGATATATATATATATATGTGTGTGTGTGCGTGTGTGTGTCAATGTTCGAAGGGTTATTTGATATCTGAACATTATTTTAGGTTGCCCTTTGGTGTTCACACATGGCTAGCCAGGGAATTCCCAAGCTAAACGGAGGTTTCTAGCTGGTAAAATAATCCTCTACTTCTTATGTATGATCTTCCAGCGAGCCAGGTTTGATGACCAGTGGCTAGATCCCCAATAGTCCTTACAATATCCCATGATATATCGGATTACCCCCATAAAACCTCCCATTACATCATATTCCGTCCCCATAATTATGCTTGAAATCTTAAATATCTCCCCAACAATCCTGAACACATTCCATTACAATCATTACATCCCCCATGGTATCCCAACAATGTTGAAATCCCCAGGAATCAGTAGATGGGTGAACCCCCTCCGTCGAGGTCCCGCCTCTGTCCTGGTAGATGGTGAAGGCACTGGCCCCACTGGAGGTTAAAATTGTGATGTTGGAAAGATATGAACAGATTGCAATCTTAGGATCATGATGATGATGATGGTGATGGTGATGGTGATGTTGTTGTTGTTGATGATGATGATTATTATTATTATTATGTATATAATTGTATGTACACACACATATATATATGCATATATGTGCACGTATGCTTACTAAGTTACTGTATGTCTATAGTCTGTCATATTGTTTACGTACATACATATATGTTGGTTGGGTTGGCCAGAGTTTACCACATGACTTTGCAAGCTGGCACTGGAGCGGTTCACCATCGAACTGGCCAGGAAGCGTTGCTGCTTGGCATTGTGACTCCCCGCAATCCAGAAAAACTCAAGTTTGGTGCCCAACAAACTGCCACCTCTTCTTGATTTATCATGGTGTATCCCCACATTTTGTTGGTTCATTCCCTAGCTTGTTGCTAGATGAGTATGGAATTGTCTCTTCATGCCATGCCATCCATTTACCATGCCATCCATCATGCCATGCATAGCAGGCCGACCAGTCCTACCGTATCTGGATGCAAACTCTCCGGACTGCGCTTCAACCTTTGGGATTCTTGTCCGTTTTTCGTGGGCTTTGACCGCTGGGTCTGCATTTGGAGGAATTCAAAATCCCTTGAAACGGTGGTTTGATCTATAAATATCGATATATATATATAATCACCGGTGTTTACAACATTTTCCAACATAATAGCTCTAACAGTTGAATATCGAATTTAGAGGGGCAGACAGAAACCTCGTTGTGGTTGGTGCTGTGTGATGTGTGGAAAAAAGGACCACATGGCAGCAACGGCTTTGGGTCAAGGCTTGAAGGTTATCATCGCAACCTGTGGCGAAAAGACATGGGAACGAATGCACATATCCTACACTATAGGATGCTCTAGATTTTTTGTGGACTAGTCTTGGAGTAGGGAGATCTCAATTACGAGGATTTTTTACGACCTTACCATGACACTCACATAGTTTATGCTTAGTCAGGGGGATCAATCCATATCAATCCCAGGTTCACCAAACGTTTTAGGATGGCGAATTTTGAAACACATCAGCCAGACTTCGCAGTTTTCAGACCTGGAAGTGTCAACTTTCAATCCGCTATTTCAGGTGCGGCCCATCCTTACAACAGGCGGGAGTGGTGGAGCTGCAGGTTTCCCAGAAGCGGAGTCAGAACCTTGACGTTGGATTGCTGTATGCCATTGTATAGCCATACGGGGTGGTCTCAGCCCCATGTTCATAGGGAATTCTCCTGGCCAATGTTTGAGATTTCCAAGTTCATGGTGGGATGATGATAACCCAGAGAAACACCCCTGTAATTTGATCATTCTTTCCGTTTTTTTCCTTTGTGCAATGGACATGTACTATCTATAATATACCGTGCATAGGCATGGATGTTGTTGAACCATATGGTGAACTGTGCTTTCATGTAAGCATTGCGTGTTTAGATACCCAGATCATCCATATCCAAAGCATGCACCTTTGTGCATTGACAATCCTTCACCTTTTCGAAATCAGCGTTAAATGATCGTATAGTAACCACCAAAAAACATAGAAAGCAACCTCATCTAAGTTATTACTATTTTGGTGGGATTTTGCCTTTGGTTCATTTCTATCTGATTCTATCCTCGTGGAGGTTCCTATAGCTTTTTCTACCGCTACTCAGCCAGGCACGGCAACTCTTTGGAATCCAGTTGCAGCGCCACTTTGTGTCTTGGTTGACCATCAAGATGGGATGAACAAGATATTGTAAAACTCAGGGCCTCACCGTGATACTCATACTCACACAATTGATGTTAAACATATATATATATATACACGTAGAAGTATATATTTGACTATTAGTGTAGTATAAATATATACTTATATACTATAAAAAATAGGGCAACTTAAGGGGATAACTAATTCGCCCGAAATGATCAGCATTTTGGGGTTGAAGACACCTATTTTACCGTAATTCAGCCACATTAGATGACATAGATGTTTTCCCCATCTACCAGGTGAGGGTCTCTAGATTTTATCAGAGTTACTTCCCTCCTCCCTCCTTCCTCCTTCCTCTTCCTTCCTCCTTCTTCCTCAACTGCGAGCTCCAGATCTCAGTGGGCACTGTCGGACCCCAACTGCGAGCTCCACATACCAGTGGGCACTGCCAGGCGGAGAGAATGCCAGAAAGGATGCCAGAAAGAATATCAGAAAGAATGCCAGATGGAATGTCAGATGCAATGTCAGAATGGATGCCAGATAGGATGTTAGAATCGATGCCAGAATAGAATGTCAGAATGGGATGTCAGATAGAATGCCAGAATCGAATGATAGAAGATATTTGCCAGAAAATAGCATGAGCGGTATGCCATCCATTCCATTCCATCCACTACAGTCATTCCATAGTCATTCCATTCATGCCATTATCTTCATTCCATCCATTTGCTTCCAGTCACCCCTTTTACTTTTTCATCCACCATTCATTCATCCATCCACCCATCCACTCATTCATTCATTTGTTCATTTATTATTTCTGTCCTTTCTCCATTCATTCAATTCATTATTTCCTTCTTCCTTTCTTTTGTTCTCTCCTTCTCTCTTTTTCTTTCCTTCTTTCTCTCATTCGTTCATTCGTTCATTATTAAATCATGTCTTTATTCAATTATGCGTTCGTTGATTCTTTCAATCGTTCGTTCAATGTTCATTCATCAAATTAAATCAAACTATTTTTTCATCTAATCATTCATTCGTTCCTTCGTTTGTTCATCTCTGATTTTCATGGGTTCATAGATTCTTTTATTTATTCATTCATTCATCCATTCAGTCAGTCAGGCAGTGACTCAATCAATGAACATTTCAACCAATCATTCATTCATCATGCAACGGTTCAAGCAGTCACTCAGTCACTTAGTCATTCAGTCATTCGTTCGGTTCGTTCTATTGATACTTTTTTATTCCGTTCATTCATTCAATCCTTTCAATCATGCATTTGTTTGTTGATTTGTTTAATTCTAGTCATTCCATTCTGTCCTTTTTGCAGTCATTCCAATCCTTCCTTCATTCTGTGCAATCCGTTCTTTCCAGTCACAGTCTTGCTGTGTATTTCGTTCATGTCTTCCATTTTGTTCGCTGCGTTCATTCCTTTCCTGTCCTGTCCTTTCCATCCCAATGCATTCCACTCCATTCCATTCCCGCCCAGTCAATTAGTCATTTATCCATCCATTCAGTCAGTCTTTCCTTTAGTCCATTCAAGTCCTTCCAGTCATTCCAGTCATCCAGTCGGTCATTCAATCATTCATTCATTTGTTTGTTCTACATGTGCACATGCATCCAGCCGCTCTGTCATCCAGTCGATCAGTCATTCAGTCATTCAATGAACCAGTCATTCCAGTCATTCAATCATTCAGCCATGTATCCATTCAGGTTTACAGTCATTCACATGTTTTTGTTTCCTTCCTTCCTTCCTTCCTTCCTTCCTTCCTTCCTTCCTTCCTGCATACATACACAGGTTATCATATGTTCATTCATTTTTTTTGTTCATTTCATTCTTCCATTCCTGTCGGTTTCATTCCTTTACCTTCCCTCCCTTCTCTTCCCTTCGAAATTGTATCCTCCCTACTTGCCTTAATTTATCCCAGGGTCAATGCAGGTTGACACCACAACTTGTGATGCGAATGCATCATTGAAACCCACCATGTTTATCCAGGTTCAGTGGTTAAATCAGTTTGGTTCGCATTTATCAGTTTTCTACATGTTTGTAACTTTAAATTGCGTAGATCCACAGTTTAAATCCATGTTTGTCGCTGAAGTCAATGAAATCCACCATAACTTGACCCTTTTTCTCGGCCTCCAACATCCCTGCCCGGACCTTCGTCGGAAGCCACCGAGGATACCTTTGACGTGGTCCTTCGCACCGCACAGATTCAACGCTTCTGCGAGGACTGGCAGCTGGCCGCCCCGCAAGGCGGGGATGATGGGATGCATATTTGGGATAATTACTGGCATAGCTTGGGCCCTGCCCCCCCCACTAACAGTTCCAAACTGCCCACCCTTCATAAACCACATACTAGAAAAGCACAATCATATTGGTGGTAACTCAGGCCATTTTAGGGGATCCTTAGGGTCTGCTTAGGAGAAAATGTGATCTAGGTGGGCCGTACATGTAACAAAGCGTGGAGTAGTGAATGCAACAACATCACTACCTTTGAGGTGACATTGTTTATGGTTAAATCATTTAAATCATTTTAACGAACATCCATTTGTATTGCGCCATATTGTTGGAGCCATCAGGACATGTTTGCTGAACTTGTCATCAACTAGCCAAATCAAAGTATCGATGTTGGTGTTGATCTCCTCGGATGGTTGGAAAGTTGGAATGGCCCTGAAAAGTATGACAGCTGACATGACTATGTTATCTTAATATTTGTATGTCAAATAGCAATGGCAATGATATGGTATGATGATGCAAGGTGTTGTACCGAGATGATGATGTGATATAATGACAACCTGTACAGTATTGATCGCAGCATACCTGAGATACCGAGATACCGCAATCAAACGGTCCAACCATTGTAAGTTTTAAGTTATAAGCGTTACAAAGGCGTGCCTCCAACAATAGCTGTTGAGGTCCTCAATAGACATCATGTGATATATAATTACATTTTTTCACATTCCCGCTCCTGGCATGGGCTCACTCCTGAGAGATTCTTTTGGAAAGGAGGTTGGAAAAAGGAAATGGTGTGAGACATTTGCTGGGCCGCTGGTCCGAAGGCTGTCGAGGTCAGGCGGCCTGAGCTTCATTTTTTCCAAAGAAATGCTGATTTTATTATGCTTTGTTTGCTTTTTTTTTGTGCTTTTCCGGCGCTCCCGAGCACAAAAAAAAGCACAAAAAAACCACAATTCACACCAGAAATAAACACAAACAAAATCACAATTCATACCAGAAAAAAAACAATTCCTACCACAAAAAAAGCACAAAAACAAAACACAATTCATACCACAAAAAAAGCACAAGAAAAAACACAAAAAAAATACAAAAAAAAAACAATTCATACCAGAAAAAAAGCACAAACAAAAACACAATTCAGACAAAAAACAAAAAAAAACACAATTCATACCAGAAAAAAAACGCAAAAAAACAACAATGCATACCACAAAAAAAGAGCACAAAAAAAAAACACAACTCATACCAGAAAAAAAAGCACAAAAAATACGTTACTTCGAGTGACCCCCACCATGACATTTATACGTTTTGATACTGGCAAATCTTCTGGCATTCTATCTGACATATCTTCTGGCATTCTATCTGGCATATCTTCTGGCATTCTACCTGGCATATGTTCTGGCATATCTTCTGGCATTCTATCTGGCATATCTTCTGGCATTCTACCTGGCATATCTTCTGGCACTATCTGGCATATCTTCTGGCATATCTTCTGACATTCTATCTGGCATTCTATCTGGCAAATCTTCTGGCGTTCTATCTGGCGAACATTCTGGCACTTTATCTGGCATACGTTCTGGCATTCTATCTGCTATTCTATCTGGCATACCTTCTGGCATTCTATCTGGCATATCTTCTGGCATTCTATCTGGCATATCTTCTGGCATTTTATCTGGCATATCTTCTGGCATTCTATCTGACATGCTATCTGGCGTTCTATCTGGCATATCTTCTGGCATTCTATCTGGCCGTTGAGGTCCAGCGGTGCTCACTGAGCTCAGAAGGTCCCAGGTTGAGGTCCAGCGGTGCTCACTGAGCTCGGCGGATCCCAGGTTGAGGTCCAGCGGTGCTCACTGAGCTCGGAAGGTCCCAGGTTGAGGTCCAGCGGTGCTCAGGTCCCAGGTTGATGGCCAGCGGTGCCCAGTGCGCTCAGACCCTTGCAGTTGAGGTCCAGCAGTGCCCACTGCGTGCGGAAGTTGGCGAAGAGCTTGGCGAAGAGTTGGCAAGGCGGAAGTGGACCTGGAAGTGGATGCAGAGGTGGTGGAGGAGAAGGAGGAGAAGGAGAAGAAGGAGAAGGAGAAGAACAACCCCGATAAAATCTAACAACCCTCACCTGGCAGGTAAGGAAAAACACAGTTCATACCCGAAAAAAAAAGCAGAAAAAAAACACAATTCATACCACAAAAAAAGCACAAAGAAAACCACAAGTCATACCACAAAAAAAACACAAGTCATACCACAAAAAAACAAACACAAAAAAAACACAAGTCATACCGAAAAAAAAGCACAAAAGACACAAGTGATGCGCGTTTTCAGCCCGTTCGTTCTTGAAATGTTGAGGGGAAAACATTGTTTAATTTGTTTTCTATTGCCAGCAACCACAAATCATACCACAAAAAAAGCAAACACAAAGAAAAAAAACACAAGTCATACCAGAAAAAACACACAAAAAAGCACCAACTCATACCACAAAAAAAAAACACAAAAAAACACGAGTCATACCAGGAAAAAAACACCAAAACTACACAATTCATACCACAAAAAAAAACAGAATTCATACCAGAAAAAAACACCAAAAAAACACAAGTCATACCACCAAAAAAGCACAAAAAAAAACAACACAATTCATACCACAAAAAAAGCACAAAAAAAAAACAAAGAAAGGCATTTTCCTTTTTGTTTCTGCTTCAGTTTCTGCTTCTTTTCTGGCGCTGTGCTTTGGACATATGGGATGGAAAGATCGTAAAACGCAAATGTATGGGGGCATCAGCTGCCTCGCCAACATTTCATTTTTTGTAGGAAGTCTCACAGAATTGCTTCGTTTTAACATCTGCAACTTGCATTTTTTGCAGGAAGTCTCGTAGATTTGCTGAATTCTTACCGTTCAAAGTTCCATGTTTGAAGGATGTCTCGCAGAATTTCTTGGGTTTCACGCCTGCAACTCAAAAGACAAACTTAAAAAGACAAACGTGAATGGAGTGTTCGATGAACAGATAGGTCGATAGATGGATGAATAGATAGATGGATAGATAAATACATTCTTATATAGATACAGTAAATTCTTAGATAGATAAGTTCTTAGATAGATCAGTTAGGTACAAAGATAGATAGACAGACCGCCAGACAGATAGACAGATAGATAGATGGAAAGACGTTGCATACAGACAGATAGATATAGATAAATAGATAGGTAGGTAGGTAGGTAGGTAGGCTGACTAAATAGGCAGACAATAAATAAAGACATATGGACAGATGGACGGATGGATAGGTGGATGGATGGATGGATGGATGGGTGGATGGACGGATAGATAGATAGATAGAAAGATAGATAGATAGATAGATAGATCTATCTATACGTAGATAGATAGATAGATAGATCTATCTATACGTAGATAGATAGATAGATAGATAGATAGATAAATAGATAGATAGATAGATAGGCAGATAGGTAGATAGATAGATAGATAGATTTGATTAGGTTAGGCTAGATAGATAGATAGATAGATAGACAGACAGATAGGTAGATAGATAGGGATATAGTTTCTTAGATAAATAGCTGCGCCAAATAGAAAGATAGATAAGAAAAGAAACGCACAGATAAGATAGGATAGGATAGATAGATATAGATGGAGATAGATGGAGATAGATGGAGATAGATGGAGATAGATAGATATACACAGAGATAGATATAGATGATATAGATAGATGTAGGTAGATTCAGATAGATTAGATAGATGTAGATAGTTGTAGATAGGTATAGACAGATATAGATAGATAGATATAGATAGATAGATTTAGATAGAAAGACAGACAGACAGATAGATGTAGAAAGATATAGATAGATATAGATAGATTTAGACAGATATAGATTTAGATTTAGATAGATAGATAAATAGATAGATAGGCAGATGGACAAATGCAAAGATGGACAAATAAATGGATAGATCGAGCAATAGCGGGGCAGATCGCCCCCCATTAGCCATGCTGTCTGCAGCCAGTAGGTCTGCATCCGGCGAGTGCAGCATGCATTGGAGCATCCTGTGAGAGCCCACTCTGTAGCTCCAGCAGTCATGCCTCCGGCGAGCACAGCATGCACTCCAAAGTGATCCAAAGTGCGACACTCCAACCACCTGTCGATCCGTCAGCGGCTTGCTCTGCCGGCCATGCAACTCACCAACGCAACACTTCCTGTAGTCCTATAGGTTTCCTGAAGCTTCCGCCGCCGCCTTGTGTGATTCTACTGGCAAGCAACCATACTGCTCCCATTAGTTCAACGATTGGAATGATTAGTTGGGATGATGCGATTTTTCAATTACTGTCTGTACTCTCCCGAAAACCAACGTTGGGCAAAAAAAAAGGGTTCCATGTTAGCGCACCCATGTTAAGATTCATGAGCGGGATGAGGGCTCGGCTAGGTATAGGTGCCATGTTGGTGCTGCTGAATTTGGACATTTTGGCACACTTTTTGGCTGCATGGCATGCTAACATAGAACCCTACAAGCTGCCAGTGAGTGTTCATCCAAAAGTTCCTTGTTAGCCATGGCGGCTGACACAGGGAGTGACAATCGAAGTATTGAACACACATGCACAATGTTAAAACTTCAAAATGTTACAAGGTGCCCATTCAGGTTCCAAGTTGGGTTCCCGGTTGGTTTGTTTCGGGCGGCTCTGCAAACTTACCACGCTGTTGAAAAATGTTGAAAATGTATTTTGAAATAAATTTTCACCTACCAGGTCGAAGGGGTGCCCATTCACGTTCCAAGTTGGGTTCCAGGTTGTTTTGTTTCGGGCGGCTCTGCAAACTTACCACGCTGTTGAAATAAATTTTCACCTACCAGGTCCAAGAGGTGCCATTCAGGTTCCAAGTTGGGTTCCTGGTTGGCCCTAGGGGTCCCCTCGCTTTCGTGCTGTCGTTTTCCACCAACGCGCGCGCGCGTTGGCGAAAAACGATGCTCACCCCGACTCGTTGCATTGGGATCAGCCCGGTGGAACCGCTATGGGGAGACACAACGGGGAGAAAACGAAAGGAGAAAACGAAGCACGAAAGCGAGGGGACCCGCAGGGCCAACCTGGAACCCAACTTGGAACCTGAATGGCACCTCTTGGACCTGGTAGGTGAAAATTTATTTCAACAGCGTGGTAAGTTTGCAGAGCCGCCCGAAACAAACCAACCTGGAACCCAACTTGGAACCTGAATGGGCACCCCTTGGACCTGGTAGGTGTTTTTTTAAAAACATATTTTATCGATAAATTGTGCGCACAATCAGTTTTAAAACATTCAGTGGATCATTTTCAAGGTATTGCAATGAAAATTTGAAAGGTTTTTTCAAAATATTTTTTGGATAGAAATCAGTTTTTAAAAAATATCAAAGTATGATACCTTCAGCGCGGCACGAAGTGAAGTTGGTTCGGCCGGAGGTCACTAACATGTAATTTTCAGGGAGAACATCTTAAAGACCATTTGGGTTCCAGGTTTAACGGTTAACCTGCAAATCACCCTTCAAGTTTGCAAATCGCTTTGTGACAACTTGTTCAACTTCCAGGTTGGCCGTTTCAGGGTGCAGTTTGGGTTCAGTTTGGGCCTGCATTGGGTTCCATGTCAGTTTTTGAGTGATTTTATCAAAAAGTTAGTTGCATGATTTCCTGGGGAACAAAATCCACTTGAGACCGTGCCATAGGTTCATGTTAGCAGACCTCAGGAATAGCATGCAGTTCCATGTTGGATTTGGGAAGTGTACTTCAATAAAAAATGTATTCATTATTTCATTAAAGCGTAACTATCCCAATTATTTCCCGATAATTTTCCCGGATTTTCTTGGAAAAAACAATTATTCGTGGTTTAATGATCGTATTTTGCCTTATGGATCCAAATACTTCCCGAGAAGGGGCCTGTTGTTACCCCCCCAAGCATAGCCAAATACTTCATAGGGATGAAATATATTTGATGATACTTTGTTTTTTTCAATGATGCCTCACGGACATCAAACCAAGAAGTGTTGTTCCCCCTACACCGTTGAAAGGGTTAACCCATTTTACAGTGGTCATGACTGATGGCCTTGACGGGTTGGAACCATCCTAGTCCATGTGGACAAAACCTCGCTGACATGTTTTTTTTGCACACCCAGCCTCTCTTCTTCCTGGCACATATATGATCTCAGCTGATCTGCAGGTTGGGGTGAGACGTTGAGACCGACCCATTCTTGAGTGTGCTATTACCAAGTTCCTTATGGATCCTTACGGGATCAATACATTTGGCACCATCCAATATTTATCAATATTTGATTGAAAACCTTCCCATTTTCTCCAATGATATTCCATCAATCAAAAACTACATTTTCATATTTTCATCGCATTTTTACCATTAAATAAATTTATCCATGATTTTCCCACATGAACCATGACAAACTGGTGATTTTTGCCCGGTCCTTTCAGCCACATTTCCAGGCAGCTTTGAGACCTGCGCGGTGGAATTCGGACCCACGGCCGACGCACCCTGGCCAGACTGCGGGTAAGGGAGGGTGTCTTGAAAAATGCATAAAAATGCAATGCCAAAGTGATACATCGTGTAATTTTGTGGAACCTGGTGATCATACGCAAGATGCACTCCCCAAATTTCTAGTCGGCCTAACTCGTTCCAAATTTTGTTTCCCTCTTAAGCACAGTAATGAATGAATGGTTCAATGTTTTATTTTTGAATCGCATGGACGAGTACCAACCAGCTCAAGTTTCAGCCGCAGTTTTTTTGCAAGGTATCCGATTGGTCATTCCTCCGATGTGAGTCCCCGCGCATTCTGCAACCTAGTGACGTTGAGACCCCAAACAATCATTTCATGTACGGGACGGGAACGTCTCTTTTCCATGTTCGAAATTGTGGACACCCTATACAGGCTATGTGAGATTTCCATTGTGTAGTTGCCATTTGGGTGTGTTTGAAAATGGGGTGTATCCCTCAAATGGCCAATTTAATAGGGACAGTGGTGATTATCCAGCGGACAGGTACTCGTACCCTATATTTAGACAGCCATTTACACCGGCCAATTATTTTACCTCACAATGCCCGAGCTCAGGATTTCTTTGCTTGGGCGATCTCTCGGGGCCAGTCCCCCTTTGAGTCCTATGTGCCCAAGGAGGGGATCAGACTGGGTTTGGCTCACTGTGACGTCACTGAAATGAAATATAATGAAAGGATGTCATCCGCCACTGGCCTTAATTAATGGGGGAGGGCTGCTGAAAGTACCGTGTGGGTCTCAATTCTGATTAAAAGTCAATCATTGTTATTGCAATTTATCCAAAAATCCCTAATATGTATATCTGGTTGGTGGTTCAAACATTTTAAATTTCCACAATACATGGGTATCCTTCCCATTGGCTAATATTTTTCAAGATGTTTAAAACCACCAACCAGATATATATATATATGTATATATATATATATATACATATATATATATATACATATATATATATATACATATATATATATATATCACACATGGTTGGGTTTTGACTCACACGAAATGATGGTTGATTCACCATCAATGTATTTGACTCCGCCAGCAGCCGTCAGCGGCAGGACAAGTCCAAAGTCAGGTGGATCCCGGTCATGAGACGCCATGCGCCTGCACCGATGGACCTGGCGCGACCTTGTTCAGCAGCTTAGCGACCGATGGTTTTTATTCCCGAGAGCGTCTGAGCGCCGGGTTCTTCCAATAGTGCGGGCCTGTATCTCATCTTCTCATCTTCACACCTTCTCATCTTCACACCTTCTCATCTTCACATCTTCTCATCTTCATCTTCTCATCTTCACATCTTCTCACTTCACATCTTCTCATCTTCACATCTTCTCATCTTCACATCTTCTCATCTTCACATCTTCTCATCTTCACATCTTCTCATCTTCACACCTTCTCATCTTCACACCTTCTCATCTTCACACCTTCTCATCTTCACATCTTCTCATCTTCACATCTTCGCATCTTCACATCTTCGCATCTTCACATCTTCTCATCTTCACATCTTCTCATCTTCACATCTTCTCATCTTCACATCTTCTCATCTTCACATCTTCTCACCTTCACATCTTCACAGCTGCTCATCTTCACATCTTCACATCTGCTCATCTTCATATCTTCTCACTTCACATCTTCGCATCTTCACATCTTCTCATCTTCACATCTTCTCATCTTCACATCTTCTCATCTTCACATCTTCACATCTTCACATCTTCACAGCTGCTCATCTTCACATCTTTACATCTGCTCATCTTCATATCTTCTCATCCTCACATCTTCACATCTTCACATCCTCACATCTTCACATCCTCACATCTTCACATCTTCTCCTCTTGCCCTCTTGCCCTCTTGCCCCTCTTGCCCTCTCCTTCTTTTCTATTTCTCTTCTGAAGGCGGGGGCAGGGGCAGTGCCAACGAGACAGCACGAAACGCAACCCTTTCGCACGAAACGAGGTTCGATCGCCAAAAACTGCGGTAAAATTGCGATTTCAACTTGTCCCGCGCAACCCTTTCGCACGAAATGAGGTTCGATCGCCAAACACTGAATAAAGTTGCGATTCCCAAGTCGTCCGGCGCAAAGGAAATGAGGTTCGATCGCCAAAAACTGAGGTAAAGTTGCGATTCCCAAGTCGTCCGGCGCAACCCTTTCGCACGAAACGTGGTTCGATCGCCAAAAACTGAAGTAAAGTTGCGATTCCCAAGTCGTCGGGCGCAACCCTTTCGCACGAAATGAAGTTCGATCGCCAAAAACTGAAGTAAGATTGCGATTTCCACGGGTCCCGCGCAACGCTTTCGCACGAAATGAGGTTTGATCGTCAAAAGCTGAGGTAAAATTGCGATTTCAAGTTGCTCCGCGCAATTGTTTCGCACGAAACGAGGTTCGATCGCCAAAAACTGATGTAAAATTGCGATTTCAAGTTGCTCCGCGCAACCCTTTCGCACGAAACGAGTTTCGATCGTCAAAAACTGAAGTAAAATTGTAATTTCTCTTGTCATTGTCTAATCGCGACCCTTTCGCATGAGATGAGGTTCAATCGCCCAAAACTATAGCAAATTGCGATGTCCTGTGTGTAAAAGCGTCTCTTTGTAAACGCGTCTGTGTGTAAAGCGTCTGTGTGTAAAAGCGTCTGTGTGTAAAAGCGTCTGTGTGTAAAAGTGTCTGTGTGTAAAAGCGTCTGTGTGTAAAAGTGTCTGTGTGTAAAAGCGTCTGTGTGTAAAAGCTTTTCTGTGCAAAAGTGTCTGTGTGTCAAAGTGTTTGTGTGTAAAAGCGTCTGTGTGTAAAAGTGTTTGTGTGTAAAAGCGTCTGTGTGTAAACGCTTTTGTGTGTAAAAGCGTCTGTGTGTAAACGCTTCTGTGTGTAAAAGCGTCTCTGTGTAAAAGCGTCTGTGTGTAAAAGTGTTAGTGTGTAAAAGCGTCTGTGTGTAAAAGCATTTTGTGTGTAACTATGTGCGTGCAAGCGTCTGTGTGTAAAAGCTTTTGTGTGCAAAAGTGTCTGTGTGTCAAAGTGTTTGTGTGTAAAAGTGTCTGTGTGTAAAAGCGTCTGTGTGTAAAGCGTCTGTGTGTAAACGCGTCTGTGTGTAAAAGCGTCTGTGTGTAAAAGCGTCTGTGTGTAAAAGCGTCTGTGTGTAAAAGCGTCTGTGTGTAAAACCGTCTGGGTGTAAAAGTGTCTGTGTGTAAAAGCGTCTGTGTGTAAAAGCGTCTGTGAGTAAAAGCTTCTGTGTGTAAAAGCGTCTGCGTGTAAAAGCTTCTGTGTGTAAAAGTGTCTGTGTGTAAAACCGTCTGGGTGTAAAAGTGTCTGTGTGTAAAAGCGTCTGTGTGTAAAAGCGTCTGCGTGTAAAAGCTTCTGTGTGTAAAAGCTCCTGCGTGTAAAAGGGTCTGGGTGTAAAAGTGTCTGTGTGTAAAAGCTTCTGTGTGTAAAAGCGCCTGTGTGTAAAAGCGTGTGTAAAAGCGTCTCTGTGTAAAAGCGTCTGTGTGTAAAAGCTTCTGTGGTTAAAAGCTCTTGTGTGTAAAAGTGTTTGTGTGTAAAAGCGTCTGTGTGTAAAAGCGTCTGTGTGTAAAAGCGTCCGTGTGTACAAGCGTCTGTGTGTAAAAGCGTCTGTGTGTGAAAGTGCCTGTATGTATATAAAAGCTTCTGTGTGTGAAAGCTTTTGTGTGTAAAAGCTTCTGTGTGTAAAAGCTTCTGTGTGCAAAAGCTTTTGTGTGTAAAAGCGTCTGTGCGTAAAAGCTTCTGTGTGTCAAAGTGTTTGCGATGCAAACTATTGTCTTGTACTTGTGCTATATTGTCTTGATACTCCTCTTCTCGACTGCCTATAACACATCTTTAATATATTGTTTTGTAATATGGTGTCTCCATACTAACAAGAGAAGACCCTGCTCCTCTACGCTCTCGGGCCATCCGTCGTCTAGTTGGGTTGGGAATGAAACGTGAAAGGAACATCTATAGGAACCCCCTAAAAATATCTATAGGGAGGGTTTAATGGAAAAACCTATATATCTATAAACCATGTTCCATCGCCACGTTTGATTGCCAGAGGGTATATTACCATAAGCTGCGGAAATCCAAATGAAACAGCCGGTAGAAATGGACAGAAGAGGGTTTGAAAAGTGCTCATTTGCGGTGGGCCCACAAAAGGCTGGAGAAAATGGATCATGTTAGTAGTGTTGGATTTGTGGATCTGAGACATATATTTCATTGGCAATCCATGTTTGACACCGCTTGAAAATGTATACCGTATATACCACCAAATTTGTTTTTTCTTTTAATAGGAGCAATGATGCTATGTAATCCGTTGGAATTAGGTGGTGCAATATTTTCCGACAAACTTATTTGGTTGCATCAAACTGAACATTAAACCATCCAGGTTTTGGATTCACAAACTTGACCCATCCCCAAGGAGTTGATAATTGTGGTTTGGATGGGAAGAAACCAGTGGGAATATGCTTGCATTTTTAGATACAGATGCACATGCATACTAGATAGATATTTATTAAACTACTTATTTATCGCTGATGCATGCAGAAATATGTATCTATTTTTCGCCATGTGCTATGAACTGCGGCAATAACAACAGCATGTTGCGAATATTTTTCTGTTGGATCAGCAGCTCTCAACATGAGGGGGTTTGCCGGCCAATCTCTTCATAAATCATGGTTACAGGGATTTAGGTTCCCTGGAGAACTGCTGGGGATTGATAGGGTTTATGTGGTTCCTTTGGTCCTATTTCTGATGCAGACCCCAAGATGCAATCAAAATCATGTGTTGTTTAATTGAGATCAAAATTGTTGTTTGTCTACATACAATACTCTATATACATATACATGTACATATACATATACATATACATATACATATACATATACATATACATAATACATATACTTATACATATACATATACATATACATATACACATACACATACATATACATATACATATATATATATATACGTATATATATATATACATATATATATATATACATATATATATATATACCTGATATCATTGATATCAGGGTATTCCACAAAAACATGCGGTTGAAGGGTCGTTGTTCGATTTGCCGGCTGCATTTGAAATGGACGGAATGAACGTATACCAGGATACCATTCAAATGCCCCCATAGGGAAAAAGTGGTTGATGTTGTTTTACAGCAATTAGGGGTATCTCATACCATTTGGGGGTGACGGTACTTGTACTGTGCTGCATTTTGTTTTCAATGGTGAGGTGGTTGGGTTTTCGGCTCGGCTTGCAGCAAGACATTCTCATAGGTTCCAGATGCCAAACACCTTTTGAAAGTTTGAATCCCATGCCCCTAATATTGAACACCCTCCCCAGAAACCATCAACAACCATGCTTTAGTAGTAGGGGATTTTTACACATCTTTGGGACCATTCAGAGGATGTTTTTCAGTTTAGGGGGATGGGAATTGATCCATTGTTTTGCTGAAAAAATTGTCGGAAGATCTCACTGCCCCAGGCATACCAGCAATCTGATTATGAGAGAATGAAAGCCAACATCTCGATTTGCAGCACCATCATTGAGAACGTGACTTGACCAACAATTTGGTGAGGGGACAGCTGAAGTGGCTGTAAGGGGTTGACGATGTCGACATGCCAAGTCAGTCAACTGATGAAGTTCCAACTGCTGCAACTGTTTGCGATTTCCATCATCCAAAAATCCAGAATTGGTCGTAGCACTGTAGAATTTAAGTGGCTGGCTTATGAACAGTTCAGCCCTCCTAAACGCGCCCGCATGTCAAATCCCCAGGCGGTAGAATACCATGGGGTGAGAACAGCTTGGGAATCAGCGGATACCGGCAAGCCCTCAATCGTTTCTTTCCCAGAGATCGATAAAACTGGGTGATCAGTTCCTAATCATAATAATTATTCATATATCCTTCCATATTTCCTTCCATATTTCCTTTCCATATCCGTTTGCGGAACGCCAGCATTTTGTAACACGGGCCATGGCCATGTGGCCATGGCGGTCCTTATGGACCCATGAGGCCACTCGATGTGAGGAGACGATCACGTCCCATGGACCATGCGTTTTCAACGTTTTTGGCCGCTGGGATGATCCAAGAGACCTAAGTTATTTAAGGTGCCGCAGGTGCCCAACAAAAAAAACAGAGAGATCGAGATCCTTTAGCAATTTTAGCAAAGCGGCAAAGCTGTCGAATTCTGATAGTTTCAAAGGTCTCTTGAAGCTAATTCAGCCAGTTTCGCATCATATTGCCATGTTGCATGACTAGATTGTTTGGGTATGTTTGGGTCCAAATGTCATTGTTTTGCCACGGCATTTGCTAAAAACGTTGGACGTTGGATTGTGGATCTTGTGCTTTGAAGTTTGGCGACTGGCCCGGCCATCCCATATCCATTTGTTGATGTTTGTGGTTTTCACTCCATATGTGGGGGCGTGCATATCGATAGTTATGTTGTTTTGCTTTTTGAACCATGTGCATGTTGCGGCTTATGCCGGCAATCTTTGTAGTTTGTGGCCAGGTAATGCCAGATGCCTTCTTAAACAATGTTGCATGTGAGTAGGACATGAGGCTTCCCTAAACTGATTTGATTCGCTAACTGCCATCATGCAAACTCATGGAGAGAAACTAACTTCAAATAATCATCTGGATTAGGACGATATGTTTCCCATTGCACCTGGCAGTTTTACGCCTGTTTATAGTTTTATCTTGAATTTGATGGGTTCACTCCAACCAACAGTTGTTCCCTTACTGAGGACACTGTACCGAGAATAGGAAGATGCTTCACTGGCCGCATGTTGCGAGTGAAGACAGTGACAGCCATCTATCACGAAGGTTGGACATGGAGCAGCAGAATTTCTCCAATCTCACCACCACTGAGCACACTGAAACCACTGTGATGACCACCACATACCACGTGAACGGAAGCAATGGAAGCACTACCACTGAAACCAGCCACATGACAATGATGACAACAACAAAGGCTCACAAAATAAGCACAAACGAAAGCGATGAAAGCAATGAAAGCACCACAAGCCACACCACTGCAATGACCGCCACGACAAACATGTACAAAATCATGACGAACGGCAGCAACGGCAGCACTACCACCGAAACCAGCCACATGACCATGATGACCACCACAGACGAGTACATGCCTGGCATGAACGGCAGCAACGGCAGCACTACCACCGAAACTAGCCACATGACCATGATGACCACCACAGACATCCCTGGCATGAACGGCAGCAACGGCAGCACTACCACCGAAACTAGCCACATGACCATGATGACAACCACATACATGCCTGGCATGAATGGCAGCAATGGTAGCAGCAATGGTACCATGTTGGTGGTTCCAGTTGCACAGTTGGAGGGTTGTGTGGGTTTGTCAGTTTCAGACCCGGATCTCTTTTCAGAATCAGCAGATGCAGTTTTTGTGATGAAGCGGGTTTTGGCACGGGCTGCTGGTGGAGTGAAGGTGGACTATGTGCATGTCTCCATAACGGCTGGCAGCAGCTGTGAGTCTGGCCGGCGGCTCTCTTGGGGCTACAGGCGGCTGCAAGACAGCGTGAGGGTAGATTATGTCATCATTTTCCCTGCATCCATGGGGGAAGGAGAAGCACTCAAGCAAGCTGAAAATGGCAAAGATGCCCTGGAGCAAATTTCCTTGTCCGAAATCAATGCCTTGATGAGCGAGGAAATCGGCATGGTGCCATCGCTGTCAGGGCTGAGTGTTTTGATCACAACAAGCCCAACAGTCATGATGACAGTCTTCGTAAGCACCAGCAACAACCTGAACGGCAGCAATAGCAGCACTACCACCGAAACCAGCCACATGACCATGATGACCACCACAGACGAGTACATGCCTGGCATGAATGGGAGCAACGGCAGCACTACCACCGAAACCAGCCACATGACCATGATGACCACCACAGACGAGTACATGCCTGGCATGAATGGGAGCAACGGCAGCACTACCACCGAAACCAGCCACATGACCATGATGACCACCACAGACGAGTACATGCCTGGCATGAACGGCAGCAACGGCAGCACTACCACCGAAACTAACCACATGACCATGATGTCCACCACAGACATCCCTGGCATGAACGGCAGCAACGGCAGCACTACCACCGAAACTAGCCACATGACCATGATGACAACCACATACATGCCTGGCATGAATGGCAGCAATGGTAGCAGCAATGGTACCATGTTGGTGGTTCCAGTTGCACAGTTGGAGGGTTGTGTGGGTTTGTCAGTTTCAGACCCGGATCTCTTTTCAGAATCAGCAGATGCAGTTTTTGTGATGAAGCGGGTTTTGGCACGGGCTGCTGGTGGAGTGAAGGTGGACTATGTGCATGTCTCCATAACGGCTGGCAGCAGCTGTGAGTCTGGCCGGCGGCTCTCTTGGGGCTACAGGCGGCTGCAAGACAGCGTGAGGGTAGATTATGTCATCATTTTCCCTGCATCCATGGGGGAAGGAGAAGCACTCAAGCAAGCTGAAAATGGCAAAGATGCCCTGGAGCAAATTTCCTTGTCCGAAATCAATGCCTTGATGAGCGAGGAAATCGGCATGGTGCCATCGCTGTCAGGGCTGAGTGTTTTGATCACAACAAGCCCAACAGTCATGATGACAGTCTTCGTAAGCACCAGCAACAACCTGAACGGCAGCAATGGCAGCACTACCACGGAAACCAGCCACATGACCATGATGACCACCACAGACGAGTACATGCCTGGCATGAACGGCAGCAATGGTAGCACTACCACCGAAACCAGCCACATGACCATGATGACCACCACAGACAAGTACATGCCTGGCATGAATGGGAGCAATGGCAGCACTACCACCGAAACAAGCCACATGACCATGATGACCACCACAGACATGTACATGCCTGGCATGAACGGCAGCAATGGCAGCACTACCACCGAAACCAGCCACATGACCATGATGACCACCACAACACAAGTATATATGCCTGGGCATGAACAGCAGCAACGGTAGCACTAACCACCAGAAACCAGCCACATGACCATATGACTCACCACAGACTATCCAATGCCTGGCATGAACGGCAGCAAATGTACACTACCACCGAAACCAGCCACATACCATCTGACCAACCACAGATCAAGTCCATGCCTGGCATGACACCGGCAGTCAATGCAGCACTACCACTGAACCCAGCCACAGGACCATGATGACAACCACATACAGTACATGCCTGGCATGAACGGCAGCAATGGCACTACACGGAACCAGCCACATGACCGTGCTGACCCCACAGACAAGTACAATGTCCTGGCATGAGGGCGGGGGCTGCGCACTGGCAGCCACTCTACCACCGAAACCAGCCACATGACCATGATGACCACCACAGACATGTACATGCCTGGCATGAACGGCAGCAATGGCAGCACTACCACTGAAACCAGCCACATGACCATGATGACCACCACAGACATGTACATGCCTGGCATGAACGGCAGCAATGGTAGCACTACCACGGAAACCAGCCACATGACCATGATGACCACCACAGACATGTACATGCCTGGCATGAACGGCAGCAACGGCAGCACTACCACCGAAACTAGCCACATGACCATGATGACCACCACAGACATGTACATGCCTGGCATGAACGGCAGCAACGGCAGCACTACCACGGAAACCAGCCACATGACCATGGTGACCACCACAGACAAGTACATGCCTGGCATGAACGGCAGCAATGGCAGCACTACCACCGAAACCAGCCACATGACCATGATGACAACCACAGACATGTACATGCCTGGCATGAACGGCAGCAATGGCAGCACTACCACCGAAACCAGCCACATGACCATGATGACCACCACAGACAAGTACATGCCTGGCATGAACAGCAGCAATGGTAGCACTACCACGGAAACCAGCCACATGACCATGATGACCACCACAGGCATGTACATTACTGGCATGAATGGCAGCAATGGCAGCACTACCACCGAAACCAGCCACATGACCATGATGACCACCACAGACATGTACGTGCCTGGCATGAACGGCAGCAATGGCAGCACTACCACCGAGACTACCACCACAACCATGTTGGTGGTTCCAGTTGCACGGTTGGAGGGTTGTGTGGGTTTGTCAGTTTCAGACCCGGATCTCTTTTCAGAATCAGCAGATGCAGTTTCTGTGATGAAGCGGGTTTTGGCACGGGCTGCTGGTGGAGTGAAGGTGGACTATGTGCATGTCTCCATAACGGCTGGCAGCAGCTGTGAGTCTGGCCGGCGGCTCTCTTGGGGCTACAGGCGGCTGCAAGACAGCGTGAGGGTAGATTATGTCATCATTTTCCCTGCATCCATGGGGGACGGAGAAGCACTCAAGCAAGCTGAAAGCGGCAAAGCTGCCCTGGAGCAAATTTCCTTGTCCGAAATCAATGCCTTGATGAGCGAGGAAATCGGCATGGTGCCATCGCTGTCAGGGCTGAGTGTTTTGATCACAACAAGCCCAACAGTTGTGATGACAGTCTTCGTGAGCACTAGCAACACCCTGAACAGCAGCAATGGCAGCACTACCACGGAAACCAGCCACATGACCATGATGACCACCACAGACGAGTACATGCCTGGCATGAACGGCAGCAATGGTAGCACTACCACCGAAACCAGCCACATGACCATGATGACCACCACAGACGAGTACATGCCTGGCATGAACGGCAGCAATGGTAGCACTACCACGGAAACCAGCCACATGACCATGATGACCACCACAGACATGTACATGCCTAGCATGAACGGCAGCAATGGCAGCACTACCTCCGAAACCAGCCACATGACCATGATGACCACCACAGACATGTACATGCCTGGCATGAACGGCAGCAATGGCAGCACTACCACGGAAACCAGCCACATGACCATGATGACCACCACAGACAAGTACATGCCTGGCATGAACGGCAGCAATGGCACTACCACCGAAACCAGCCACATGACCATGATGACCACCACAGACATGTACATGCCTGGCATGAACGGCAGCAATGGCAGCACTACCACCGAAACCAGCCACATGACCATGATGACCACCACAGACGTGTACATGCCTGGCATGAACGGCAGCAATGGCAGCACTACAACCGAAACCAGCCACATGACCATGATGACCACCACAAACAAGTATATGCCTGGCATGAACAGCAGCAATGGTAGCACTACCACCGAAACCAGCCACATGACCATGATGACCACCACAGACATGTACATGCCTGGCATGAACGGCAGCAATGGTAGCACTACCACCGAAACCAGCCACATGACCATGATGACCACCACAGACATGTACATGCCTGGCATGAACGGCAGCAATGGCAGCACTACCACTGAGACTACCACCACAACCATGTTGGTGGTTCCAGTTGCACGGTTGGAGGGTTGTGTGGGTTTGTCAGTTTCAGACCCGGATCTCTTTTCAGAATCAGCAGATGCAGTTTCTGTGATGAAGCGGGTTTTGGCACGGGCTGCTGGTGGAGTGAAGGTGGACTATGTGCATGTCTCCATAACGGCTGGCAGCAGCTGTGAGTCTGGCCGGCGGCTCTCTTGGGGCTACAGGCGGCTGCAAGACAGCGTGAGGGTAGATTATGTCATCATTTTCCCTGCATCCATGGGGGAAGGAGAAGCACTCAAGCAAGCTGAAAGCGGCAAAGCTGCCCTGGAGCAAATTTCCTTGTCCGAAATCAATGCCTTGATGAGTGAGGAAATCAGCATGGTGCCATCCCTGTCAGGGCTGAGTGTTTTGATCACAACAAGCCCAACAGTCATGATGACAGTCTTCGTAAGCACCAGCAACAACCTGAACGGCAGCAATGGCAGCACTACCACGGAAACCAGCCACATGACCATGATGACCACTACAGACATGTACATGCCTGGCATGAACGGCAGCAATGGTAGCAGCACTACCACGGAAACCAGCCACATGACCATGATGACCACCACAGACGAGTACATGCCTGGCATGAACGGCAGCAATGGTAGCACTACCACCGAAACCAGCCACATGACCATGATGACCACCACAGACGAGTACATGCCTGGCATGAACGGCAGCAATGGTAGCACTACCACGGAAACCAGCCACATGACCATGATGACCACCACAGACATGTACATGCCTAGCATGAACGGCAGCAATGGCAGCACTACCTCCGAAACCAGCCACATGACCATGATGACCACCACAGACATGTACATGCCTGGCATGAACGGCAGCAATGGCAGCACTACCACGGAAACCAGCCACATGACCATGATGACCACCACAGACAAGTACATGCCTGGCATGAACGGCAGCAATGGCACTACCACCGAAACCAGCCACATGACCATGATGACCACCACAGACATGTACATGCCTGGCATGAACGGCAGCAATGGCAGCACTACCACCGAAACCAGCCACATGACCATGATGACCACCACAGACGTGTACATGCCTGGCATGAACGGCAGCAATGGCAGCACTACAACCGAAACCAGCCACATGACCATGATGACCACCACAAACAAGTATATGCCTGGCATGAACAGCAGCAATGGTAGCACTACCACCGAAACCAGCCACATGACCATGATGACCACCACAGACATGTACATGCCTGGCATGAACGGCAGCAATGGTAGCACTACCACCGAAACCAGCCACATGACCATGATGACCACCACAGACATGTACATGCCTGGCATGAACGGCAGCAATGGCAGCACTACCACTGAGACTATCACCACAACCATGTTGGTGGTTCCAGTTGCACGGTTGGAGGGTTGTGTGGGTTTGTCAGTTTCAGACCCGGATCTCTTTTCAGAATCAGCAGATGCAGTTTCTGTGATGAAGCGGGTTTTGGCACGGGCTGCTGGTGGAGTGAAGGTGGACTATGTGCATGTCTCCATAACGGCTGGCAGCAGCTGTGAGTCTGGCCGGCGGCTCTCTTGGGGCTACAGGCGGCTGCAAGACAGCGTGAGGGTAGATTATGTCATCATTTTCCCCGCATCCATGGGGGAAGGAGAAGCACTCAAGCAAGCTGAAAGCGGCAAAGCTGCCCTGGAGCAAATTTCCTTGTCCGAAATCAATGCCTTGATGAGTGAGGAAATCAGCATGGTGCCATCCCTGTCAGGGCTGAGTGTTTTGATCACAACAAGCCCAACAGTCATGATGACAGTCTTCGTAAGCACCAGCAACAACCTGAACGGCAGCAATGGCAGCACTACCACGGAAACCAGCCACATGACCATGATGACCACTACAGACATGTACATGCCTGGCATGAACGGCAGCAATGGTAGCACTACCACCGAAACCAGCCACATGACCATGATGACCACCACAGACGAGTACATGCCTGGCATGAACGGCAGCAATGGCAGCACTACCACCGAAACCAGCCACATGACCATGATGACCACCACAAACAAGTATATGCCTGGCATGAACAGCAGCAACGGTAGCACTACCACCGAAACCAGCCACATGACCATGATGACCACCACAGACGAGTACATGCCTGGCATGAACGGCAGCAATGGTAGCACTACCACCGAAACCATCCCACACTTACCATGATGACCCCACATACCTGTACATGCCGTGGCATGAACGGCAGCAATGGTAGCACTACCACCGAAACCAGCCACATGACCATGATGACCACCACAGACGAGTACATGCCTGGCATGAACAGCAGCAATGGTAGCACTACCACCGAAACTAGCCACATGACCATGATGACAACAACAGACAAGTACATGCCTGGCATGAACGGCAGCAATGGCAGCACTACCACCGAAACCAGCCACATGACCATGATGACAACCACAGACAAGTACATGCCTGGCATGAACGGCAGCAATGGCAGCACTACTACGGTAACCAGCCACATGACCATGATGACCACCACAGACAAGTACATGCCTGGCATGAATGGCAGCAATGGCAGCACTACCACCGAAACCAGCCACATGACCATGATGACCACCACAGACGAGTACATGCCTGGCATGAACGGCAGCAATGGCAGCACTACCACGGAAACCAGCCACATGACCATGATGACCACCACAGACAAGTACATGCCTGGCATGAACGGCAGCAATGGCAGCACTACCACCGAAACCAGCCATATGACCATGATGACTACCACAGACAAGTACATGCCTGGCATGAACGGCAGCAATGGCAGCACTACCACCGAAACAAGCCACATGACCATGATGACCACCACAGAAAAGTACATGCCTGGCATGAACAGCAGCAATGGCAGCACTACCACCGAAACAAGCCATATGACCATGATGACCACCACAGACAAGTACATGCCTGGCATGAACGGCAGCAATGGCAGCACTACCACCGAAACCAGCCACATGACCATGATGACCACCAGCACTGAGACTACCACTTTAAGTACAACTATGTTGGTGGTTCCAGTTGCAAGGTTGGAGGGTTGCATGGGTTTGTCAGTTTCAGACGCAGCAACTTTTTCTGCGTCAGCAGATGCCATCACTGTGATGAAGCGTGTTTTGGCAGAGGCTGCAGGTGGGGTTGCTGTGGACTATGTTGAGGTGTCTATGGTTGTGGGCAGCAGCTGTGCAGGTCGACGCCTGGTTTCGGGCGTTTTGAGTGAGCGGCGGCTACAAGAAAGTGTGAGGGTCGACTATATCATTCTTTTCCCTGCATCCATGGGCGAGGACGAAGCGCTAGAAGCAGCACAGAATAGCACAGCCTCTCTTTCGCAACTCTCCTTGTCAGAAATCAGTGCTTTGATGACTCGCGAAATGAGTTTGATGCCTTCTCTCTCAGGGATGACGGTGGTTGTCACCACGACCCCGACAGTGGTTATGATTGTGCTGGTTGGGGCAACCAATACTACGACATCCACAACGGAGACATCAACTACGTCCATGACCACAACTTCAACCAACACCACTTCCACATCTCGAACTTGGACATCGGCGACAAACACGACCACAATCACAAGTGTAACTGGCACGACGTCTATGACAACAACAGAAACCAACACATCCACCACATTCACAGTCACAAGCACGTTAAGCCTGACAACTGCCACGAACACCACTACAACCACTAGTATAACCGGCACTACGTCCATGACCACCACTTCCAAAACAACGTCAACCACTGCAAGCGACACCGCGACCAGCACCTCAATCTCAATGACGAATACAACAACCATGACGAGCGTCACCGGCACGACTAGCTTGACCACCACCTTCAGCTCAACTACGACCTTCACCGGCTCGTCCACTTCAATGACGAATACAACCACCCAGACTTCAGTCACCAGTACCACCAGTATGACCACAACATCCACTGCCACCTCAGTAACATCTTCCACCAGCCGGACCATGTCGTCAACGTTGACCAGCACATCAGCTACCTCCAGCACCAGTGTCACGGGCACATCGACTTCCATGACAAACACCACGACGTTCACAGTGACCACAACGACGTCGTTCACTACCAGCGTGAGCACAAGCACAACCTTGACATCCACATCAACAGTAACCAACACCAGCACCGCGACCATCACAACTTCAACCTCCTTGACTATGTCTACTTCACTCACCAGCTCCACCACATACACCATGAGCACCACAAGTTCGCTCACAAGCTTCACTATCACCAGCACCAGCTTGACCAATACCAGCACAAGCACGTCTTTGACGCGCACGACCGCTTACACAGACACCAGCACTTCTGAAACATCAACATCGACCTCGGTTAGCACAAGCATAACTTCCCTCACCACAACGTCAACCTCTTCATTTACTGGCACCTCGACTTCGGTGAGCACTAGCATCACCAGCACCACAAGCCAGACAACCACACAAACCACTACAAACACCACAACCACCAGCAGTACCAGCTTCACCACAAGTGTCACCTCCACCACCAGCACGAGTGGGACCATGACCAGCACAACGTCATTGAGCACAACGACAGAAAGTACCACGACACAAAGCACCACAACTGTGACCACCATTACCCAGACCACCACAAGTGTTTCAAGTACGGTTACCAGTACATCCACCACCAGCATGACATTTACGAGCACTTCCATAACAATAAGCACCACGATATCCAGCACAACTAGTGGCACTTTGACTTCCACGACCTCCGGTACTGCAACAAGCAGCTTGGTTGTTTAATTAGAGCTATTGTCATTTTGATTTGTCATATTTCATCATGATTCAATATACTTCAATATCTATAAAGTGATCTCATTGCTCCTACATCCGCGCGGAATTTCTGCGGATAGTTTCCAGAGGATTCCAGAGGTGGAACTGCTGTGCTGATCTCGGACCTTATTATTTCATATTATTTCCACATCGATAATGTGTCCCTCTCATTGTTCTTTCCGGCATTGCAGAGTTGCGGGAAACATAGCAATGTGGCAGCCTTTTTCTGGAGGTGTGGTCAGCGGGTTTCCGGGTTGACGCGAGCGGGCTGGTCGGAGTTAAGGCTCACTGCAAGGCCGCTCATTTCAGGATAGCAGGAATCAGGAGAATTTGATCGAAACAGCTGCCTTCTTGGCGTGACCGAAAATTGGGTTTCGTAGTGAATTGAGTTTTCCACCTTCCACATTGGGTGCTGGAGGTGCAGAATCAATCCGGCAAGTTTCAATCCTCTGGTAAACTGATATAGCTATTAAAAATGGATGAAAATGGCCATGTATAGTTGATTTACCCTGATTTACCTATTACAAAATGGTGATCTGTGATTTTCCATAGTTACGTTACAGTTTACCAGAGGATAATCCCCAGATTGAAGTGGCTTCGGCCGCCTTCCATCGCCTGCAACATGCTGAGGCACCTCAACCCACACGGAATCCACCACGTCACAAACCACGTCCAGCAGCTTGGATGGCTCCATTGGGATAGTGGTGCTGGTTTTTTTCACTTCCAAGAGACTCATAGAGATTAAGATGATCTAATATGAAGGTTTCCAAAAATGGGGGTACCCCCAAATCATCCATTTTAATAGGATTTTCCATTATAAACCATCCATTTGTGGATATCCCCATTTTAGGAAACCTCCATAGTTTTAAATTTGTGTGTCTTTTCAGTTGGGGACATAAGGAAACCATAGGAAACCCATGGTTGCTGGCTAGTGGTTTCGAATGGTTTCGATCCGGTGTTATTTTCCCATCCCTGGGACATGATGAGCCTGTCAGAAGCCTTGAACTGGGAACATCCTGCGAATTTTCGCAGTCTGTGAGTACAGCCTTGGAATTGAACAATCCTCAAATGGTGAGGACCAAGAGCACATTTCTATTCCATGTTGTTTGTCGGACTAAACCCTCCGAAACTCAATGATCATAATGATCCATGTGTTGCATTGGCGCTGCTTGAGTCGGAAAAAAACATGCAAACCCTGCAACCCCGTTTTTTGCCAAATGCATTCCGAATGATGAAATTGACCCTTTGCCCAATTCGGGTGGCCATGGAAGGGGGTGCTGTAATTCATACTAGGTGATGGGTTTGTTAGACTTTGCGGAAATTACCAGTGTTTAATACATCTTAAGACTACGCGATATAAGGTCCGTGTTTGAATGGTTGAGCTCAAAAAAACATGCCAAAATCCTGATCGGCGTTTTGAATTTAGATCCTTCACCCTTTAAAACAAACACCTTGGAAACCCTATAAACTATATAGAGCACTCTTGACGTCGAAATAAATACCTGATATGGCTTACTGTTTCATCCAAGTATAGATACCATAGTAAGCAACGGCCGTATGCAATTGCAGATAACACATGATGACACAATATTTCGCTTGGGGGGCTATGGGAGTAAAGGTGCCTGGCGGAGTACGGTTTAAGATGGTTGAAAATATTACAGACATCTACCTTTTGAATCCGTTTGAGACCCAGCAGTCTGGGCCACGGATTTTTTGAGGATGGTCCACTGGTCCAACCTGCCTTGAAAGCTGAGGTACCTCAGAGACAAGCACCACCACCAGTTTGACCACGACATCATCTATCACCACATCATCAACATCGACCACATCATCATCCATAACATCAACCAGCACATCAGCCTGGACCTTAGTCTTTTCGCAGGATTAAGGATGATTAAGTAAGGTCGATATGGAGATGTATGGGTCAAACAAATCCAAAGATTGCAACCTTTGGAGCCAGATAGTTTGGTCGTTTTTTAATTTGACTATATATCTATGTGATCATTTCGGATCATTTTGGTGTATGTCAAATTTAACACTTCCCCAAGTGGAAACATCGTGTTGTTGGACTTCGGTACACCTAAGTCAACCGGAAGGAAAGAGCCCACCCCAAGATTTTGTTTTGGGTGGAATAATTAATCACCCAAACTGGGTGTTGACTAGCAACTTTTGTATCCCTATTGATGCTATTGATGTTGCGATTCTCTTTATTTCCTGCTTAGGGGTGCATGTTTTTTCTAAGGGGGTGATTATTACCATGTTGCAAACATCCAGAACTTGGGATATACCTCCAATTCACAATGTTTATATATATATATATATTGTATATATAGATATAGATATATTTACATTATATATTTTTTCTATCGACTTATAACTGGAACTTGGTTAAATCCCATACTCAAAATTTGCAATCCCGAGTCTGATTTGTTTTTCAACCCAGTAACTGGGCCCTGAAATTGGACTCCAGACGGATCCCAAAAACCCTGGCACCCTAGGCGACATTGACAAGCACTACCCGGACCTATTCCAGCACGGCAAGGAAACTCAGGAGTTGGCCAAACAGAGCGATCTGCGTGAAATACACCAAATGTTCTGGGGAGCCCCTGGTTGCCCTATTTGAAATTCGACCCCCTAAAACATCTTAAACCTTGCGACAGTCACAGGCAGGTCAAACATCATGATTTGCTCAGGTTTGGAATCTGGGGCAGAAATACAAGGAATGTATCACAATTTAAAAGCACTAATCAAGTACTAACTTCCACTAGCACCGCCCTAGTTGGGTGTGCAAATTATGATTGCCCTGAGGTTTTCCTGTCAATCAAGCCATTGAAAATCACACATGTACAATGTACACACATAATATATATATATATATGTGCAAACATGTACTGCTGGTGATTCTGTTTGAAGAATCAGTCTGTCAAATCATGCAAAGTTTCCCACAACTAAATTATATTAATATCACTGAATATCACCTATAACTCCCAGGTGAATTCATGTCAAGTTATGCTAAATCCGCATGTTGATATTTATATAAATCACCTGTAATCCATGTTCAATCATATTAAGTCCCCTTATTAATCCCCATGTTTTTTTTCCACCAGATCTTTGATATTTGGCCAAGGTCTCAAGCACCTTTACCACCTCAACAGTCACCACTGGCACCAGCACCAGCACCACTCAGAGTATCAGCGCCTGGGCCCAACCCACTGGATGCCAAAGTTTAATCCTTGAGTTTTGTGCCAAAACCCTTTGGTTATGACTAACAGTTTGCCATGGTATAGATGGCCCTAATCGAAATAGATGGTTTACCTGGGTTTACCTATTAAAAATGGTGGATCTTTCCATGGCTATGTTAAATAACCAGAGGGTAAATGGAAAATAACCAAAACCAGCAAAAAACATATATATATATATTTATTATGTGTGGACTATCCAAGATTGACCATGACATACTGATTGCAGATGAAAGTATATCTCTGCATATGGATATACATTTTTTAGGATATGTATCCTAGGGCAAACTGACATAGATGTGGAATTCATATGTTATGGATACAGATTACACATACCTGTACAATCATGTACAAATGTACGCATGCATGTCGAACATACACATCTACATACATTTCTTTGCGCAGTTGGATTACATGTGTATATATATATATAGATATTGTACTGTATATGTATGTTATATCATGCCACGCGCTAACCCCTATCTATTGAACATGGCCACGTATAGAGAGAGAGAGAGAGAGTTGAATTACTTTTCATATCTATCTTAGATTATCTTAGTGTGCCAGCGGTTTTACTCACCTTCTGATGCGAGATTGGTCGCACTGAACAAACAAATCAGATGAACATCCCAACAGAAACAAATTTATTGGTGAATTGGTGTTTGGATTTGTTGCGCATGGTTTTGAAGAATTCGGAATCAAATGCATGGAACCTGGGAAGAACCAGCATCTAGTTGACTAGATCTAGTCTACGAAATGCTTTGGAGATTTTATATTTTTCCGGGCATTTGCAATCCTTGTAATATAGGCATTGAAGGCAACATTGACATGTCTTCAAAAATACTGACGATATATGTTAGGTCATTAATGTATACAGGGACAGACTTTTGTTTGCTTTAGGTTCCACAACATGGACCAACACCACCACCAGCAGCATGACAACGACCAGCAGCACCGCAACCACTGAAACATCGACGTCAACAACGAACACTCTTTCAATGACATCTACTATGTGGGAGCCTCAGAGTGGACGATGAGATGGGAGACCTATTGAGACCTGTTGCACTGGTTGAAAAAGGGCACTCTGGCTGGAGGCTTTGAGCTGCCAGCGCAGCTCAAAGATTCGAAGGACAATCTGAAGTAGTCACTAGTTCCTCTCTGAAAAGATCCTATACAAAAAAGGACAATGGGGGTATGTCCAAGAATTGGACATATCCTAAAACAATACTTTAACAAATTGTTCACTTCAGAACAGTGTGGTAAACCATGGCTTTTCGGATCTAAGTTTGGAGACAGCCAGATGGTTCCATCAATTTCCAGCGTGTAAGTTGGTAGGTTTGTGTGAAAGAGGATACCCCTAAATCCTAAATCTACTGCTTAAATTAAAATTGTCCGCCAGGTCCAGCAGTACCAGCACCAGCAGCAGTACGACCACCAGCAGTTCTTCCGAGAGTAGCACCAGCAGTAGCACTTCCAGCATCACCAGCAGCAGCAGTTCGGAGACCAGCACCAGCAGCTCAAGTTCCAGTAGCACTTCAACCACCTCCTCCAGGTGGTCGGTTGGGGTTTTTCGGCAGTTTGCAGTGACAAGAATCAGATCACAAAATTTAAAAGTGCCCAAAAGGTCCAACGACTTCATATCACAAAGCTGTGTGTGGATTGCCTACCAGGTCTACCAGATTCTTGATCAGAAATCCTGAAGCTGAATCGGAATCTCAATTGATAAGTAAGTGACAATGCTAATGTCTGTGCATCGCTGGCTTGCAGCTACAAAGTTCATTTTGAAATGCATTCAATGTGTATTTTGGTGATTTAAATTGCACTTGACATATCCTCATTTCTAGAGGGTTGCCTTATTGTTGGCCAGACAAGAGGGGGAGAACGATGTCAATGTGGCTTTCCTGGCTAAGTTTCTTTTATTTTGTATATATAGGTCACAAAGGGGGTTAGGACTTAGGACTTTAGAAGTACAGCAATTAGTACTTAGATTGTCTAAGAGTCTAAGTCACGCCCCAAAGTACCGGGCAAATTGACAGAAAGGTGAGAGACCCTTCGAACAATCAGATGTTGACAATACGAGATGTTGATCGATTTTGATTAACTATTATACCTGATCATGTTCGGAACATGTCAATCATTTCAGAACATTTCAGAGCATTTCAGAGCAGTCATTCTCACATTCGGAACTTGGAACAATCATTTCATGAAAAACAAGACTATTGAACAGCAAAAACTTGGAACTTGGAGCAATCATTTTATGAAAAAAAACTATTGAACAGAAACAACTCGAAGAGCTTCTTGTTGTGTTCGCAGCATCCGCCAGTGCCACAAGCACCAGTTCCAGCGGCACTAGCACTTCTTCCACCACCATGACGACCACATCCAGCACCTTCGGCAAACACACACTAGAAGGACTTCACTTTGGGACTTTCAGATACTTTCAGCCAATTTTCAGCCCTGTAAATGATGGGGAAAATCATCAAATGGATCGGGTTATATCGGGTTTGCTTATTTTCGTTGGGAATCGGCAGAAAAAAAAGTATAATGTCCATATTAAGATTGTTTCAGTTCGTCGATGGTTTCGCTAAAGTGTTGAGGTGGAGGATGGTGGAGGGTCAGGGGCCGAGGGACCGGTTCCCGGCTTGGGCGTTGGGTGAGACAGTGGCAAGCCCCATTTGGGTATACCTTGGTTTGGAGGTTTGAGGCAGATGTTTTTTGTGCTATCACTGTGTCATGTATAGTATATTGTTTACATTGTTAGTTTATGTTAATTTATGTTGTTTGTTTTACGTTGTTTATAATATTGTTTCCATATATGTGATGTATATTTGCATAATTATATTTGCATATCATGACATCTAGCTCGCCAAGATTTTCTAGAAAACAGAGTTTCAGAAAATGAGGCACCACAAATTTGGCATTTCCATCATGGCTATCTAAGATGCTCTCAAATTGGCCATGGCAAGACAGCCCTTCCTGAAATCCCCTGGGTACCACCTTTCAGGTACAGCAACCGCTTCGGTCACCAGCAGCACCACTAGCAACTCTGGAACGCTGCTTGGCTCAACATTGAGACTGGATGGAGCCTAGTACAGCTGTCCTCAAAAAATGAACACGCGTTTAAGCAACATCGGCCAAGCATATGATGTACTCTTGTTGGGTGCAAATGGTGCAAATCAACATCAGTCAGTGGACTGTTTTGAGGGAAGACTTACAGCAAATATTGATTTTTGATGGTAAAACAAGCATGGTTTCCTGTTGTTTTCTCCCTTAAATCATCTCATTGAACCAACCAGATCAACCAGCACTCTGAACATCGCCTGAAAATCGCAGGATGGACAATGTTGAACATCTAAAGATATACCATAATATCATATAATATCATATAATATCATGTTCAATCATCCCATTGAATCAACCATCATCAACTCTTCAGAAATCACGGGGACCGTTGTTCAGGTCGACCACCACTGCCACCTTAAAGCCTGGCACTTGTCCCCCACCTGTGCTGGTGGGCATCTACGATGCCTCAGCCACTTGGAGAATGGGGAACACCACCTGCTGACCCCGGGCGAAGTGGGTGACATCACCGTGTTTTTGTTAGAAAACCATGGGAAATCACATGAAAACACCATGATTTCCATTTCCTAATTTACCCAGATATTTTATGATATTTTGATCAATGTACTTCAACAATCTGGGAAAGGACAGAATACAACATGTTTGGAATTTGGTTCTGCTGGAGATGACCGTGTTTTGTGTTCCATGTTGATTGCGCCTTCCAGGAAAGGTCGAGATGCGTTTAGATTTGCATGTGCCTTACAACACAAGAAATGTTCAATTCAGACAAGTCTTGATTATCTTATCCTAATTTAACATCCACCGTAAATCCGAAGATTTTGGTGGAACTTCACTCCAAACCCATACGAATCCATCGTGTTTTCTTTTCAAAGAGAAGACACGCATGACCATTCCACTTGCATCAGTAAATCGTACTGCACCCGTTGAGAAGTCATGCCTGATGAGTCCCTCATGCCAAGATCACACCATTTATATACACGCCATTGAGAGGTAGATGTGTCATGATCAAAAGTTGGATTGTATACCGTACACCCATATTGGGGGATGGTCATGAATCCATCAATAGGGGTCAGTCTACCCATAATAATTCCACTGTATCGATGGGAAATTCAGGACCCTAAAATGGAGGTACTGGACTGTACCATATAGATCATATAGAGGGCATATCTCCTTGCATAGCCCTGAAAAATAGGCCTTATATATGGCACGTACATCTTTGTAGCTCCAATTTGGGTACCTGAAATGGCCAGTGATTATATGGAATTGCCCACGGTGTGATGACCGGTGGTTTCCTGAGTCATGGGGATAGCCCTAAATCATCGTTATTCGACTCATTAGACCATGACGTAGTGTTGAAGCCTAAGGTGACTTGGGGATCCCCCATGACTTAAGAAACCCCATATTTGGTTGTGTATTTCCCAAGCTTCGTCGCAAAAAGGAGTGTATCTACCAACTACCTGGTGACTCGTATCTCGGCCTCAGCAACGTTAATTCTGGGGACTTGCCCCCCAGAATTCGTTTCTTGCACAGGCAAAAATTGTGCGGGGTGCAGATTTGCCATAGGGGCAAAAGATGGGAAAGAAGAAAGGCAAGGTTCCTGAAATCACATGCCCTTCAATCAATAAATTCAGAATAGTGAGACTTGGAAACACTCTTTGTTTCAGAGACGTCACCATGGAGCGGTGGCTCACCTTTGTCAATGAGATCTTGATGATCCACTGTGGCACGTTGTGGATTTTGAACTGCGGATGCCCCCGAATCACTGATGCTTCAAAGTTCCTGGGCGGTTTTGTGTTGCAATGACTAGAATGATTAGGTATGATTAGCATGCAAGTAGCTCAGCAGCCAGAGCTCAAAAATGATCTAGACACGGTTTTTGTTGGAAATTTATCTTGCTTGCTACAGCAACATGTTTTCCGCTATTTTTTTTTGCTTTTTTGGTTCCGCTACTGCTCCGGGAAATGTCCCACATTTCAGACATCGGCACATGGAAGGGTTGAAATCACCGGATTTGAACATCAATACAGCGACTATACCGTCGCATGTTGATCACCATAGCATTCCGCCCCTTTTGTGCATTGATTGTTTGTTTCCAACCGCAGATTTTCCCATCAACCCATCGTCAACCCGGTGCGGTTAGGTGTTTGGTCTACTGTGCCAACAACAATGGTTGGTATGGCCCTCCATCGCAGTTCAACTGCACAACTGATGTAGCTTGACCTGGGCTCGGGGGCGTTGGGTGGTGGAAATAGGGTCCCCTCAATTTGGACTCGGATTATTGCCATGTTGTTAAACATAAATTTATGATCTTTATGATGTTCATGTCATTTCCAGATTTTCTAAGCTTCCTCGCCCACACATCGCGGTATCTCAGGGAGTCTACGTGGGCACTCCACCCGAGTGCGTCCGGCAGCTGAGAGGGACTGCGACCGGGGTTTGGGGAGCAGGGCTCATCCACCGACTATACGTCAGAAGAGGATAGAAGATTGCCCAGCATACGATTTGACTTGCCAGTCCCACAGGTCACAGTACAGCTTGCATTTCCTGAAACTGGCGCAGTTGGGAAGGAAGGTGTATCTAAAAGCCAGCTCTCAATAGACAACCTCATGATACCTGCATAGAGTTCTTGCTGGACTAGCATACTTTTTGGGATTTATTTGGCCATGGTTATTGGAGAAGCCATCTTGGGGGGCAGGAACAGCGCAGCACATCCCCAGCCACCGGCTAGTCACCTAGTCCAGCTCCAGCCCAGTTCACGACCACCTCTACGTCCACAAAGACTATGACCAAAACAGAGCCTTGGCTGCTTCCCTCTTTCAGATTGAACCATGTTTAACCAACCAAGTGTCACTGTGTTCTTGTCGCAATGTTTCAGTGATGAATTGTTTGGAGAATCTCGCAAAGTCATGCAAACTCTCTGTTTGCACATGTTTGTACACACACACCAACATTATACACCATAATTATACTATAACATACATACAAACATACACACACATATATATATATATAGTGATATACAATATATTTATTATTTATATGTGCATACGTGCGTAGAGGTTGGGTATAAATAAATAAATAAATAAGTAAATAAATAAATAAATAAATATATAATATACATACTATATATATAGGTGTGTGTACATATTTTTTAATGACATGTATGTCCGTGAGCAGGCATCATGAAAATTTAACTCCGGATTTCAGTAGGGAGGCGATGCAACAGCCCAAATGGCATCCAAATGGTATCATCAAATCATACTGACACATGTTTAAAACGATGCAAAGGAGGCAGTTTCGCCCTATTCCTGGGAGGTCACAGGCAATTTGCAATTTCGAGGATATTTCAAGGATCGGACACGCCATTTGTTTCCATAACTGCTAAGGTTTCATGCCCGTGTTGACCATCATTTTGCCGTGGTATTTTGGGTCAGCCCAACCCATTGGAGTTGCATGTTGTTCTTCCCCCTTGTTTGGCACAATAGAGCCCCCATAAGACTTCTTATGTCCCAATCGGGATGATAATCCCGCGGTTTGAAACCCGCAAATCCCAGCGGTTTGAAGATGCAAATTACAGGAAAACCCGCAAATCCCATGGGAAAAACACATTAGTTTCCAGCCGATTTTCCCTTAAGAACAACACATTAAAAAAAACACTACAGAAGCAAGTCGTGGCTGAGGAACTGGTGGTCTGCAACGGTGGGCTGCCCTTGGGTGTGGGCATTGATCTCAGTGGCTGCAGCGGCCAGGCAAGGCCAATTTCACTGCTGAAGATGGGGAGATGGAGGTGAAACGTAATTAATTGAAATGCTGGTTACAGTAATTACATGTTAATGAGGGCAATCATCCCCAAATGGTGGCAAACTTCAGGTTAGTGTATCAAAACCATAGCAATTTTGCTGGTTGGTCATGGCATGTCCCATTTTTTTATGGCTAATTATTTGGTAGCTATACACCGTTTTCAGACGCACCCTATATAATGGGAAGATTGGGAAATGGAATCTATAGTCAGTGGTCAGCAAAAAATGGGAATAGCATGACTTAACATGGTTTAATAGGGATTGTGATTGTTTAATGGGATATTAGTGATATTAGTATTAGCAAACAGTAATCATTAAAAGCAGCATCATCACCAGCCTCAACGAAGAGTGCAGAGTCTGTCACTTTCAGCAATTTCGTTCAAGTGTCTCTGTGTCCTTATTTTTGCAGGTCTCAAATCTCGTAGCACTCAGTTGGGGTACGTTGGCTCTCTTTTGTATTTACTCCTGGAGGTTATCGAAGTGTTCTTTATTGTTTTTCGGTGTGATGTTCCCCTTGGTACATTTCTTGTTGTTGTTTTCTTCGATGCTATTGCACTTCAGACAGGCATGTGTTTTTTTCTCAAAGACATATACATAATTATACACACACACATATATATATATATATCTACAATACACATTATATATATATGGTACTTTTGTAGTGTCTCTCCTTAGTTCTGATCACCATCTTCTTGAAGATGTCTTACGCAAGCAACGCTTTCGGATGGTTCCGGAGGGTTGCAAAGCCCGTGGTGGGACACTGCACTGCTGTCCGACAACAGCACACATTTGTCCAAGCACTTATGTGTGCACATGGAAATATGATGAAAATCCTCGATAAATATGGAGACATGGAGGTTTCTAGCTGGGAAAAAATCATCTATAAATGGTGGAATTTCAATTGCCACCTTTGGTAATCGGAGGGTGCATCAGAAAGAAACCCACGGGGCTCATGACCTCATAAGACCCTCCCTGTCTCTAGGTGATTAGCGGCGAGATTTGCACCGTGACATGCGCTCAGGGCTTTGAAGGAAGCTGGGTCACACTGAGACCTGGGGGTTGGAAGTGGGAAGTCCAAGGGCCGCAGAATCATGGTTGTAACATGATGTAACATGTGTAATGTTTGTAAGCAAACCATATGAACAATACTGAACAATCATACGGTATACTCATAGTGATGGAGCTGATGTCCCGTTTTGTGATGGAAAAGAAGCAAACAAAACACTGGGTAAACCGTGGTTTGGTTAACGTGTTGTGCTGGCTCGATCATGAGTGCATGTTTTTTTTGTTGTTGGCGTGAGTGGGAAGATGCTACCATGGTGCTACTATCGCCTATACCTATATACGTACAGCGGCAGTTACCGTTCCATGCATGCGTGTGGTTCCCCCCAAAAAAAGCTTGTCACAACCTAAAGGGAAGGGTCCTCCAAAAATAGGGTCCTGATTCTGATTGCCATCCCAATTCCAAATTTGAAATATCCTCATTGCCATCCCAAATCAGCCCAGATTCAGCTTTCATCTTTGTTATTGCTATGGTGTGCCTTTATCATTTTGTCCCCTTTTGATGTAGAAATTCCACCATTTGTAGTTCATTTCCCGGAAAAAATCATGAAAAAATCCTATGGCTTTTCCACATCTGAAGCAGTTTACCCCAGGATCAGACACCATCCGATTCCCAGGAACTCCTCAGGACTACATTTGCAATCCCTTCACGGCCAGGCTCCGCAACTCGCGGTCTGATTATACAGGTAGATAGGTATATGATATATCGGCATATACTGTATATAATATAATAATTATACGGCCAGGCGCTGCGTGTTGCCCGGAAAGTTCAAATGGCGTTTCAGCATTATCCTTCAACATGCTCAAACATTTGCGCAGGGCCATTGTTTTGAGATTTCCCAGACGACGAGCCCTAAACCCTAAAACCTAAACCCTGAAAACTTTGAATCCTAAACCAGACAACTCTGTGTATATGCAGTATGTTCATGTATTTTTTGCAATCTCTCCTATCTTATTCAACAACACGACATCCTGAATGTTAATGTTTGGGCAACACGCGGCGTTTGTGGGTAGTTATACTATATTAAAAATATGTTATATTAGATTATATTAGATTATATTATATGATTATATATATATATATGTTCCAAGCCGGGACCCTCAAATGATAGCTAAGTTGGCTTATACCTTGGTAGGGTTCATTGATATAACTATAGCATACTATAGCTATTGGGGTTTATAAACAAGCTTATGACTGAGCGGCCCATCTTGATGTAGGGAACAATCCCAAGATGACCGAACTATGATGCAATCATGATGATACAGTTCCTAGCTCCTATAGCACAACTAAATGACGTGCTGGACTTTTTCTATGACGTTGTATGATTTCTTGATTCCTGAAGGTGTGTGCCCTGGGAAAATCCCTGGCATCCCGATGTTCACATCCCAAACGTGTTGACAGAATGGGTAGATATAGATACACACACACAACGTATATATGTATATATAAGATAGATGGTAATTGTATGTATTTTGTCACATGAGTATACTGAGTACACACTTTATTTGCCAATTCCGGCAAATTCCATCATTTTCCATCATCTTCCCGGCTCCCTGAAAACCATTGTGCCAGGTTCGAGGGAGCGGCCATCACATGTCAGAGGCCAGGCTCATGGTCCGATCGGTCCGCCGTCGTCCCCATGAAATGGGCCTTCAGATGAGTGAATTATTGGAATTTATCCAGATGGATGGATGGATGGATGGATGGATAGATCTGTGTGCAACATGATTTTGTAATGAGTGTTACTGTATCATATTCACATATATATATACATATATTCTCTATGTATCTCTATGTGTGATCCAATTGCTAGACACATGGGGGCGACATGATTGCCAAAGACAGATCATTGACGTAGTAGATGCCCACATCTCTCATCAATGTGTGTTCATTTTGTAGTATTGTTGGTTATATCCATGATTAACTGGATCCATTGTTGATGTTTGCTGGTGACCAATTCACTGGATCAGAGGTTGATTATTATTGGTGTTATATATAACATATATATAATATATATATATATGTTATATATATAATATATATATGTATATATATATATATATATTCGCGCGCTGGGACGACCCCCCTGTCCCCAGCCAGCTGCCACCTCAACCCATGAACACTGACGCGCAGCAAAAAGGAGTGTGGGGAAAAAACTAGTTATATTTGGTTATTATCAATTACATATTGATTATTCTTGATTCTGGTTGGTTGCCCTTTGGTAATTTAACAGTTTGCTATTGAACATGACCATAGAAATAGTGGATTTTCCCATTAAACTATTAAACATGGTGATTTTCCATAGTTATGTTAGTTATGTTAGTTACCCAGAGGGTACCAATTCTCCACCTTTTGTTGTTCACCAAGTTCCAAGTTCCACATGTCCTTTTTTGGCGAAACACACCACCAGGTGCACCATCTGTTGGCACCTTCGTGGCCAGGCAGCGATGCGACGTTCAGACCCTGCCGACACGCACGGATTTGGACCTCACCGGCTGTCAGGAGAAGTGGCAGCTTTGGTGGTTACCCTCTGGTAAACGAACAAAAAACTATGGAAAATCACCATGTTGAATAGGAAAATCCACTATTTCTATGGTCATTTTCAATAGCTATGTAACAAAGGGCCCGAAATACCAGCCATAAATGGTAATCAATGGGGTCATCATGAACCATCATCGGGGTTACTGACTTATAATTGGTAAAGGGCCATAGCTGTGGCTGCGGAAATCGTTGCAGTTGGTAGGTTAAGATTGAGGTTAATAATATGTTAATGTTGTCAAACGAATTGTTTTTTGTTTTTTTTTGCATCCCAGTTATATAGCCATGTTCGGGACGGGAAAAAACAATCCCTTTTGATTTGTGGTATACAAGTCTGCGGGTGCCTTTTCAATGTGTTTTTGCAGTATTATTATTTCTTAATGAACATGGGTGCATCATGTCGGACGTAAAACCTCCCTGTGAACATATGCGAGCATAAAACAAGCTCACTTATGGTCTGGATTCACATCATATTTCATCTCCCCAAGGGCCCGCGGTTGCATTCTGCTGAATGCAGAGACATGTTGCGTCATTTTGCCATACCACCAGTGGGCACGCCTAAATAGCTAAGGTGTATAATTAATCAACTTGGTTAACCAGGCATGGCTGGGGTTTATGAAAATACAACTATACCCGACCCTGTGGATCACAAATGCTTATAGGCCAACTTGGCTATTGTTTCGGGGCCCTAGCTTGTATATTGATGCCTAAAACACTCATGGTTTCCAAAGCGTTCCTCGCCGTGGCCCGTCCCAGAACACAGTGGTGGGTGACTTCTGTCTCGTGTCCTGTGGCGAAGGCTGGAGTATCCCCAGTTGGGGGCAAGCGATTCCCCAGAATTGAATCATATGGGTCTACAATGGTCTACAACAACCCACAAAAAAGGATAGAAAAGGCAAATCCGTCTAAACTAGTGAAGAATTTGAAACTGTTCCATTTCTTTGTGTGTTTCATATATCCCGCGCATGATCATTTTGGGCAGGGCAAATCCTCTGCGACGCCCTGGCAAAAAAATGAAAAATGGTTTCAGTATGTTTCAGTATGTTTCAGTTCATGCGAAAGATTGCAGATTCCCACCTTCAGGGGACCTGCTAGGCTATGTGCCAACAGACGCCTCCTTCCAGTGCATGAGTGGCTTGAAGGGTAAGCGGATGGTGCAGGAAACAGTGAAACCATACTTTATTGTAAAAAAAAGCACCAAAAAGAGGTTTGGAAGGGGTGTTTGGCTCAATTGATCTCAATTGGTTGTTTCATGTTTTATTCAGACTAGAAATTTCAGTCACTGGAGCTGGGCTTGCGAAGGTTCTTGCCTTTAGAGATATGCATTACTTCCAGTGGAAGGCATCGCCCTGAAAGAGAGAAGGTAATAGGTAATGTCGGTAATGTGATGGAGGAATCGTTCATCCATTTCCTGCAAAACATCAGCTGCTTATTCGGGGGTCTCTGAGGTTACCCCTGGAAAAGCACAAAAAAAACGTATGCTTTCAGTTAGGCAGTTAGGTAATAGTTTCTTCATGTCACAATGTGAAAGAATTGACGACCTGTGGTTTGGGGGTCCCAGCTACCAGTCCAAATGTTAGACCATTTAGACCATGGATGACACAAGGCCAAACACCCAGTTGGGTCGTTGGGTAGTTATTCAGATCCCAGCACGACTCAATGCAGTTTTTGTTTTTCATTCAACCTTTTCTGTCCCTACACAGGATGATTCTGACCCAAGTGACTAGCATGTATGGACCCATCAAGTGAAGAAAATCAACATATTGATCCAATTTGGTGAATCTCCCATGTCCGTTGCAGCCCCATTTGGCATCATTTGGCCCCACTGCAGCCCAGGCGATTTGTCGTTTCAGGGAACTGCGCCCACCTGTGAAAGGCCTGGATCTGTTCATTGGTCGCTGAAGGATTCTTAGGGACCGGATATGATTGGAGTAGGCTGTTTCTGCGATAATTATCGCACGTGCCCCTTTTCAATGCACGTGGCTCTTAGAGGATACAATGTTACTGCCACTGCCAAGGTAACACGTGATGTGATGTGCCTGCAGACGGGCCTGTTTCGCCCTGTAACAGACCAAAATCGAACGACTTGACTGCTGTTTATATAAAAGATGCCTTATCCACACTATGTTTGCAGAAATTTACGTATATATAATTAATTTTGTAACTGTACAAATAATTATAGTAGCATAGGATGTCCACTTGATGTTTGTAGTTGTATGGGATATTATTCCATGATATTCCATGTCATATTCCATGTCATATTCCATTCGCAATTTCCACCCAGATTATTGAGAATATCATCAATGCACATATCTAATTTGATAATATAACATGTACATGTGATCATATTATATGATATGTGTTTTTTCTTGCACTGCACAAATCAACGGGTCCATACATGTATATTCTATAGCCTTCGGCAAGCCAGCCCGGCAATAAAAAACAACTGACTTGTCTCAATGCACAGGTGGTTTTACAATTACTACTAGTGGAACATCTTTTCTCATTGCTCTGCTTAACTACATACCGGCGTGTTGGATTTGACTCTGACCAATTCAAAACGGGATTTTCCTGTATGGCTTAACGCGCCGCATGTTGACATGTTACTCGTTAAAACGATTGTTCCTGCAGTTTGTTGCCTTAATGAACCTGTTGAACTTCATAGTTGTTGGTCAATTGATATAATTCTATAATCTTAATGCTTAAGGTATATGAGCAACCGTAAAAACCCCGGCAATACTAAATATGTATTCGACGGACATTGGTTTATGGAAATTGATGGAAATTGTTAAAAACACGAGGTAAGCGATGGGACCTTCCCAAATTAGCGATACCCCTTTTCAAGGTTATGTCATCATATTTCCCTAATATCCACATTAGCGATACCCAAATATCACATATTATTCATAGTTCATCACATATAAATATAAATATAAATATATATATATAAATGCAGCAGTTTCCTGCAAGCGATACCCCCCAAGTTTACCATATATCATTATTGTACAAACGTGTGGTAAGCGATGGGACCTTCCCAAATTTGTGGATGTCCTTTCCGTGAACCTAGGGTTTTCACAATCGCTCATTTATGGTTTATATGAGTCCCATGTTTCATTAGTTGCAGGTTATATTCCCAATATTCATATTTATAACATTTATAACCGAAACGGTGTTGTAATTTATGATTTGTTTGACCAAAGCTCCCCGGTGGATCCGCCACTGCCAGGCTGCCTTGCGACCCTTCCACTCTGCCCACAACTGAAGGCACCGATGAGTGGGAAGCCATGAGAGGATCAGATGAATACATGACGAAGGTAACACGATGCAATGTATATCGGTATATGGTCAATATATTGATCTATGGTGTACATTATATATATGTATATATCTATGTGCGTGCGTTTGTTTAATTAGCATGGGCATATTCTTGACAATGTGCCGATAAATAAATATATATATATATAATACACGTATGTACATGTTGGATTGTCGTACCTATATGATCCTATATGTATATATACCAATGCATGTATATATGCACATATTGCACCCGCCACTGACAGGGTGTGCGCATGTGCGTCCTACTTTTGTCATAAACGGGATCCAATAGCATAAATTGGCATAAACCTGTTTGTTACCACCAACTAGTGAATGAATAGCCACAGCCAACAAAACCAACCAGGACCGTTTTGTAAATGGTTTGAATGAATCAGTTGCCTCCTGGAAAGAGACACTTCTGAAAAAATCTGAAAACATGTTCTTGATGTTTCCTGTTTGTGTAAAGAAAAACATGCTTTCCATGGGTTTCCTGGTTCAAATTCACTGAGACCAATTGGTTTTTGATGGTTTTTGATCCCCAACTCCCGTCTCTTCAACTCGCCGTGAAGTAGTGAGCCATATTTTTGAGAATTGCCCTTGTGGCTCTTGGATGCAATCGTCTCCTCTTTCCAAGAAAGAGCTTCAGCACCGAGCCCTTCAACATTGTTCCGAATTTTCAGCTCCATGACGGAGCGTTTATTTTTATCTGCATGTTTCACTTTGCTCCACTTTTGCAGGTCACTTTCTATCTCTAGAGCAAACCGTTGGAAGCAGCAACAAAACTCCCTTTCTCAGGACTGGATACGAGCAACTGCCTGGGGCTGCTGGTGGGCGACACCTGCAGCGTTACATGCTTGAGTGGTCACCTGACTGCACCAGGGGTCGATGGGGAAGCGTAGGGAAAATTACGACGAGCTCACCGCGCCTTCACCACAGATGCTATCCGACAATTCAGCCAGATCAAGTTAATTCAAAGGATATCGTTAAAGTATTGTATATATACATATATACACATACATATATATATATATATTATATGCAGTATATACAAATTTATTTATACTATAGGTCATTGTCGCAAAATCATCCCCTAAACCAAAATGTTCCTCAAACGCCGCAGCATTTTGGTTTCCACTTGACTGAGCCCACCTGCAAGTGCTGAGTATGTCATGAGCCTCTCGTGTGTATCAAATGTACTGCCTGTGAGTTTCAACATTTATATATGTGCCTTACTAGTAGCGAAAATGCATCTATAGGCAAATATATATATATCTGAAATCTATTGTCACGGCTTCATTTTTTTCAATGATCCGTGGAACACCGTTCAGATGGCTGATCTTTTTGCCGTACATGGAGGAAATGTCCAGCTAAAAACAAAGTTGTTTGTAGAGAGTATATCTAAGATTTGCCGTTTCTGTCCATGAATCAGAATCCGCACCTTTTTTTGAGGGTCATGGTACACCATAGGCAACTGTGGGTGATGAACGGGTTCGACCGCATTAGGCATTGTTTTGAATGCCATGTCCGCGTGCTCCATGTATGTTTCGAAATGTTTACTGACATCTACCCATAGAAAAACATCCATTCATGATCAGTAAATTTGCTATCCTTTGGTTCGCAGGTTTTTTGAAAATGGGATACACCGTATACCCTTAAAATCAACTTGCTAAATCTGGCTATGATCACAATATTGCTATTTACTTGTACTTAGAACTGATACAAATTGTTGGTATAACATATATACCCCCATTTTCAGACCCACCCATGGCATATGGATTTATGGGACACATGGCTAGACGGGGGCAACAGCTCCATTCACTGACCCAAATTTAAGTGCCTTTTTCCGTCCAGGTTATGCAGCAACCGTCAGTTCATCGGATCCTGCCACGATGCAGTGTCACCTCAACACCTCCTTCACGGGCAATGCACCGGAGTGTAAGGCGAAGGACCACTTTTTAGACCAGCCATTTCTGTCGAAGATTGAGACAAATTGGGAGCTGAAAAGATTGGGATTACTGGGATTACCAATGAGTTACCGTAATACAGTATTATTGTTGAGATGGTCGCAACATTATATTTGTTCATGTGTTTACCCTGTTTGGAGGAACACAAATTATAGAAAAATGTGTCGGAGTCCGATGTTTTTGGGATCTGAAAGGTAACTTGTCATGATTACGACATGGTACGACCTGTTTTGAAGGGCTAACCTCGTTTCTTGGTAAATGAAGCCTAATGAATGTTTTTTTTTTTTAATATAGATGGAAATTGTTTTCGCTTGTTCAATGATGAGTTCGCCGACGACTATATAGTGGTGCTTGAAAGAATTGCAGGACACCCCCAGAAACAATGATGTTTAGGAATCATGGGGATGGTTTCCATTGCCATTTTTGACTACCAGAAGGTAACACCTTGCAGTGGCATGTGATTCAACCATATATTTATAGTTATTTATATTATATCACCCTCATACACATAATTATATATATATGCACATATGTACACACACAAGGAACCCAAATGACGCCTATTTTGGATGCTCAAATCCTTCCCGATGGGCTAAAACCTTCGGATTTAATGCTGTGGGGCAGCGCTGGGCATTTCTCCAGGACTGCCTTGTTCCAAGCATATGGGTCACTGATCCCAGTTTCAATACCACGTAACTTGGTGGCAAGTGATGCAAGATGGCCCATTTAGTGTCATTTAGTTCAATGATTTACAGTCCTGAACCAACAGTTGATTTTCCTGGGGCCACGGTAGCCCTCCTGTTTTTTTTAGAATGACGGGGTGACGGACAGTTATGTTCCCAAAGGTTTGGTTGAGAATATGTATTGTTTCAATCACATGCATGGACACTTCACTTTACATCACTTTATAGAGTATGGATGGTTTTCCCCATTTCTATCGATATGGACCATTTATAAACATATGAAAAGATTCGCTGTTCAAGGTTTGCAGGGACCCATATGTACTTAAGAATTCAGCACATCAGAAAGGGGCAGATGCAGAGAGTGACAGGCAACCTATGCATTAGAATGCTCCTTCTTGAAGGAACATTGGTTATCTTCAGTGGATGTTTTGCGTATTTGTTTCCTGACATCCGCGTAAGGACCGCGTAAGCGTCGCGTAAGCCAAAGGTGCTTTTGCCAGTAGTTGCCCATGCCGCCCAAATCCAAACCCTTCTCCGATCTTGGAAGAGAAACTCTCCAGTTATGCCCGTGCTCTCAGCAAGGGTGCTGTCAAAAAAGTCGTCAGCTTCGTGCTCTGCGAGCTTCTGCTGGTGGTACTTCTTCATCATCTTCCTCTTCTTCCACGTCTTCATCGTCCACTGCTTGATTTTGCCAATCACTACTTTGATTCTTGTATGTATATAAAAGTTGCCGCGCGTAAGCCGAAACTGTGGTGACGTGCTAAAATTTGTCAGCGTAAGGTCTGCGTAAGGTACTATAACGTGCGTAAGTAAAACTTGCGCGCGCATAAGCAAAACGTAAGCAGCAGCGTAAGCTTTTCCTAGCTCGTTTGGTGCCGCCATGCAAGACATTTAAAACACAGCTCAACTGGTGATGTTCGATGGCAAGCCTTTCGTTTCCCGGAGATTCCCGGAGGGCACAATGGAAAAATGGAATATTGCTATAATAAATTAGTGATATAATCATCTATAGGGGTAAATATTATATAGATATTATAACTCCCTATAATTCATTTATAGGTAAATCATCTATTGCTGAGTGATGTCCGATGTCCTCTTGCTGAGTTCGAGGGCTGCAACCGAGGTGTGACGGGACCAAACATGGAGACACCTGCGTGGGCCAATGCTCTGCAGGCTATACAGGTGCCCTTCTGACACCAAAGTCACAGGAGAAATCATTGTTCCCTACATATTTTATCATATTTTTATGCAAACTAATTCAAAAAATAAAACGAGGCAAAGAGAATGCTTACTTTGCTTCCATGCGCATCGAGTCGCTGGATTATGGACGATTATGGTATGTATGTCATAAATTTGTGCAGTACATCTACGCCAACCCTAAAGCGATGTGTATGTGTTTCTTTGGGGGGGTGTGCACGTTCAACTGATGTCATTTGCGTACCTCCTGCGGTCGACGGACAGAAAGAGATAGAGAGTCATGAATCGTGAATCATACTCTGGACATGTTCATGCACTTACGCTGGATTAATTTTGATCTTTAGCTGCAATATAGGCCTCTAATCATTTTGTTATAATTGTAGATGCTCGGCTTAGAGACTCAATCAGCAACCTCAACATGTCCTTATAGATACCATCATCTCAGAATTGGTTGAATGATGTTGAATGGACCGCAGGAAAGCCGGGTTTCCCATAGGAAGATCATGAGAAGATCTTCCTGGTTTCCGGCTGAAAAAGTCCCAGCCAGTCACCCAACCATTGATCGCAGGTCAATCCACTCAGTTCCAATGTAACAATGGTCAGCTGTGGGGCGCGCCTCCCACATGTCTGCCTGGCATAGCTTGGCGGCAATGGTTGGAGGGGTGCGACAGGAAGGACAGAGTTGTTGGCATATTATATACAAGCACACGCAGATGCATATATATATGTATATATATATTGTGTATAACATTATATATATAATATATATTTAGTTATTTTAGTGATGTTTCTTCAATGTGACTTCAGTGATCCGCTTTTTTTTTATGGGTCAGTCAAGCCAAGTTTGTGTGAAATAGTGCGGGGAGTTCCAGCCAATTCCTTTGAAGGTTTGACTCAAGGAATGTGGAAGAATTTCTATGGTTTTGTGAGGTGTTCCAACCCAAAACAGCATAAAGAGGCAATAAGTAGGGATTGTCATAGGTTTTCCCACTTTGTTCCCAGCCTCAATCAATCCCTAACTCAAATCCGTGGCATTTTTGCCAGGCACCGGCTTGGTATGCGCCTTTCAAGGGTTTGAGCCACTGATCCTGGAAGTGGCGACGCATGGGCCCCCTGGGTGCTTCTCAGAATTGGGATCCCTCAAAACCACTGGGGAACCCCCCAGTGATAACGACCAAGTTTGTATGATTGTGGGGTACCTCATTTAAGCAAACCGGCATATGCATGTATGCACATGCATATATATATACATATTCAGTATACTATATATATGTGTGTATATAATTATATATATATATACACAGTATTCATTATTTAGATATACAGATAGATACATGTAGTTATGTATATATATAAATAGATGCTTTAATTATATATATATAACTATATGTACACATGTAAATGTATAGGCATTTGTACTTAGAATTGTAATACATACTTATGTGATCATATGAACAAACGTGCGCTTTGTACGCAAAACTTGTCAGTCGGTGTCAGTATGCTTCAGAGCACTGACCCCAGACGATAGAGCAGTCTTTTGATGTAATTTGCCACATCCATCAATTATGGTTGGTTTATTGTTGAGTGCTTTTTGTTTGGAGATATGACGATACGCTATGCATCAACATGTAAATGCATTAGTTAGCAATATATATATATATATATATATATTCATATTTTATTTTTCAATAAATGAATTATAATATATATATATGTGTGTGTGTATTTAGGATTAAACACATGAACATTATATAAATATAATTGTGCGTGCCGTTTGCATTGGTATATCACAACATCCTGAGGCTCAGCGTTGGCCTCTTGGCTAGTGACTGCTACGGGAAGACCACTGGGGAGACGTGTCAGATGCAGTGCATCCGCGGCTATGACTTAGCAGGCAGGGAACGGCGGAAGGGATGGTGTGGTTTGGCCAACTTAATTGTGGTTTAATGGAATTATGGTGGTTGTATGGGATTGTAATGGGATTATAATGGTTAATACAAGGAATACTGGGTTGGCTTAACAGAAAATGTGCAGGAAACCATTGTTTTATGGTTTTCCCTATGAAATATGGGCATTTCCTGTAGCTTATTCAGCCAATCCAATGAAAACATCCGTTTTGCTGTTACCAACCGAAAAGGCAATATCAAGACAGCTGTAATGGTTAAAGATATGGTGATCTAGTGACGTAAATCTACCCAGCAACAAATATTGTGTTCCGTTGTAATTAGCCAGGGTTAAAGTTCAAGCAGCGCAAGTTGCCCGTTACACTTGGCTAATTAATCATTGCTGACAGGGACATCACCAATTGTTATGGGGAAGATGAATCTACATCAATGATTTTCAACGTACCTTCCAGCTAGCCAGATGCCGAAGGGACCGGGTCGCATCGCCGGCAGGTTGTCGTCTTCCAGCTATGACTGATACATTTGATACATTTTAGAAACGACTATCCAGGTGTTTGGTGTTCCTTTGGGTCGGAACAAGAAGACAAGTAAGTCAGAACTTGACACTAGGCTTGCTCTTTGGTCAAACCTCACAATGAGCCAAAAAGATCCCAAAAAAAACATTGGGAGGGAGATTCTTCATTTGATCATCAATGCATGGAAACAATTTTCCATAGCTGTTTAAGACATTGCCAGGGTGTAGATCCTGAGATGTGTTGAATAGCGGCAGTTTCATGTTCAGGAGATCCAAGCTCCACTTGCCAAGCGGACGGCAGCTTCACAACCCCCACCTCTGTGCCTGGGATCAGGGGAACATGTTTGCTGAGAGGTGCAGTTGGGGTGATGTTTATGGTTAATTACAGTAGTTATATATACATATATATATATTATTATATATATATATAGATATTTATATATATAGATAGATATATATAGATGGTTAATTGTTGAATGATGTTGTCCATGGTTTCCATGGTGAGTTCACCTTCATAAGTTGGAGCCCATGTTGCCCCAGAAAGCTATGATGATTTGTGGAACTCACCATACTTGGGACGCTTCTGGGAAGCTCGGACCGGTTGAACTATCATGAACTATCTGGGATATTTGGTTCCTTCACAACTTGGACACACACACAGACAAATACTGTGTACATATATATATATTACAATCTATTAAATATTAATGGGTATTTCAATATCTATACATGCAACGCATATGCATATATACCGGACAATCGTCCAATCAATTGCCAACTATTGTGGAAACCAAACCATGTATTGTTTTCTCGAACTTCCCTCCAAAAATTGGCTGAGAGATGCTGAGAGACATTGGAGAACTTCAATCATCTGGAATCTCATTTCAAGATATGTTGATTATTATTTCTTACATATAGTGCCTTATATATATATATATAACATACGTATGTGCACATATATATATATATACATATATCTAATATATATATATATCACATATATATATATCATATATATATATACACATATATCATATATATATACATATATCATATATATATATCACATATACTTTTATGTATCATATATATATATATATTAAAGCAATGTATGGATAAGGAAACTCCAAGTTCTCCCATCCCAAAACACCAAGGTCTGTCAGCCCAAGACCTGCGGCAGCCTCTCCTCGGTGACGCCCTTCTCCACGGTGGACGTGGCGGATACCTGCGGGAACAACTCCAGCTTCGGGGAGGTGGGGCAAAAGAAGGGGGGGAACTGGGAAAAACTGAGGTTGGACTGTGGATTTATGGGTTGAATGAGTTGAATGTCCCTCAGTTTAATAATATTTGCAGTGAAGGGGCTAAGCCACTAATAATTTTGAGCTAAGGCTATGAATATCATGAATATCTATGAGTGGAGGATATGTGGGGGAGTATGATGCCCAGCCCAGCACAAAACTTCCTGTTTTGAACGGGATCTTGAAGATTAATGAAGGTTGGCCATCATAAAATGGGCACAGTAGCAATGAAATATGTTCGAACCCGAACCGTGTTTTTCTTATGAGAAACAACGGCCACATCATTTGCAGAGACTTCGTTATGTGCTTTGCAAAGTGCGAGTGTTCGGACCTGGTGACACTAGGGCCTCTCTTTGAAGGGTCGATCGTCGGGGTGGATAATTGCGATCCGTTTAAAATTCCATGGCCATTTGGAATTTTCCTAAATTGGAGCTACCCCTAAATCATCCATTTCAAGGGTTTCTTTGGTTTAATAAACGATCCAGCTATTGGAGTACCCCCATGACTATGGACACCATTTGCTGCAGATTTGCATGTCCTACTGCGACATGGGCTTTGACCTGACGGGCAACACCACGGTGCTGATTTGTGACGAGGCCGACACCGCAAGCGCCACTTGGCAGATTTTGCTATCCGACGCTAGCAAATGGCAGATGTCAAAATTGAATGCCTGTAATTTTAGAGAGGTGTCAGTGGCAGCCCCAAATATTCCGAAACCTGTGTTTTTTGCTGTAATAATGTTTGGAATGTTCCAAACTGGAGCCGTTATTTATATTAATTTTGAAATTGACTCAAATTGCCAAAGGAGCTGGGCATTATCCCCCTTTTGGAGCTCAATTGAAGATTGGAGAACTCTCAGCAATTCTTTGCTTTTCCTATTTCACGGGGTATGTTCTACCTCAAGCCATGGGTTTCAAGCTTTAGATGGGCTTGTTTGGAAATTGGCTAGAAAAAAATCCAATGGTCTATCACTTTATCATCCGTTTTCCAAAAAAAAACATTTGGAGGACATAATTTAAACGATGTTCAAAGCCAAACTCTATGGGCTTACGCCGCTTGGGGGATCCCTGGGGGATCCCTAAGGCGGGCTATGTGGAGTACATCCCGGAGACGGGTCAGACCTTGGCCGCAGCACAGTCCTCGGGTCCCAGTTGTGCGGCTCGGCGGCATTCGTCGCCTTAGGGCTGTGTGATGTGTGGGAAATTTGCTGGGCCAAGCAACTCGTTCATGATCTATCCTATTCTATTCTATCCTATCCTATCTATTTATCTTATCTAATCTTATCAAATTTGATCCTATCCCATCCTACCCTACCCTATCCTATCCTATCCTATCCTACCCTATCCTATCTGTCTGTCTGTCTGTCTGTCTGTCTATCTATATTTGTGTGTAACTGGGGTATATTCCACACATAACTGGACTATCATATATGTTATTTCCGACTTCTATACCTTTGTTTCCCTTTTGTCGAGAGAGCTATTATATAGCTTTGGACAATGGCCCAATGATTTAAGATGATTTTCCTATTGAACATTGTCATTGTCCATGGTTAATTTTTAAAGCCATCCATGGTCATGTGGGTGATGGGTTGTTTATTTTATTGGCTTTACCACACATTATCTCGATATTGAAAATTCTCTCCTTATTGGTGGTTTGGAATATGTTGTTGTTTCACCTTTTTTTCCCCCCATCCTAATTATTGGGATGATAACCACCGATGACTAGTTTCGTTCATGGGCATTGACACTTCCAATCAGTTTTTGTTTGCCTCTCTCTCTCTCTCTATGTATCTATACATTATAGATGAATAACGATAAATATATGTGTATGGTATATGCATATCCATTCACGCATACATATTACACTTTACTGCACCCTGTTGCCAATGAACACCTGGTTGATAGTTTTCATTGCTCGGAAAAATGACCAGCTACGAACATCAATCCAGTTGGAATTGGGGAATCATAGCAGAAGAGTCCTTCAGCAATCCCTGAAAAGCTATAAAAGTTGGAAACTTGGAAAATATGGAGGAACACATCATCTATAACATCCTGAAAACAGTGTTCTACCTTTTTGGGGGTTGCTGCAGATAGATTGCCTTATGGCGACTGTATTTTGTTCCTATCGCTTCATCCACCATCAACACCCAAATGACCAGATCCGGTGCGGAACAAGCATCGTTGTGTGATGTTGATAGGGAATAGTGACCATCCCGAAAATTCGCAGAACATTGTATATATATACTATTATATATATATTATGTTGAATAACATTCACTTGTTCAGGCATGCACGTATGTCTGATATCTCAGATAGTCATAGTCTAGTGAATGAAATGTGAATGAATAATAATGAATATATGTGTATATAAATTGTATAACATTTATTGGGGTGACAAGTTGGCTTTCTCGTATTATTCGGGCGTTTTCAACACATGTTCGGCTTAAATTGTTTCTCCTGGCAGCCGCTTTAAGGTGGCCAGAAACTGCACCGTGGGCATCCCGAATGATGTCCTGGGAGCAACCACTGACTGCAACGGCAAGGTGGGGGGGTGCAAGTGGAATTGCGGAGAAGCAGATCCTGGATGAGTTTAGGCCTACACTCATCAATTAGACCCTCAAGAAATGGAGGTTTCTGGCTGGGAAAATCATCCATAAATGGTGGATTTTCAATTGCCACGTTTGATTACCGAAGCTGGAGGGTAATATCCCAACTGGCCCTCACAGATTGGATTCCCCAATAGCCTTGAAAGATGAGATGAAGAGGGTGCACGTGCCACGTGGTGGGATAAACCAACGCTTTGGACGTTCTCATTCTATAGCAGATAGTAAATCAATTGATTGCATATTGGCATATATCACTTGTTTACAAATCTACATACATGACGCACGTACAAACATACATACATATATATATATATGTTTATCTATAATACACATATATATATATTAGATATTAATTAGATATTATGTATTATATTATATTATATATACTAATTATACATTTTATATTACATAACATATACGCATGTCTTTATCAATCCACCTATGCGTTACACACACATGTGTATGTATATATATATATATACATAGGTACACAATATATAATACACCCATCAATTAGATTTATTGCTTGTGTCTCCAGGCAACCTACGAGATTTGCACCGTGGAACCCATGTTGGGATATACGCTGCTTGGTGATCTTGACATTTCCTCAACAAAACTGGGTAGAGACATGGCAAACATGGAGGCAATCCACTGTAGAAAATGGTTTCTATATGGTTTTATTTACCAACAGAAAATGAGCATTTGAACACTAAAACATGATGATTTAATGGGATTCAATGGACTTTCAACCATGGCTGGCTGGAAAATCCCCGCGCTGAGCGGAGGTTTTAGTGGTTAACTCGGGAATTGTCCAGCAAACCATGTTTTACAAAGGCATTCGAGAACCACAGGAAAAAACTCGGGAACACATGTGTTTTTTTGTTCCAGATGTGTTTTTCTACAGTTGTTTCTCTTCAATCACCTTGATGACCAGCTGGTGGCCTGCATCAAGTATCAAGTGATGTGGTAAGCTAACGGTAAACCATCCAACATTTTGCCAAGAACGGATGGTAACAACCATCCCCCAACTGGAAGTTCTTGTTCGCTTTACTAGATTATCTTGATTCATCTTGATTCATCTTGATTCATTTTGATTCATCTTGATTCTTGGTTGAACTGTCGCTCCCGCGAGGGTCAGGAGAGATAGTGCCGGCTTGGTCCATGGTGATCCCCATCATGTCCCGCCAAGGCTGCAGGTGGGTGACTCCAATACTTTGCAATGTCTTCCTGCCGCGGCCTCAGATGGAGATTTGAATAGATTTGATGGTAAACTCAACGCTGGGTACAAATTGAGGGAGTGGGTTAGTCGATCATTTGCATCCAAATTATGCGGGAATAGATATACTCTATAACCAGCCAATCAATTTAAGTTTTTGAGGGGCTGCGGCAATTATCTAAGATTGGCGATGAAGAATATCCTGCGCCGAAGATCACAGTTCCAGGTCATGATGAGCCACGTGCCTCATTTAATTAGGGGTGATCAATAGATTGAAACATAAACCCATTGTGCATGTTTATTTGCGCTCAATATATGACAAGACAGCCTATGATAGCCTTACTTGACAAAGTGCTTTTCTGCAACTTCGCGGGTTGCTTCCTAAGATATCCCATTCTTCGGAGAATTGGTTGTAATTTCCAGGAGCCCCCATGTTTGATTGGAACAACTCAGGGTTTCAGCCGTAGATGTTCCAATCCACTGATTTTCTGATTGGTTTTCCATTTTGAGGGTTTCTTAAAGTTGTGGCACCCATTTCCACCATTGGTTTCCCCACGCCTCCCAGGATGGATCCTTCAACCAGACGGCTCCCACGATTTTGCCGGGCACCTGCCCCGATCCGTCCTTCGGAGCTGGTGTAGGCGAGATAGCCATGGATCATCATGGATCAATGGCCGGTGTTTTTTTGTAGCCAAGAAATTCCCAAATACCATGGGAGTCCATGGGATATACAGTATCTGAGAGGTGAGATTGTAGACGAAAGAAGTAAAAAAACAAGTATGTTTGATCATGTTTAACTATTTTGACGGTTATATACAGTAAAATTTATTTGTATGATTTCATCATATGATCATTTGTGATCAACAATGTGGTCTTTGGGGTTTGTTTGACAACAGTTTTTTCAACCCAAACAAATCATGATGCAGTGGATGAAATAGAGAATCCTGTCTCCAGCCGGTTCCCTATTCTCAATGGTCCAGTGAAGTTTAAAGAGACCCAAAACATCCACCGCTCCAACCATTTTGGAAAACATCCTGGGAAAGAAGGAAACCATCCATGGTGGAAACATCATTTCCCATTTCTGAAAAGAAGAAATTGAAACACATCCATGGTGGAAAATGCATGAAAATGCATTCCCCAGCCCCATCATTTCCCAAAATATCTTTGGAGATGTGCATCCCGCCACAGGATCAAAGATTGTCAAAATGCGGAGCAGACTTAAATGTCTTGAAAGGCAAACATTTGAGGATTGCAGGGTCTTTCATCTTCGACCCAGACTCATCGATAGCTTTTGTTGGCCGCATATTTTTGTTGCTAATGTGGCTACAAGTCACGAAAGGTAGCGTCAGCTACCTGAGTTCTCCGTGCTTCAGCACAAGCTTAGGGGGTATTGGGGGGCCAGCCCGTGCAATTCATGGAATTCTCGCCGTTATGTATTGGATATCAATTATAAGGGGGGGGCCCCCCCCCCCCCGAAAATGGTCATGGGTTCAATTCCCACGGGTGACGCGGTCACGGGCCCCCACATTAGAGGCACACTTTCCATGAGGGAGATGTCCCTGTAGTCCAGCATAATTGGTATGCTTCAGCCTCAATAACAGTTGCTGCAAGGGGTCTTAAAAAGGGGTTTTAAATAAACCCCTTTTCGTGCATCATTTCACGCAGCACAAGACACAGTGTCATGCAGTCATGCTCTGGATAAAATCATCTTAGACTGCGCAAAAACGTTTTTGGTGTATCATCTTAGGGGCGCAGCATTTTGACACCACTCCTCTCCCACTACACTACCTTTCGTCCGCCTCCGCCTGCTCTCAAGTTAGCTTAGTCGTTGTTTAAGGGAAAAACGTGTGGTGTTCTCTTGTTTCAGGCTTGTTTTTAGGAGAAGTTACGAGATGAAACATGAACGTATGGCTTCACACCAGAAGTGAAAATGGCTGCTGAGTAGCTTCCTGGGAACCATGGCCAATCTTTTCAGCCCTGGTTTTTTCTCAAGATGGCTTACCCGGCTGGATCCTATGTCCATTTCCATCGGGAAAATGCCGTTCTAAAGCATAGTATGTTGGGGCCACGCTGACAGGCAGCAGTTGCCAGGGCAAAGTCATTGGTTCAGACTGCTGGGCATATTGCCTTTCCGGCTGGCAGCTTGGCTGGTGGGTTTACCCTCCGATAATTGAACATAGCTATGGAACATGGCCCATTCATAGATGGCTCACCCAGTAAAAACATGTAAAACATTGTAAAACCGTACTTTTCCGTAGCTAGTTGTGTTAAATATGTTGAATTACCAGAGATTACAGCGGATTGAAGTCGACCTTTTCTACTTGGAAAGGTATCACACATTGGGGCACCACTTCCCTGGAGATGGTCCGCCCTTTCGCGGAGCTCAGTGCAGCTCTCCAGGAGTGGAACTCCCAAGAAATATGTCTGTGCCGCGGATGTGGCTGCGAACGCGCTTCTGCTGCAGCCTCTTGGCTGGAAGTGGCACTGGAAGTGGTACAGCTGCATGGTATTGCTTGGCAACTTCTTCCCAGGCTTAGCCTTCTGGGGACGACTCAAACGTAAATAATTCACAGGCATAAAACATCATTAACACACACACATATATATATACACACATATATATATATATCCCATGAGAGAGATGAGATGATTTGAAGTCAAGCTGATTGCAGGCCACTGCTGCAGTTTCTGCGAAGTTACTCTGGAAAGACCCCTTCTCTGTTGTCAGTTGCGTTGCTCTTCTATTTCCCATCATCATTCGGTTGTTTAAGGACATTTACCAGAGACCAGGCAGTCAATTTGGATACACAATTCCATCCCCGTATGTAAAAAGAAAGTCCCTTAGATGGGCTCCCTAAATGTATAGATCCAATACTGAACCAAGGTTTGTGGGGGGTAAGGGATTGATTATTCATTAGTATTTAGTATTCACCAGTTTCACCTCAACATGCAGAGGAGTTTGCAATGATTTGATATGATTTGCATGCCCACACATCCCGACTTGGTTCAAGGGGAAATCTGCATTAAAACCCATATTTGATGGTAAAAATCATGATCTCCTGTTTCTCCAACAGTTTAAATCGCCTCAACCAAGGGCGGACAGCACGGAGATTTCATGCACCTACACTGGCAGACGTTTGAACAGTGGGCGACGTTTACAGACAGGCTGCACCAGCACAGCTGCTACTTGGCTGGCTGAGAGACCAGGGCCTGCTGAGCCCCGGGCATGGAAAGCCAGGACCGGCTGTGGCACAAAATGATCGGCCAACAAGAACTTGGTATGTTTGCCGCATCTAAATGCACCCCTGCTAATATGGCATATGTACATATTATATATAATATGTGTAATATATATATAATATACACCGTATATCTACAATACATATGGCATGTTAGGCCATCGGCATGTTTTCATACTCCTCCAAGTTTGAGACGCATTCATGTGCCACACAAAATACCCCATACCTTTTCTGGATTTCTATCAAGCAGTACCTTTTTTTTTTTCGGGATAGATACTTTACCTCTTAGGCCCAGGCAGGAACACTCCAATTTTTTAAAGCTTAGCTTTAAACAAGGCATCCTGGAAATAGTATTCACACACACACACACCTTCCGAATCTGTCCCCAGGGCAGCACCGGCTCTCAAGAATTTGATCGTGAAACCGGTCCCATCTATTCAATTCGCATTTTACAAGCCGGATTATTCGGATTCGGATTCTATGTTCATCTATTTTCTATGTTTTACACGCATCCGATTGCTGTTTGCTCTTTTGGATGGAATGAGTTCCCAAGCAGCTCCTGCCCATCGTCAGGTCTCCGCGGTGGGTCTGAGCAGTCCACAATACTTTTCGGATTGCGATGGCAAGGTGCCATGGATGTTCAGCTCACCGGCGTCCCCTTTGGTCAAAGCCTGAATATGATGGCAAAATCACCGACCATAGTGGTGATCCAGCTTTATACTGTTCTGTAATGCATTATAATATATTATAATTATAATGATTTTTAATGGACAAATAATTTCATTTGACATAATATATATATTATTATTATTTATTATTATTATATAACCAAAAATATCCAAAAAATTGGTTTACTTCCACATGTCGAGTCTCAAACGTGGCAATGAGACATCCCCGCAGCAATTTAATTAAATGGAAGTTTCTAGTTGGGAAAATCATTGCTCAAGGCAGATTTTCCATGGCCATGTTTGATTGCCAGAATTCCGCCTACAAAATTGGGGATATTTTCGAACCCATGAACAGGTTTGGATTGAAACAAAAACGGTGATAGAACTTTTTGGTAACCTGACGACATGGAAATGGACAATACAGTATATATCCGATATTGTCCAGTTTTATTTCCATTCGCAGCTGGTTTCCCTTGGAAAGTTGATAAGTTTCCTTGCCACGTTTGCAAACTGGAGGGTACTTGGACCTTCTGTTTTGGCAGGAACTGATTACGGTAATAATAAGTACAAGGACTCTCAGGTCATGAAGCTATCATGGGGCCATCTCGGTGCGGCATAGTTTTCAGCCTGAATATTGGCACAATTGGCACCTATTATCCTAGCATTGCCTCAACTCTCAGCGCCCTGGCCAGTATGGTCATTGGATTTGTCAAGGTCAGATTGAACTCTACTGTTGCGATGAAGAGTTTGAAACCCAACAATTTGCTTCAAAAAGAATGACTACAGGGCAAAATTCTCCGGCTGAATGGCGGGCCTTTGAATTTAACCTGTGCCTCGCATATGGAGAAGGTGTTTTGAAACTTTTCTTACAGTGGTCAGAACTTCGCACTGAGACTCTAGTTTCATGGGGATTTAACCAACCCCTTGCTAGTGATCTAGTGGTTGTTGGTGGCTAAGCCCTCAGCCCTTGGTCACCGCTTTCCACTGGTTCCTCAATTTTCCACCAACTCCCCGAAGCAGAACCGTAGGCAGACACTGAAGTGTGCATCGCCCATTGCAGTTTCGGCTGGGTCATGACAGAGACGGCGCCCTCGATTTTTACCTGTTCCAGTGGGAGCCTCACAGGTGCACTGCCTGTTGATCATCAACCTCTTAAAATGACTGGTTTCATTTGGTTTCATACAGTACCCCAATTAATGGGAGATGTGGCTAAAAATTAGGCAAACTTTGGGCACCAAACTACACATTTTGATCAAATTTGGTGATCTGTAGTCTTAGTACCTTTCATGCAATCCAAGAAAGCATGATAAAGCGTGGGTGGCACAGTGGCACAGTCAGAAACTGCTCCTTGATATTCCTTGCTGAACTGGGCATGTGAGCCCAACTGGCACGTTGAGTTGTTGTCACCCTGAGGTTGTTATTCCCCCGGAATCACGATCCCATCCCTAATCCCATTTATATTATTACCGTCTGGTGAACTAACATAGCAATGGAAAATGGCCATTTATAGTGGATTTTCCCATTAAAAATGGTGATTTTCCATTGCTATGTTAGTTCACCAGAGGGTATATAATCATAATCCCAATAGATATACGTGGGTTTACTATGGTTTACTAATAGTTTACTACCTGCTTGAATCCTAGGTGGCTCGGACCCTGTGGTTCAGGATGGGTCGTCATTCCATTCTGCCACTTCAGCATCAATACGGCTCCACATTGGATGCCACCCAAGGTTATTATATAACAAGTTTCCAACCTCAAAACAGTCAAGACATAATTGCAGCATATTGCAGCCTTCTGACCTCTTGGCCCTGTTTGGATGTGACATTTTTTCCATCAAGCCACGTTTGTGAAAAAACCGTGCCGGAGGGTCTCCCAAATATCGAATTGGCAAAATTGGGGTATGATCCCCGGGCTTCACCAAACCGCCAGGTGCCTCATTACCCACTTGCACCGCTGTGCCGTGCTCCTTTGGCTTTCCTAGCGGCCTTGGCATAGCTCACGCACCTTGGAAGCGTTTGGGAATGGGATGGCCCGCAGATATACATGTATAGTGGACATGTCTATTTACAGCCTATCGATTGATCAACATGGAAGCCCATGAAGCTACAAGAATAGGTGGAAATTGTTGGTGATCTACCCTCTAAGACTGATAATTTCAGGGAATCCTGGGTGTTTGGAGAGTTCATGCGGGGGTCCCCTCAATTATTGACGTTGATGATCGTTTGTACTCTCTTAATGTGATACAATTGTTCAATTTGATGTCATATGATTTAAATACCATTGATTACCCCAAAGAATCCCAAAGTTACACTTTGCACGAGGAGTTGACACCATAAAACACATGTGACTACCATTGTGTATATATCATATACTCAGTTCATCTCAATTCCATTTAATTCCTATCAATTACCATTGTTTCACTTCTTTTGTTGACACCGCCTGTTCGCCCACATCTTGGATGCTGCGCAGGACTGCGACGGCACGCGCACCTCACAGACCTGCAGTGCCAGCTGCACCGGAACGGGCTACACCTACGCCAGCGGCGCCAGTGCAGAGGTGTGGAAGCGTCCCAGAGCATCCCAAAGCAGATGAGATGGCTGGGGAGGGTCATGAAAAAAGTAAAAATGCACCGTTGATGGATATTTATGGGGTTTTATCATGATGATGATCATGATGATGATGATGGTGATGATGATGGTTAGATAAGTTGGATCTGGTTTATACCCTCGGGTCATCCACGTGGCTGGAAAATCCCAAGTAACTAGAGGTGCTGGAAAAAGCATCATACATATTTGTAGATGATTTTAATGAGGTGACTGCTTACTATTTTTGTATATATATATATATACATACAAAACTGTATAAATATAATTAAGCAAGAGTAAGGTATTCTAACAGCAGTCTGGTGATTCAATGGGAATTACTGTAGCTAAGATTGTTGAAATGACTCTACCAACTTGGGTTTATGGCATTGGATGTTTATCGTAGATGTATTGACTATTTTTTTCAACAGTTTTTTTTCAGCTGACTTGCCGCAACTCTGGGGCGCCTCCTTATAGTGACCGAGCAACCGGAAGTCCCATCAAACATCGTCAGTGAATCATTGTCACTCTGAAAGCAGCCACCCCATTTCTAGACCCCCTTTGAACCATCAGCGTATCTGCATGTTTCAGGTTTGGACTTGCAATGCCGGAGGTAGTCTCAGCGGTACTTTGCCACAGTGTGAACGCACCTTGCAGAGTTTATGGGAATTCTGTGACAGGATTGTGGGAGGAATAGGAGAATGAGTCTGATTTTTTCGGTTGAGAGGAACCCGGCGTTTTCCATTCTATCAAAGTGTTCCAAATAAATATATAAATATATAGATATATAGCGGACGGTTGTCTAATTTAATATGATTTGTCCGCATGTGCGGCCTGTATGAGCAGGGTCCATGCTGCCTGTCCCTTTCCTCCGGCTGTGACTCTCAGCCCACTGTTGTTCTCGAAGATTTGCATCACTTTACGGTAGCCCCCCAAAAGATAGAAAACAGACTGATTACCCATAGGATCCATGGTGCTATATATGGTAACATTTACCATCAATATACCCCCAATGTTAGCATATATATACCATGCATGGATCCTATGGGTTATGCAATTAAGTAAGATGTTGCTTTTCTAGCTCGACTTTTTTGTGGTTGTTTCACATGTTTGTGTCAACGCTACGGCGGGTCATCATGCGTCTCAAGTTTTTCCAGTATTGCAGTTGTCTACTCGATAGACAAGCACGTTAGCGGAATTACCTAATTGCCTAGATTCAGGTATTGTGTGACACCCTGACTTTGTTTATCCAGGAAAATCTTGCACAGATCTTTCCCTGGGCAGCACCTATGTCCACACCTGCGTGAACAAGCTCTACCAGGACCTTTGCAATCAGGCAAACTGGTCCTTTCAAGTATTAAAGTACCAAACAAAAAGCTCGATACTTCTGGAAACCAAATCACCTGGAAACCAAATGGAACACCCAACCACCTGGTTTTTTGCAGTGCTCTGGCAGTTGACCCAGGCATTCCTGTCTCCTTTCATGGCAGGGAAATCATCCACCAGTGGGGTTCCGACCAGGACATCATTGACTTGGGTCTGAAAATTGGGCACGCCCAACGTCATTTTTCCATTTTTCCTATGTCATTGTGGGGTATTCCATTTTTTTTGGACAAAACCATACCAAAAAAAAAAACATCATGTGCATGTCATTAGTTATAAGTTGTATCCCATGGAACCCCAATGATATGCCTATAACAAAGATGGAGAGTGATGGTTAAAACATATTAAGGTCACCAACATTAGTTGTATTATGATCACCCAAATGATCATGAATTTGTTAAATCGATGGAACATCCCTTGTGATGGGTTTACTTCCTCAATAATGATTGTTTAATCACGGTAGATCCCCAAAATTGAATCACTTATATAGATATATGCCCATATATGCGCACAAAATAGAAAGATTAAGGCCACAAGAAAATGCTAAGATCCCATGCATCATCATTTATCATAGTTCATCATCATTTATCAATATATATATATATATTTATTTATTTATAGATTGTAGATATATATATATAATCATTTTATATACACTGTATTTTATTTGCATACATATATATATAATATATATATACATTATTTCCCATCATATCCCAATGGTATCCTCATTCCTTACGTCGCGTTACACGCCAGGACGCGTGTGGAGTCAGTTGCGCCTCGGGCTACCGCGGCACTGGGGCGCAATTTCTTTGTGAGGCGCCGGCTTTGTTGGATGGGATAGGAATGATTGGCTTACCATCATATTGGGATATAATATTGGGAACTATTGGGATAGTAATGGGATAGTAAATAGCCCATTATTATAATGGGATATACTATAGTAATGGGATATATTGGGATAGAATTTGGATAGTAATTGGGATAGTAAATGATATAATAAATGATATAATCGATAATGATATAGTGTAATGGGATGATATAGTCAGTGAATGGGATATAGCAAATGAATGGGATGATATAGTAAATGATATTATAAATGGAATAGTAATATTGGGATATGTAAGGCTTATATATTACAGTAATGATTGGGATAGTAATTGGAATAGTAATGAGAGAAAATTGGATATAGCAAATGGGACTGCAACCTGATACTGACACAGTTTTTTGATACTATGGTTAATATGAACTTTATATATATACACATACTGTAATACTTTCCCATAGGTGGTCAGTGTAATCTAACTATAATAAGGATACAAGTTACAACGGGATATACAAGCAACAATCTATGATATGATTAATTAACTAATAAATCCGGATGAAGTATGTTGTGACCTTACGTCGTGACATCAGTGGAATAGTGCTTTTTTGATGGGAATCATTCCCAAATGGCCGCATGAGAACATCTAGTTTTTCTAGTTTCAGGTGTGTGAAATATTAGAATTCAGCCGGATAATGTGGTAAGAGGTCTATGAAACTGGTCATATTTTATGATTTTTCGGGGTCTGCCCCTAGCAATGGGATGATTAGACAAAATGACACCCAAATGATCAAATGGTTGGTTGTTAATGGCATGGCCTCATCGGTTTACCACATCATAATTGGAGATATCCCAGAACCGGTGTATAATTCGATTCCTGGGACGCACTCCCAAGTAATCCCTTGAAAGACCGATATTCTCGGGTCCTTTAAGCTATGAAATTGGCCCATGTACCTACGTATGCTAAAATTAGTACTTGTCGCTAATTATCTTAGATCAGTAGGGGGTATTGAATGATGGAAAGAAGGGACCCAAACATGAATCTATCCAATACATTCCAATATATTCCAAAGCGGTGTATATATATATATATGGCACGCCAATGCTTCGATTTATTTAGGGCAAACATCATGGGAAGTGAGGGGGCTACCATGGCTGATTTTATGCTTTGCTACTGCTGTAGCGTTGTTTCCGTCAGGTCTCCCAATGTATATACATAGTATGCATATGCACAGAGGATAAAACATAAGACACATAGATCATACCCCCCTACCCACCCACCCACACACAGACATGCAGGTAAAAGATACACAAATTTTATCACACTACATTACAGGACAGAACGTTATATATAATAATATATATTTATACCAGGGGTACCAAACGGGTGCCGTAGTGGGACCCCTTAGCCAAAAAACACAGTGGGACCCCTTATTTTTTTAGTTGGTTTAGAGGTAGTTTGGAGGGTTCTTGACCATGCATCTCAATTTTTGATCGCTGAGGGCCCAGGTTCACCCGCAATGGCCACACTGCAGCCTGGCCACCGGCTCATGTAGGAATGATCGACCAAAGGCATGGGCATCAGGTACAACACCTTCAAAGCTATGGAATGGTTGGCACTGAATGGCCCAAGTTAAAACAGATAGGTAGTAGAGTTACTAGAGGTGCAAGGTACCCCAACACAATGTTAAGTATCATTAGAAGGAAATTCCGTCGTTGGACATCTGCCATGCCGAAGCGCAAGAGTGGCAGCAAGGATTTCAATGATGAGGCGAAGAGCCTTGTCAACAACATATTTGGAGGGTTTCATCGGGAAAAAAACATCAACATTCATTTTTAAAAACCATGACTGTGAATAAGGATCATGGCAAAAGCGTTGATGGCCCGTATCTATGATAAATGTATTGAATGGATCCGACGATCTGGTGAGTTTTGGCCTGGCGGAGACATCCGCGTTAGTGCCAACCAGTGGCTGCGAGCAGCATTCCATGACAGCTCCCTCAAGAAAGTTCTACGTGAGAACTCTATGAGACAAGCCTTACACATTGTTGTCAACAAGAAAGGGCTTCGTCTTCAACTGAGTTGATACGAAATTGTTTACTTTTATTTCCTGGTGAGCACATGTTCCAACATCATCCCCTGCCAACAATAAGGTTTTGGAAAGTCTGCCAACAATAAGGTTATGGTATGGGACAATGCATTTTGGGGAATGACAACAGCTGGGCATAATCTTTTGGAAAATGATATTTTTACCGAGCAAAAAGGGTTCATCTCCATTTCAAACCATGAGCCTGCAAGCTCGTTGGGCAAGTTACGGTAAAATCCCAAACGTAATCTGGTAAATGTTTTGGGCTAGAAATCTGAGAAAATTCCAAATCTATCCAAATCCCAAAAAAGGCGCGTGTCAAACGTGTCAGTGGCGTGTCTCGGGTGGTTCCTTGGGGGTCCCACAGTGGGACCCCTTAGGCTAAGGGGTGCCGTAGTGGGACCCCTTAAAAAGTGTCGGGGGTGCCCACCAAGTTCAGGGGGCGTGTCATTTCGTGTCGTGAAATCTCATTTTTGGTGGTTTGGTCAAAAAAAACGATCGATCTATTCTGTGGCTCCAGCGGGTCTTTTCGGGAACAACCTAGTCGATCTAGTTCCAGCCATGCCGGATGGAAAAGAGTTTGAGGCTGGCTAACCCTATTGAGTAGGGAAAACTCTGTAAGTAGTATTTGTTTATATATTATATATATATGGCTGACTATCCCTGATGTTTCATTTTCATGTGAGCATATGCACATGCTCCACTATTTATATCACAACGAACACTGATGTAATACTTGGCTGGGGGGCTATGTCGGCTAGCGCTGAGAAGATGAGGGCACTCAAAGCTCAAACTGTTCCGACAGAGGCTTTCAAAAGTTTGAAAAGAAAAGAAAACAAGCACTTGAAGATATCGAGCAAAACAGAAAGGAAACAGCACCATGTGAGGTTAGACCATATCGTCTACGACTGTGCTCCAGAAGTTTCTCCACTGAAACTAAGCTGCTATACAGATGAGGACGCGATGGGAAAACTGAAGAAATTAGCGATGATTTCATATCCCAACCAGATGGGACGACAAGTTCTGTCACGCTACGCTGCATATACATGCGTGCGATGGCTTCGAAGACTCACAGAATAAGCTAGAGTATATACTCTAAATGTCAAAAGATGTCACTATGTATTTTTTTATGCTGTCATTTTGTGTACTGTGAGTTTTCGGCGACTGCATTTCCAACGACTCCCGTTGGCACCTTCTGAGCCTCTTTCCAAAATGTTGAGCTGGTCCAGCCGATGCCGCCGCAGCGCAGCCAGGTGTGAACTGGTGATTGATGGAATGGGGTTATTTGATAAGATTACCAAAGAATACCTACAAATATATCTTACTATATCCAGCACATATGTTTTTAACAGTTGGTATGACCTTGGGAATAAGGGTTCCCGTAGTGGGACCCCTTAAAGATATCAACTTCCAAAAACACAGTGGGGCCCCTTTGGCGGTGCTGGTATATATATATATATATTTACATATTTTTACATGTATTGATTTACATGACAGTAGGTTGCCTTCATCCATCCTTGTCCCAGTGTCCAGGCCGATGGTACCTTCTCTGGTACGATGCCAGTTGCTGGGCGGCATGGTGTTGTTGTTTCTTTTTTAACAGTAACCTTGGAGAAACCATCAGAGAGACAACCATATATCAGCTAGAGCTGCAAAAAATAAGTTCGCTTCCAACGGTTTTCGCTGGAATGTCACTGTGAAGTACGTGTGAAATGGTAGAGGTGTGCAAAAATATTGGAGATGTTGCCATCGTATTCTCAAAAAAAAATGTCAAGATTAATGTGATTAAATGTGATGGAATGTAATGGTGCCGAGTTTTGGGAGGCTTGGCTTTGCTTATCAGGTGTTGCCGACCACAGAATCAATTGCTGCCGTTTGCTGTGGAAAACCGTGGAACTCTGGGAGTTACCTTGCAATGTGTACACTTAGTGACTTGGGGATGTCAAGTGATATCCCAAAGACCCGTGATATCCTAAAGACCCGAAGACACTTTTTTTGTGTTTCAAGTATAGTTGTGAAGCCTAGTGGGTGAGACTATGAATACACTTCGTACTCCGGCAGTACGTAATTTACCATGAACAAGCAGGATTTGAATGGCCGGAATTGCCAAAGTTGCTACCAAATCCCCTCAAATCCACCATTTATAGATATTTGTAGATGTTTGTCCCAGCTTATAAACCTCCATTTATAGTATAGGGAATGGTCCATAGCTACAACCAGAAGGTACTAAATCCCAAGTTTTTTTTTGTTCGCTCAGTTTCAAGCTTCACCGGGATGATTCCGCAACGGATCCATGGTTGGTCCGTTGGCGTGAGATACAATGAGATATGCTGTAGATATCCTGAAACCAGTCATGAAAAATAGGTGAACCCTTTGGGGCTCTCATTCCATATATCGTCTATATCACTTATATCGAAAATATATCCTTATCTAATCTGAGATGTTTCCCATAGCCACATAGTGCCCTGAGTTCTCCCCATTTCTCCCATTTCACATCCGTTTCCCGTTTCCCATCCCTAGGTCTGTGTGGGTAACCCCTGCCAGAACGATTTGCCCAACAGCAGCAGCTGGAGCGCTGGAAGTTGCGACGGCCTTACCACAGGCAGGGCCTCACCGTTGAAAGCGCCAGTTTCAAGTAAGCAATATATACATACAATTACAATCAATTACATATATATATATATATTACTCTATATACATACATATATATATATATATATTACTCTATACACACACATATATATATACATATATACATATATATATATATATAAACAAATGATTATAAAAATATATACTGTATATATAAAGAAGAAACATGATGCAATTTGACAGAAGAGATTATAAGAATTTATCAGATATATTTTCTATTATTTTGTCACGGTTATGAAAGTTCACATATTTGGGCGGTCCAGGAACTCATTTGTGACCAATAAGGTCACTGAAATGAGTATGACTTATGTGTAGGAAGATGTTAAACCATGGATGGCCTCCATCAACCACCTGATGTGGGAAGGATTCGAAGAACTGATGGAACTGCTGTGGATACGAACCACGGAGAGTCAGTGGGACTTACTCCGTGTCCCAGGAATACGGACCTGACAATTGATGACAATTGCCATCGATTCTGTGCACATACACCCCTTTTTCTCCATTGAAACAACAAAAAAAGAGGTACCGCGCGGTACAGCACCTACAAATGGCTGATGGTTCATGAACGGCCCAGGTCAGAGCTGCGATGTGACCTGCAAACTGGGTTTCTCTGGCAGCTCTACAAACCTCACTTGCGACATGGCAATGGACTTGGGTTTCCATACGCTTCCGAATAGGTGACTATATATGGAATAGATACTATGGAATCTCCTTGGGGGATAGACACTATGATTATGGAATCCCCTATATACATCCATACAATTCCATAGACACTACGATTCGATGGAATCATATAGTGAACGATGTATATAATAACGACAGGGACAATGGATGAGATGGGCGGGGCTGGTCATGAACAGGAACGAGGTAGACACGATGATTATGTGGACGTACAATGTATGATTATGATGATGATGACGATGGTGATGATAATGATGATGAGGAGGTTGAAAAACACATATACACACATACATACATACATACATACATACATACATACATACATACATCCATACATCCATGCATGCATGCATACATGCATCCATGCATCCATGCATCCATGCATCCATGCATGCATGCATGCATGCATACATACATACGTACATACGTACATACATACATACATACATATAAATAAAAAAATATATATATATAGATACACATGTGTATTATTCAAGTACATATGTACATGGATATGAACTACAGCCAAAATTATGGAGAGTAGTATTCGAGAGCTCTTTATTTCTTGAAATTATTGAGCTGAGGATTGGAAAGCGGTAATACGCTCTCCATTTGTATGTGTGTGTTATCCAGATATTCCACTACATGTGTCCCGAGCCAGCTGTTGTTCCAATATCTGATGGAGATATGAAGAGAGGTCAACGGTCTATTACAAAGCAGCATGTCCCAGAAATCTATCCTGGAAGCTTCAAGAAACTGATGAAGAAGACAGTTTTTGCTTCGAAAATAAGACTTGCAGGTGCCCATTTATCTTGTTCCTTCTTGAAATTTCTAAGCAGATCTAAGCCCAGTCATCCAATCCCAACATCGGCCGTGGGAAACCCCGCTTTCCCACAATCCCACCCCACAGGTGATGCTTCAGGAGCCGCGGCGAGGTCTCTACCAGTGTTACAACATGTTTTTGAGGATGTTTATAATGATTATAATTCAATGATTATTGGGGTGTTTTTGGGGTTATATGAAAATTAATTATACCAATTGATTACAATCAATGATGATTGGTTATTCTATGTTATTGATGAGACCAATTGATTATTGATGTTTATAACACCCATTGATTATTGATTATAGATTATATATAGAATATTATTGTCATTATAACATTGGCCCTATATGATCATGCATGGCGGACAATGTGTTTTTTTTTTTGCGACATGGGCTGCATCTCTAGTTGTCCTCCCATGGTGCCGTTTAATATTGTCTAAATGCCAAGATGATGAAGATGCAGCGATGATACACTGGGATGATCCCTGATATTCAATGGTTAAAACAAGGTACCGGCGCCGCGACCCTGAGGAATTTAAACATTGTTCAAAATGGCAAGAGCTCAAAACCTGCATTTCGGAGCATGTATATGTGGAAGTCAAGATTTCAAGGCTTTAATTTTGTTGGTATTTGCAGGAAGGCCAGCCTTTTTTTTTCAAAAAAGCAAGAACCCAACTTTCTCACAAGAGACATCTTATTTGAAATTTAGTTATCGGTAAGTAGCGCAGCAGCATCTTTGTTACATGAAGTGAACTTCAAGTAGCATGACATTTTATTTGATATGATGTTACCGTTAAGTAGCGTAGCATCATCTATGCTACATGAAGTTAACTAAAAGTAACATAACATCTTAGTTGAAATGAAGTTAACGCCAAGTAGCGTAGCGACATCTATGTTACATGAAGTGTGCTTGATTTGGCGTAGCATTACCTATGTGACAAGAGGTTAGTTTTGAAGTAGCATCACATCTTATTCGAACTGAGGTTCACGTTAAGTAGCGTAGCACCTTGTATGTATGCAAGCGCTATTGAACGTCATTGCACACCCCCACACCCCCCACCCCCCCCCACACCCCTACCCCATCGGAAACCCCCACCATCAAAAGCAAGTAGCGTAACATAATAATTATGTTAGTGCAGGTCAACGTCAATGTTAGTGCAATCCGCTGAGAGTGCAAGACATTTGTGCAAGTGTGCAAGTGCAAGATTTGTATAAGCAGCGTGCAATGATGTATGCTAGTTCAACTTAACCTGACATAGCAAAGCATCATCTATGTTAGGAGAAGTCAACATTAAATACCGTAGCATGGATTACATTAGAAGTCACCTTTCAGTAGCGTGGCATCACCTGCACCTTACTAGCAACGTCAAGTAACATTGCATCTTCCATAAATGCAAATGCTATTAAACGTTATTGCAACCCCCAGAAGCTAGAAAATGGTGTTTTCCTACTGGGTCGCTAACAGCGCCGCTAGCTAAAACAATGCCATAAACCACCCATTTGTGAATGGTAAACCTACCACCTATAAAATGGTGATTTGGGGGATGGTTTATGGCAGTGTTTTACCCACATTATTTGCTAGCCATTGCCCAAACACCACGGAGTTCCATCGATTCCAACGACAACTTGGAGGACAACTCCTGGGCAGCATGCCGGTGTGTCAGCCAAATCTTTGCCCGGCCAGCAATCAACTGGTTTCTTGGCTGCGTTGTGACATGTTGTGACTCACGTGACTGGTTTGATGTGTAGCTGGCGCCTTCTGGATTTTTTTTGGACCTATGCTGACATATATATATTATGCTGACGTTTAATTAGTGGTCAGCATGTTGTACACCGGAACCGTGGGTTGGAGTTTGGTCGAAGTAAAGAACAGTGCCACCAATGAAGGACCGTGCAGGAAGAAATGAGACATGCCACCTTCAGGAAAGTAACTAAATTACCTCTTTCAAAAACCCCAAAACCAGTGGATCTGTGTTGCATTTGTGTTGCCCCATGGTTTCATGATTTCATAGAAATATGCTACTGGCTGGTGTCAAGTTTGAGTTGATTTTCTCGTCCCCATGTGGGATGTTCTGAAGACACGGTTGCCACCCCAGCCAGTTTCCTCTTGATTACCCAGGGCGGCGTAGAACATACTAATACCTGTCAGGACTGCCGGGGGCCATCACTTCTTGTGATGATTCAGACTGAATTTGGCCCATTTTACGAGGGTTCCAACAGCGGCATCAGAAAACCATATATGATTGTGTATGATTGAATATGTATATATAATTATATATATATATCTACATGCTTTTGTGTATATATATATATATATTTATTATATACGGTAAGTTATAACGCCATTCCTGTGAGATGCCTTGTTGTTGGGCTTGCAGATACCCCTTTAAATGTCCAGCAGAAGTTGTTGGTTTGGGCTAGACATTTCATTCGCAGGCATGCGTGGCTCATCCACCACGCAGGGTTGGAGGCTCTACCTGAATCATCCCAGTAGTAATTTTAGTGGTCAACAATTTCATGTATATTATATACATTTATATAATACGAAATTGCACTCCAGACAGTGATATTAAAATATGGAGTGCTATTTTTTGGGGGTTTTTGTTCCCTTTTTTTTTGGATTTGTTTCCCGTTTTCTGGTGGAAGGAAGGCTTAAGATATTATAAATGGGTGAATCACTAGCGATGCTCCGAAGATCGGCCAGGACATCGCCTTCGGCAGTTCCTGTACGGTCTTCTGTGCCTCAGGGTGCCATGGCGAAATTGCTGGGGATTGGGGAACCTGTGGAAGCTGAGGAACCTGGGGATGGGTGAAAGTATTGAGTGTGAAAAGTTTCGCCCAAACTGTCACGGCCAAACTGGGAGAGGAGAGTGGCAAATGATAGGTCCGGGCCATCGCGGAACAGGTGCTCTTTGCCATGCGAAGATGTTGATTATTCCTGGCAAACCAATTTTGAGGGTGCCCAATCTTGCCCCACATTTTTGTTCAGGAATTCACCTTGCAGCTGGAGATGTTGTGCTTGGCAGACCCAAGCAGATGAGATTGGTCTATAGCATGTTTTTTCCTGCAATTGTCCTTACAAGTCTGAAACCATTTGTTTTATACTGATAGTATTGGTGTGACATAAGACGGTGGCATTTGAGTGGTGAAGTTAATCGCCGTACTTGTACCGTAATATCATGTAATATCCAAAGCCATCTTGGATTACGGACTTAGGTTGCACATCTACCTTTATTGGGTAGGATTAGTTGCTTGTATCAGGTTCCAATTGGCAGATAGTGCATCAAGCTGACATAGGTCCGTAGGTGTCTCCAACACTTGGGGATACTGGCTCAGGTATGAGTTGGCTGCAGGCAGCAGTATCCAGGTGCCAGGGCTGGTGGCAATGTGATGTGGACCAACATTGCCATGCTTGCCATTTTTGAGGGGCTTCCCATGATCTTTTGACTTGACACATCGAGAGTTGGTGTTTGGATTTAAGACAGGTAAGATAATGTAAGATATCCACACAGGATAAGCCCTGGATAGAAGAACCCCATTGGTCCTATGTTCATTTTTTGTTTGGGGGGGCAAGCCACCCACGGTTTGCTTGCTACTCAAATGAGCATCTAATGCCCGCATTGGTGGATTCGAAATCATCATGTCGTTTCCGAAGTTTGACGGCAATTTGAGCCAACCCTCGCATGACTGCAGATGGGAACGGATCAATATGTATTCAATATGTATTCAAAATCATATCGATCTATACCCAATGGATGGCGTAGTCTTAGTACGTCTTAGGTTAAGAAAGTACCAAAATGTGGGTCCACGCATCCTGACTCTCCACGACTTACCGTTCCGCGACAGCCGCGACAGGATTGGTCATGCGGGCTGGTTGGGACCGCTCTGCAGCTTCAGGGCACCTTGCCGAGCTGCGTTCCACAGCCATGCAGCTCAGGCATGGGAAGGAGGGGCACTGGAACGGAAACCGCTATTGAATCGTTTGGAGAATTGCTATGCATTGCTACAAACTGACTTGGATTGCTGAAATGATCCTTGATATTCCATCTATCTGTCTATTTGTTTGTTTGTTTGTTTGTTTGCATGTCTGTCTGTCTCTCTGTCTATATCTGTCTATCTATCTATATTTATCTGTATTTATCTATCTCTCCACCTACCTACCTAAGTTAAACATAAATAGACCCGCATGCTGCAACAATGCATGCACTTATTAAAAAACAAAAAAAAACAATAGGAAACAAATGGTTGATAGACAGACAGGACCAGGAATCGTGTTGATTGCAACACCAGCCAGTGCTGATTAGAGGCTGGGCAACGGACAATCCACCATGCAATCCTTTTTTGTTTGCAACGTGGGGAGGAAGCGGTACAATCATTTGCTGTTTGGTTCAGACATTGGAATACCCCAATTCATGCTGTTCATGTTTAGCCCGCGAAATTGCTGGTTAAACCATTTTTTGGGGTTTTCCGGAGAGATTGGTTCTGTAATGTTCTGTAATTATCCCATTATATCCCATCACATCCCATCATATCCTTGGTCGGTTGTTCAAGCTTTTAAACTAGTCTTTATTTTCAACCCTATTTGGCATGATGATCCCAACCGAGCAGATTTTTCCGCGGGGTGGCTCAAGCCTTCCTCCTTTCCACAATTTCTTTCCACAAAAGTCACAGATAGACTTCAGCATGTTTAATGAGTGTGGTAATTTATGTTTTAGTGCATCTTGACAGTTTTTTTTTTTATTTGGTGTGAAGTGCACCACCCTTTGATGTAATTGTGTTTCGAAAGTAGGCTGAAAAGCATGAACCATGGTTCATCATGTCATAGCCGCCATCGACATTATCGACGAATCGTGGGTTTCATGGATGGAACTCATGCCGTTGCCGTGAAACATGGTGGATCTAGATCTAGCAGCCAAAGACTCAGATATCGATTTTGATGACTTGGCGACCCGACAGCAGACAGCACATGACAGCACGATCACGATATCACGATATGTTGAGCTAGAACAGTTCTTTGGATGTCCATTGGATGGCCCTAAGCCAGTGAAATCTCAACATGGCCGTAGCAAAGGGATGATGGTTACCGCTTTAGACAGGGGCCATGACATGACGGGATGGGGCTGTTTTGTGATGTTTTGTGGCAGAAAACACCTGTACGTGGCTGGTGTGTTGATTTCTTTCGTCTAGATTCAATGGTTTATGTAGCAAACCCAATTTCATAAAACATTTACGTTACATTGAATCTAGATAAAAGTAAATGTAGATTTACCAATGGTTTATGTAGTAAACCCATACAGTTTTTAGCACAGTTTACCAGGAATAGAATTGGTTCTGAACGGCTTTTTTTACCAGGATTATGGTCTCAGTCGAAAATCGTCCGGCGGCCTCACATGGCCAGAATTTGGGCCTAAATGTCCTGTATATGTCCTGTTCACAAAACCCACATGTTCCAGTGGGCTCACCTTTTGCTGGCGAAGATAGAACAGACAGCCAAATTCCCTTCAAAATATGGATGGTCATTGAGTCATTGCCAGAACCGATCAACCATTTTTTTGTGTATTGGGTGGAAAGGTGAACACAACAACAAACATATCTGTAACATATCTGTAACATCTTGACACTATTTGGCCCGCTCTCAGGACAGACCAGTCCCATTGGAGTTCAAGTTGGTCGCCTGGAAGCAGCTGCCGTGCAGTACCACTCATATAAAGAATGTGTGGATTGTGGTACCGATGTTTATGTCATTTGTGTACAGATGTGTGGTACCACTCATGATGATATTTGTGTACAGATCTTTATGTCATCGTGTTCACATCGTTCCCTCGCAGTCAAGGGGACATGTGTCAGGTCGTTGATCTATGTTTATCTCAAACTTCCATAGACAGTAGTGATATCAATTTTAAGTATTTTAGGTATTTAAGCCCAATTTTGTTGTTTCAAAACCTCCAAGAACATAGTCCATAGAGGCTCCGGTGCCATCTCTCTTCACCTCGAAGGGCCCCAGAGTAAATACAGCAATATCAGCAGGAAGAGTAGGTGATGGAGAATATACAGCAATATAGAAAGCAATATATATATATATATATTTGTGTGCGTATACTGTATATATATATATACCGTATTATTTTTAAATTGTATACATATAGTGTATAATATATATATATATATTATATTATATTTATGTTGTAAATCCAATCTAAACCTAACAGTGGGAAAATAATCTGACATAAAAAGCTCCATAAAGATAGACAAATCATGTTCCACTATTCTTGTGTGGGTTTTCCCAAAATCTATATTTTTTGGAGGTGAATATCACAAATCAACTGTCCGCTAGTTCTAAGTTGTTCTATCAACATTATCAACCCATCTAATCATCACCATAAACCCCAGTGAACCTAGGCAAATAAGGTAGCTTCAGCCATGCGGCACCACCTTGTACCTATTTGTTAACACGGGCCCGTTTCTCCCAGGCATTTTCTCCCAGCATTTGCATGGCCAGTTTGCCCTTGGGAAGCGTGGCCTCCTGCGAAAGCCAAGAGCTGTCAGCCCTGCCAGACCGAGACATTCTGGAACTCTCAAGGGGTCTGCAATGGGCGGTGAAGGATGGTGAAGGGCGGTCAAGGATGGTGAAATGGCAGCCAGGTACCAACCAGACATGGAGGTTAATCTGTCCCAGCTGATTGGTTTGTTTCAGAGGGTTTGAAGCCACCAAGCACTTAATGTTGACCCAGGATTGCTAAACCACGAGTTTGATAGGGGGGTACCATCTTTTAATCGTGTTTTGAGGAGTACCCTACCCCCTAATCAGTGAATGGAGTTTCTGAGTTTCTGAGTTTGGGGATGAGTATGGCGTAAGAGTTTGATCTCTGGGGATCAAGCGACTGATGGGTCGCACCAACAAACTTGCTTTGGCCATGACTTGAGGCGAATGAATTATTTCATGATGGTTCATGATGTCATTTTTCAATGCACTGATTCTGGGATGACATACAACTCAGATCTCATCACTGTGGAGTAGATGGACACTCCCCCCTGCAAATGGCAAGTGCTCGGATGATGTTTCCTTGGGGAATGGTCTAGTCGAATTTGGCAGCCTATTTATCTACTCCAAGATGCGCATGCCTCTAAAGTATGCGGCATCTATACACTGTACACAATTATGCACATGCATATGTATACAATAGACATTTCTTTGTATTTTTTTGCTTTCGAGTGACAACACATGCCACCGTTGAATGTACCAGAGTCAGCATCCATTTGTATAGCACAGATTTCGCAAAGAACCGATGCTGTAATGTTATCTTTTGTTTTTTCTGGTGTTGGTGCTCTTCACACATCAACAAAAAGACTGCTCAAAATATGGCACAATATCCCCAAAGAAAGATCATCGGTACACATCTCCATATGGAGGTTTCCTGAAATGGGGGTACGGGTACCCCTAAATCATCCATTTTAACATATTTTAACAGGATGTTCCATTATAAACCAACCATTTTGGGGATTCCCCATTTGTGGAAACCTGCACGGCGTATTTCCTCCACCTCGCGCCAGGTGTTTCGTGTGGGAGTACATGGACTCCGGTCGCCAATCTGCCCACCGTTCGCCATGGACTCAGCAGCACTCAGCGTCTTGGATGCACCGATGCACCGGTATTTTTTTACCTAATTCAAAAAGTCGTGGGATGTTATATAATGTTATATAATTATAATATATAATTGTTGCAACAGTTTGTAATGCCCATGTAATGCCCATGTAATGCCCATGTAATGCCCATGCAATTAATGCCCATGCAATGACTGGTGATGTTTGCGACTTGGAAAAGAGTTCGGAACTTCCGAAGCCATTGGCCGAAGCCGAGGTTTCACCCGGGCGCTGTGGCCAGAGGTGTGAGCCCGTGACTTGGAAAGCCGGGACCTTTTTGTTCCCATAGGTTGATGTACATGGCAAGATGGCCCCTTTGTTCAATCATGATGATTAACAAGCAATGGCTAACAATGTGGTTGATAATGGTTAATAATGCTTAATAACCCATCCCAATATTTCTAATAATGATGAATAATGGGTATACAAGCAGCAACACTAGGTGAAGAATGGCTGTGTCTGAAACTGTCGATCCACAAGATAATGGTCCACTCCCACGGTCACACTACACCTTGCAATAGCCGATAAGCTGTCCCTCTAAGATCGCTATTCGCATCGATTGCGAACGACTTTGCAACCCGCAAAGAAGAACTGCTGAATCTCAAAGTGTGAAACACTCCATCCCCAGCTTCTAGCTTGCATGAACGACTCCAGTTGATTTTGTTATATATATATTATATAAGCCTAAACAGTTTGGGAAGAATCTGAGCATCCATCAGTTTCATCATGTTTCATCATATTTCACACTATTTGATGACCATAAATTGTGGCAAATGTCTATGTTCAGACAACCCTCGCTTATGATGTTTGATGGCGTCATTTATCCCATTACATCCTCGTTATATCCACAGGAGTATCCCACTATATCTTCATGATATCCTTCTTTATCTCCATAATGATAATCAACCAATCAGCTGTATTCGCATCTCATTGATGTTTAAAACCCATATATATATGTTATATATATCATGGTTGCCATGGTCCAAAGGTTGGGTGATATACTTTGTTTGGGGCTGTTGATCATTAACCATTAAGAAACAGGGGTTTTCACATGCCCATCAATTGGAGAATCCCATTCATGGTTGTCCCCCCTAAATTGTCAGAAACATCCAATATAACAAAATCTAAGTATAGCATATTACATCACATAGATAATACAAGTTATAATAAGTATTACAACACAATACATGATATGTATAACATTAAGTTTATGTAATATAATTATATATAGCTACTATATATATATGATTATATATGTATCATGTATGCTCAATGTGTATTTGAATATATATATATATATATACATATATGAGATAGAAATGATAAATTATGTCAAGTGACTCAAATCCCAATAGTCCCAATAGTCCCAATAGTCCCAACGAATCCTGCTGCCTGCCACCAGGAATCTTTTGCTTCATTCCTTTGGTGCTTTGCTACAGAATGGTGTCAGGAGGCGAAATGATCAGCAGCTCTCGCAGGCTGGAAGAGTAGGTGAGTCGAAGAGCTGTTTTCCCGAATTACTGGGCATGATGAGCTACTGGTTTGGAAAAGTTTGGAGCCATGTTTTATTTTTCCTTACTTTTCCATACGTTGGGAATTTCATAGTTTCATCATCCCAACTGACCAACTCATATTTTTCAGAGGGGTAGGTCAACCACCAACCAGGCTATTAATGGGCATATTCATGTGATTTCATGTGTGTGTCTATGTTATATGGTGCTCAAGGGGTTTTCTGTTTGGATTGATTTTTTGTGCGTAATAAAAAATGCTGGAATCTCAGCCAACGACATCACCTCCGTGCCGGAGTCTAGATGGAAATTTGGAGCAGCAAAATTGTCATCATTTCAGGTACCCTCTGGTAATTTAACATAGCTATGGAAAATCACAATTTTTAATGGGAAAATCCACTATAAACGGCCATATTCAATAGCTATGTTAAATTACCAGAGGGTATCTGAAGATTTCTGAAGTCCCAGATGGCCAAAAGTATCCAAAGTCCCAAAACAATCCAAAACATCCCAGTGTCGACATAGAATTCCCCGAAGCGCTGAGGCAGTCCCGATGTTCACCCCTCTAAAGATGGTCCCATAGTATTCTCCCATCCCTTAAAAGGGACCCACCCAAAACAGTTTTTTTGGTTGCTAAGCACATAATATGATGAACCATTAAAAGCCCACGGATTCCTGTGGATTAAACAACCACTTTTGATCACTTTTGGATACTTGCGCAATGGCTTTTACTTGCGCAGATGCGCATTAGGAAAATGGAAAAACGAGTCTTCGGGTGGAAATGCTGTCCGCTTCAAACTTAGAAAAGATTCGGTCAGTGATTCAAACGAGCTCAGGAAATTCAGCATGAGGCATCAGGTATGGGATCCGCCCCTTATAATTAATCGTCCAGGTCCCGGTCGTTCTGGTCAGGAACTGAAGCAAGAAAACCTGGACATGTTCATCAGCCACAGTGGCGTGTCACCACGGGCGCGGAATTTGAAAGAATTGACACAGACTACAATTACAAAAGCAAGGTAAATCAAGCATGAGCAGAATATTTGAGTGTGGCGAAGTATGACCGTACGAACTCATATACATAATTTGGTTGGTGGTTTGGAACATTATTAATTTTTCCATATTTAAATATTAAATATATATATATATACAATTCATATTTTTTCAGAGGGGTAGGTCAACCACCAACCAGTAATATACTGTCAGATTGCCATGGTGAAGTTTCCGCACGGCTCCAGGGACATGGAGATGATAAAAAGTATGGTTACCATAAATGGGATCAATGCATAGGAAAATGACCAATATGACCAACAAGAAGGTGGTAAAGCCAATAATTCTACTAATTATACCCAGATGTTTCTGAAAAAGAATCGATTTCTGTAAGTTCTCGGCGATGGATCATGGCCATGGGCGCCTCCCATTGCCATGCTAGATTCTGCTAGTTGGGATGCTGATGCTCACATGATTGGCTGTGCGTGTCATTCATTTGGATAAAACGGCTAAAGTTAAAGCATCTTCAAGTCCTTTTTTTCACAGTGGTACAATGTGGTACATAATTCTACCAATGCCAAGCGACCGGTCGTAAAATACCAAGCTGCGACTAAGGTTGGACGGTCGGACGATGGAGAAAGTTCATTGTCATGGCTCTCTACTTCAACGGCCAACAAGCGGTTTCTTGGTCAACTTCTGGGAGGTCAATGCCAGAAATTGTGGGGTCAAACAGCACCTGGTTGATTTAAGGCATGTTTTTTCCAGAAACACATGGATATTTTTTTACAAAATTAATGCCATATGATTCATATGATATTACAATATATATATATATCAATATATTATATAACTTCCAATATAACTTCCATTGAAACCCTATTAATCAACCACTATCCTCAACGGGCTCGGAACACCTCAGTGGAGCGGACCTGGGATCACCCTAGGGGCCCGTAGGAAGCCTGGGATGTCCTGGACAGGAACAGAAGTCGGATCTGTTTACAAATGGAGGATACGCATGGTTTGTATTCTTTTCGTATCATAAATATCATAAATCATATAAATCACAAAATCATGAAATCTATATTTGTTACTATTGATTTCAGAGCCTGAGAACCATTCGCCCAATGCCAGAAGGTCTTGCGAGGACTCCAAATACATGCTTGGCGTTCCTCCTTTCTGTCCGGCCAAAGCCCTGAATTGATGATATATTTGGTCTAGCACCTTCAAACGCAAAAATAGCAGGGTTACAACCTATACCCTTTTTGATATTTTTGCAATTAATTGTCAGGTACGCCAAAAAACAGACAATTGCTCTATGACATTGGGTTGGCAAGCTCAAGGTCTTCCATGATTTTGCCGAGTTTCCATGTTAATTATATATGTTATCTCATGTTTTTTTGAAGGATTGTGCAGCTGATACACCCCTACTTCCTGACGAAACCAGCTGTGATATCCACAGCCGGCAGGCGATCATCAGCTTGTTGGTGCAAGTTGTCAGCTTCACTGCAGTTGTCACAGGCAGGAATCCCTCATTCATTGGGAACTTACTTATACCAAGAGTCTGAAGAGATTTCAGTGTGAATCTCAGGACCCTAAAACGGCATAAAATGTACCAGATTACCATGTAACGCATTGTAACGCCATATTTTGTGGGAATATTTCCTCACATAGTCCTTACATAGGCCTTATATATATATATTGTATATATATATATTGTATATATATATATTGTATATATATAATATGGATTATATAATATCGTAGGTACCTGAAATTTAGGTCCCTGAAATGATTGAAAATTAGTCAAAGGAAAACAGACAGAACTAACTAATTAGATGGTAGACACCCATGATTTGATTCAATTTGATTGCAATTTTGGTTGCCCAGTGAACGATGTATACGGGGAATAGCAACAGGGGCTATTATGTTTGTCAACATCAATTGGCGACATGTTATCATGCATATCATTTTGCAATAGAAACTCTTGCCTGCACAAGTAGAATCAATGGATTCGTTTAAGGGAAAATCTATAGGAAACTATAGATTTTCCCATTAAATGTGGTTTTCCTGTATTTTTTCCCTTAAACCAATACATTGATAGAAGGGCATTTATGTTTTGCTCTTGCTAAAGCAGATCCATTTCCAGGTGCAACACAAGTGCCTCAGTGCCTCTGTGCCCCGTTCATTAGCGCAGGTGTTCTTCCGGTTGTGGCCACGGAGACTCGGCCGCATACTATGAACATCTATGAACAAATCCATCTATTGACTATAATACTACTAATATGGAATGAAATTTTTGACTATAGCACTAATAGATACTAATATTATATTAGTATAATACGGAGAGAGTGAATAATTGACTATTCAATACTAATATCTACTAATTATTCACCAGTGAATGGATTATTGACTGAACCATATGTTTGCTGGTCGAGAAAAAAATACCATCCTCAGCTTTGGGCAAGCCCGGATATCTTGTGAAATGGACTATCCACGTGATACATCTTCATTCGATAGCTGCAGAAATTCAGAGAGCAATTCCACCTCCAGATTTGCTTATGATTGTGTATATATATATATATACACAAGAAAAACAATATTATAATTATTAGTCTAATTATTTATATATATATATAATATACATGGTGGGTGACGTCCATCCAGCTTCTTTGTCCTAGAGCCAACGTTAATTGGACATCCAATGAATATTGGGTGTGGTCCAAATATATCAGACATATTCTTCTTTGGATGGGCTATAGTTGGCTATGCCATGAGACTTCAGAAAATCTCCAGCTGACCTTGGAAGAGCGAAGATCTCCAACTGGATCATTAGGCTAATAGTAACGCGAAGCTGTGAGCATAGGCTGAAGTGACGACTTGTCAAGATTCGAGTCAGCGCGAGGATGCAACAGATGTTGGAATTAGCCCGTGGTGTTTCCTCTTCGGAAGTCTGGTTTCTTGGACTGAATGAAGGGCGGGTTGGCAGTTGCTGGTTTCGAAGATTCCTTGTCTCTTTGTATTTGTTTTTTCTATCTTCCTTGAGGATGCCAAAGCCAACAAAGTTAGTTTTGCATTTCTCGGATGGGTTTAAAACATGCATAGGATGTTGGTGGCTGGTTTGCATCCTTTTGCTAGTGAATGCTAGTGAGCTCGTGTTTGACGACATGCCACCGCAACATGTTCGAAGAGTAGCCCTCTGAAGTAGGGTCGAGAATAAGGTGTCCGACCACGGATCATGGAGTTAGTTTAAGCGGAGAGAAAGTGGAAACAACATGAAAAAACGGGAGGTTTTGTTCCTCAAAAATCTATATATATATAATATGAGTCAAGTAGAGTCGTAGCGTCTGAGCCGATTGGTTTCCATGAAGTTCCTGTGATTTATCTACCGGTCGACATCGGTGGACCCAACAACTGAGATCGCACGCTGAGGCCTTCTGGCTCTCAGTGCTGCTGTATCACGAGCTGATGCTGTTGTGCCATTGGAAGACCAAGATGGCCTTCTTTGACACGGTTTCGAAACGGCGATTTTGCGGGCAGACCCCAATTGGTGAATGGCTAATTGGTGGAAATGCACCACTTAAGATGCTAATTTTGTATAATTTGGTGAGATTACAAGATATCACTAAGTAGCTTAAGTGTTTACACATCCCTTTGAGACAGATGTTGGCTATGGACATGTTGATGAACTGCATTTGATTGTTGAAGTTATCAACCGGTCATCGGGATTCAAGCATTGGATGGGAGATATCGCCAAGATAGGTAGACCTTGGTGTGCGGTATCTAAGATCCACCATGTAGTTTGTAAGTTGAGAAGAATGTCCAAAAACCCGGCAGATCAAGAGTGCTACACACACAACATCATACAACTACAATTTGGTTCAAAGAAAAAATCGACGTGTGTGTGTGTGTGCGTGTGTGCTCACATGTTGTTAAAGGACCATAGCCTACTAAGATAAAGAGTGAGCATTGAGACAGCGAGAGCCAACCAATTTCCGCAGCGCTTTCTTGGCAGTGCCATTGATCTCTAGGGTCGGGTCCGAATCTATTGCTGCCAACCATTGGAAAACCCACTTCTTTCGGGCTTGTGCAAATCTTGGAGTCTGTTTGCGTTACCCCGCGGTAATCAGACATGGCTGAAAATCCACCATGTATATTGATGAAGTTGCGATTGACATCTCCATTGCCATGTTTCATGGCCAAAGATAATGTTTATTTGGAGTGTAATTATCGTGTGGAGGTATACTTGAGGTCGGAATCCACACTGACGTTGGCCAACACATTGGTAACTGCGTGGAAACATGTGGAAATGGGATACCATGGGGTACCCCATGGCCCATCGGCTGGTGAATCATCTTTTCCCCATTAACGGTGTCACATTTGGGGTTATAGTCTGTTACATTGTCATACATTGTCATTTTTCATAGATTCTATTACACGTTTTTTTCTATAGTATCCCCCGCATTGTCAACGGCCTTCTGAGCATCATTTGGGCGGCCCATGTTTCAGACGCCCAGCTTCACCGGCCACCGGCCACGCGGGCCCTGTTCTCAAGGTATGCATTGACCAATCGGATGAGGAGAAGAAAAGAGAAGGTATTGAGGCGCGTTTGGGACTTGTTGGTGATGTTGGTGCTACTTTGGATCGAACTTCTGTGTAATTCTAGTAAGCCCGAAAAAGAGAGGAACGTAATCCATATGTTCGATATTGTGTGTATAGTTGGACATGGATGTAGGTTGCAATACTCATCTGAGAGATTTGGAGCATCCGCAAATGATGACCACGGACGCCTATTCAAAAAGCAAAAGGTGACCCTGTGAGAGCAAGGTGTTATTATGCTGCTTATTGACCACCAACAATAACCAGTCACATCAGTCACAGGGGCTTTGTGATGAAACATCTAAGATAGGGGGGTCACCTTTGGTGAATCCCCGGCCTCAGTTCCATGGCATGTATGTAATTATTATATAAGCTGTTCACCAATCAAAATTGGTCCCAGCATGTCATGATGCTCGTGTTTGCCAACACCCCCCACCTGAGACGGGGTTCGCAAGCCCTTCGTGTTGGCATATTGATGGTGGTTACATCTAATCCAACCTCCCTAAGATTCAATACCTCCCAGAACCCTCACTTTGGTATTGGATCAATCTGTTCCTTTTGTGGGGACCACCTTGCATGGTATTAACTATTAATTAGGTGGAAGGTATTATATAATTCTCCTCACCCCGACACGGCCCGACAGGCCATCACAGCCTACCTTTGTCGTTCCGAAAGGCTCTTCGTGGTGCCCCTTGTCGTAGGACACCAGGCGGCCATCCCCAAGGGTTTCGTCACGTCGCGTTGCAACAGGACATTGGCTTGGTTGGATTCAGAGGGGTTTGTCTGATGGAGCAGGCCCTCATCATTAATATTGTTTTAATATGTTTTAATAGGACATTTGGTGATCAATCAGTGGATTCGGAGGGTACCGGGTATTGTGTTTTCGGACAAACCCAAATCCCACTTTGGATGATGATGATGATGATGATGATGATGCTGATGCTAATGCTAATGGTGATGATGCACATTGAATGTATACATGGTATGTAATACTCGTGGGATGGGTTGAAACCACATGAAACCACCACCAACGACAACCTGCTAAAACTTGCCAGCTTCTTTCTGCTTCCATTGGGAACTTTTTCACGGTAAACGTTACTGGGAATCCCTACAGAGATCTACAGAGGAGTTTTGCTGTATGTAATTGTATATACATATGTTACAGACACTATTTATAGTTATAATTATAATTATATATATTTTACATTATATCTACATGCATATGTATAGTTAGATGTCAGTTGTATATTTACATTGATATGTTGCGTCCTTGGTGGTCCGTTTGTCACCCATCAACTGACAAGTGAGGCTTTCGGAGGTCTATTTGCAACGTGCCGTGGCACAATTCAGAACTGCTTGGTAGAAGGGACGGCTGGCAGCCCAGAACGCTTATATATATAATGTATATATATATATTATTTATTCACTTACTGTATATATATATATACATATTTATATTTATCTATTACGCTCCAGTTTGTCTCGGCGGGCGATTTGTTGTGAAACCAAAGAAGAATGGCTCGACATGTTTCGTTTCATTTGGTTCGAAATGCTTACTCCATGGAGTCCATGGAGCATGGTCTTCCCCCGTCTTCCCCCTAACATTTAGAGACCGTGGGTTAGTATTGGATCTATATGCATTTTTAGGGTCCCTTATTGAGGGATGATTTGATATTATCTCAGAGATAGGAGAGTGCATTATAGTGCTAAACGTTTGCTCCTGGAATAATTGGGATCTGAGCTCCCAAAGATGACTCTACAAGGTGGTGCCCCCCAGTTATGTTTGTTGGTCTTGAACCATAGTAACTAAAGAGATTATCTACCATAAACCCAAGCGTGAAATTGGAGTTAGAAACCAACTTTAGCTGTAGCATGCGTATGCATGCGCTAACTATGGGTCATCACCTTTGATCACATAAATTCTCAACCCATGGTTGGACCACCAAGCTGTACCCAGCAAGGCATTTGGACCGTCTTCGAAATGGCCGCCTTTTTGGCCGTAAATCATTCTCAATGCGACGCCCCTTGGACGATGATCCACTGGAAAAAGGGACCGGGTTGCCAAGCGTAACACCCATCGATCGTCAGATGGCTTGAAATTTGGGCCATTCCATCATCGTTCTATTGTTCTACCGAGTTCTATCTCCCTCTTGCAACTTCCAACAACAGTAAGTCTCAAATGGGCAACATGACATTTTCGCGCATCTCTATGTCTATAGATAAAGAGCATAATTTTCCACTCTTATTGTCACATGCCTACATATTTGAATCATATGTGTCATAACATGTGCAGATTGCACCTAGCTGACCCAACTATCTTGAGTTTCCCGGCACCTCTATCAATGGGAGTTTCAGGATCCTAGAATAGAGGTCCTGTAGCATATAAAACCATATTTTGCGGATATATCCCCTTACATCCTGAAAAATAGGCCCACCTATGGTAGGTACCTCCAATCAATCGGTTCCTGCATGGCGACTCTAGGACAGTGAAGAAGTGCTTCCACGTGGAGATGTGACCTCGGTGGGCTCCCGAGTCATCGTCCAACCCGCAGCGCTGGCACTGCTGATTCCGGCCTGTTTCCTCTTTCAGATGCGCCTCGCTGTGCAGCGCTGTTGTGAAAAAGGGAGGGAAGTGGACTGGATGGAGATTTCCCCATTTAACGGGAGATAGGATGAGATGAGGGAAATTGGATGGAAATTGGTATATAAAATAGCTATATATGATTGTATATGTTTATATAGCTTGCAATTTTCTATGAATTGGGGGCTTTGAATTGCTGGTGAAAGAGATATGATACACATAGTATTTATATATATATAGATCACACACCTAGCCGTAGTGTTTTCTTTCCTCTCGGTATTTTTGATAAACACATATTTTTCTTTATAGGTACATGATGTTTTTCCCTTAGTCATGTCCTGAATTGCCATGAATTTCCACCCATTTATGGGTATTCAAATGCAATTTAGAATAGACCAGAAAGAATGACAAGATCATGGGGCCCAATGAGTGCCAAGTTTCATGTTTGGAAAAAAATCTTCCAGTCTTTCGGTTTCCATTTTGTGCTGTGTGTGCAAGTGCTGGGTAGGATCTTTGGACTACAAAAATCATCAAAAATCACCAGCTGATCAATTGAGTTGAAGAGAGCTGACCTGGAGCGATGCCTCCCAAAAAGGGTTGTAAAGATATTGTATGGTTCCGTAGTTCAGTATACAGTATAAATGAGAAATGGTCCATCATGATACATTGACATCCAAGTGTTGAACCATAGCTGTGACCTGACAGAGGCTAAGATGGGCTCACCCAAAGTGCCCAACCTACCTCGATGATGTGTTTCAAACCTATGCTATGCCAAGCCAGGACTTAAAAAAAAGCCCTGGTGGATGAATTCAGGGCACCATTTCCAATGCAAATTTATACTTTTTGGGGGCACCCCTTGGTGATGAATGAGAGTGAATCCACCAGAATCAACCACGGTGAAGATTCTTTGGGGTGATGACTTGGCTAAAAAAGTTGAGGGCGCATCCCAATGATATAGCAACTTGTTAATAGCCCTTATAACTGGGATGTTTTCCATTGGGCTATCATATGGAATTTCCATGAATTGCCAATTCTTATACTATTACTATGTACCCTCTGGTTACGGAAAATGGATGAACATGGCCCGTTTAGTTCGATGATTTATGATTATTTACCATGATGTACCTCTTAAATCTACTAAACATGGTGATTTTCCAGTTTGCTATGTTAAATTACAAGAGGGCAATTGGTGGCTCATCCCACTTACCAAGCAGGCTATAAACCTGATTATAAATGGGATAAGTAGGCTTAATCAAGTTGTAACTGGGGTTATAATCCGCTTACTATGTGGGATGAAACACAAGGTAATTGGGATGCACACCCAAGTAGTTGGGGATGACCGTTGTTTGCCCTCCCAGGTCGCGACCAGTTGGGGACTACGCGAGATACACCCTGCAGCATCTCAGCTCTGCGATTGTCGATTGGGGGCTGGGGCGTGTTGTGGCAAGCATAGAAGACAAAACACTACCAAAATAGTGAGGGAATGTAAGGCATGTAAGGAACACTTTTCCATATTTTTCCCACCTGTCAGATAAGTGTTTCCAGATTTGGTGTTAGCTCCTCCTCTTCTCCGCTTTCCTCCGCTCCTAGCGAGCTCCCCTGCTCCCGGGAATAGCTGGTACTGCTGTGAAAATTTGTGAAATCAATTGAAATATGAATGCTGTTGCCATGAAAAGAATGAGCTATGTGACAATCAAGCATGCCTCCTGTTCTAGCACTGCATTTTTTTGTTGTGTGTGTGTGTCTCCAAGAAATGTGGCTTCAAGAAATGCGGCTTGCTGAGACAAAGTGTGCCCTCAAGAAAGCAGAGTTTCCTTTTCAATTCAAGGCATTGTGTCAGCAAAAAGCATACAAGTTCCTCCACGCCATAGATGGGTTGCTCCGTTGATTTTTTTCCAAGAAACACACGTGTTTTTTTTTAATGATTTTTGTTCCTCCTCTCCATCCTCAAAAGAGTTTGTGCTTTCCTTGAACAAGTTGTTTCAACTTCCTGGTGATGAAATGTGATGAATGATTACGTAATGTAGTACACCCAATATACACCAAAGAACTTCCACATTGGGATGGTCTATGCCACCCATTTCTCAGGAATGCTGAAAGGGCAGATGGGAAGCTTGGCTGGAATCATCCCAGCAGAACACAAATGCCAAGGTCAGTCATGATGTGAATATGGATTTATCATGATTTATTTATCTACCTACCTAATTGTTTATTTATGCGTTGATTTATCGAATTGTTTATTTATATATATCCAATTATCTATCTATCTACCTACTTACCTACCTAGTTACCTACCTGTATCTAATATCTACCTCTATCTATGTATCTCTATCTATCTCCATCGTCGCTAGCTATATCTATCTATATCTATATCTACCTCTCTATTTATCTCTACCTATCCCGCTATAATCCGATCCTATCATATCTATTCATATCTCATATTTTATCGTATCTTATGTGTTCTTCTCTTATCTAATTTTATCCTATCCTATACCATCCATCTATTCATCCATTTATTTGCCATTTATCTATTCATCTAATGCAACAGACTCTAACCTAATCTAGGCTATATAATCCAATCTAATCTAATCCATCTATCTCAGGGTTCAACCCTGGGGCCCCGTTTTGGTGAATTTCCGGGTGATTTCTTGTAACAGCTCTAATGATTCAGCCAGGGTATGCCCGGGATGGGAAAGCCGATGTTCCAGGGAGATGAAGTTCCGTAGTGCCCCAAATATCAACCGATCACAAGTTGGTAGATGTTAACGACGTTACACGTTTCCGTGTTAACAATGGTTGCGAGAAGTGTTCACAGAAACTCTGTGAATCTTGTAAACATGGAGCTGTCCCTAGGTAAATTGAACTTTCTGCACACTAGACAATTTCATAGGTTTTTCTGGCACCATGGCCCCGCACAAAACCCCCACAAAGTATCCACGGCCCGTCCTGCTCAGGACTCAGGATGTTCGAGCAATGGCCCTGGCTGGAGTTCTAATCTTTTTGGCCGTTTTGATGATGCTTGGCTGCCACGTATCTGGGGTTATCAAGCCACGATCCTGCACCACCAAGATCATGCTGGTGTATTGGCCCCGTATTTAACTGTGCATCGTGCTTACGGGTATATAAACCCAAATTGTTTCAACATTGGAAAAATCAAGGCGTCCTATGCTTTTCTTTGCGGTTTCCCTCGTTGAAAGATTTGAACATGAACTGATGTGACAGTAGCAAATCCGACAAGAATGATGTTTACGGAGTGCAAGCGGTCGAGGAAGCCCATTGCCTTGACATGCCATTGTCCGGTGTAGTCTGTGATGTGGTCAAAGCCTTTAACTGTCTCAGTAGGACTGTCATTTTTGAACTTGGAGGGTTGCTCCGGTTGCCTGGTCATGTCTTGGTTGGATGGACAGGGGCAGTGTCGAAACTGGCCCGCCATTTTCAGATCCGCAACAGCTTTTCCACTGCCACAATGAGCTGTACTGGCTTTGCAGAAGGTGATGGTCTGTCCTGTGTTGCTATGCAACTCCTTGATTGTCTCCTCCACTGGTGGATGGACTCCCTTGATGTCCCTTGCCGTACACTGACTTACGTTGATGATTGGCAGGTGGTTGGTCAATCCCCGGCACATGCTGTCAGAGCCCTCCAGCATTTGGAAACCTTTTGTACGAAGGTCGATCTCCAACTTGATCGACGCAAAACCTACGTTTGGAGCCTTTCCGCGTCAGGTCGCAAATGGTTTAGGTCACAAGGTCTGACAGTAGGTCATGGAGGCCGTAACCTTGGGGCTCACATGCAACTGACACTGAAGCACACGAATGCCTCACTCCAGGAGAGGGCCGACAGCCTCAAAGATTTGTGGGACCGACTTCGGTTATCCGTAAGTCCTTATAAGATCAAAGTGCGAGCCTTGACAGTTGCCGCCTGGCCCAAAGGCCTCCACGGGGTTGCTGCAACCTTGCTGGGAGGACATTGCTTCCGCCGACTCAGATCAGGTGCCATGCGTGGCCTCCAGGCAGATGGGGCTGGCTGCAGCCCATGGGTCCATCTTGGACTGGTGGAGAACCCGTTGTGTGATCCTGGGTTTTGGTCTGTGATCCAAACAATCCGATGCGTGAGGGACTGTGCGGCACTGGATTCCGTCCAGCCAGTCCTGACTCAACTTGTCACTGACCTGTCGGCCCCTGGTAACACAATTACCTATACGTTGCCGATGAGACTCCAGATGGTTGGGTGGACGGTCAGGCCTGATGGCATGATTGCGGATTTCTTGGGGCCCTTTTTGTCTCTTTAACACTTGTTTTCATGAGGTGTTGTTGCGCGCTCAATGGTCATGGCAAGGGGTGGTTGCCCAAGCTGTTCACCATAGGCCAGGGTTTGAAGGTTTGGTTGATGCTGATGCCGAAGCTACACGACAATGGCTTCGAAGTCTGTCCCCTGAGGATGCAGCACTTTCGAGGAAGCTGTTGAATGGAGCGCATTTCACAGCTGAGGCCAAACAGCACTGGGATGATGCATGCGGCTCCTTGTGCCCTTTCTGCCAGTGCACTGACTCTAGATACCATCGATTTTGGATCTGTGATGCCTTTTGTGAGCTCCGCGCTGAGGTCCCTGGTGATGTTTGGGATATTATCCCACGACTGCCGGAGTCTTTGACAAGCTATGGCTGGAGTTTGCGCCCGGCCTCTTGGAGCACATATCAGCAGACGTGTCTTGAATTAGAAGAGAATGTTACTGCGTGGGATGCCGTCTTTTCCACTGGTGATGGATGGATTGATTTGTTTACAGATGGTTCGTGCATGCACCCTACGAAGCCCTGGCGTTTGGCTAGTTGGTCAGTGATTCAGGCAGATCCTGAGATGTCTGGGTTGAGGCCCTCCAGGTCTTGTGTGTTGGCCGCCAGCCCGCTACCGGGGTTAGTGCAAACAGCGTTTCGTGCAGAAGTTCGTGCCGTTTTAGAATCATTGCGCATTGCCCGTGCTCTCAGAAGAACCGTGCGTATCTGGTGTGACTGCCAAGGGGTTGTTGACCGTGCTTGCAAACTCTTGAGGGGTCAGGTGAAGGTTCGCCCAAATGGTCGGCATACTGATTTGTGGAATGAGATTTCGGAGCTTTTATGTGAATTGGGTCCTGCTAGGGTTGTAATCACCAAAGTAGCAGCTCACCAGGAGCAGTCAGCCTCAGTCTCAGCCATTGAATCTTGGTGTTTTCTCCACAATGCACTTGCTGATAATGCTGCCAATGTTGCTCAATCGCTGCGACCAAAGAGTTTCATGCATGTTCATGCCACGTACATTAAGGATTGGAAGTATGCTGCACGTGTATCATCCAGCATCCATCATGTACAACTGGCCATCAGCCGTGCAGTGGTTCGACATCAACAGGTTCTAGAAGCAGAAGGTACGACGCCCACAATGGAAGTTGGATCAAACACCCTTAGCCCCATTGCCCCTGCTTGGGTGGCAATACCGGAGGTGGCTTGGGTTCCTAATCACTTGTGTCAACGGTTTAGCAGTCGAGTTGTTCGTCAAATGGCCGCCTGGTTTCAACAAGGTGTTCAACATCAACAATCTGACCTGGCTTGCTGGGTGTCATTTTATCAACTTTATGCTGATTATATGTTGTGCACAGGGGAAGGAGGTCCACTTCACCTACAGAACTGGATCGATCCAGCTGCAAGACCAGCGATTTCTTTGCTGGGCATTTCCTTCAAGGTTCGGTGTCGCTGGTTCACACATCTCCTTAAGCTTCTTTGGCGGGAGTGGAATTACTCCATCAGTGTCACGTTCACAAGGCCACGGACTGATCAATTGATTCTTCATACATCTTGTGCCTGGCTACCGTGGCCAGAATGCCGACGTGATGAAGTTGACACCTGGCTGGGAAGACACCTCCATGGACCTGCCAAAAGAGGTGGTCAGATCCTCAATCGATTGCCAACTGCGCAGAGGGCCCTGGCCATGCCCGGTGTGGCAACAGACCACATTGAAGTTCGGTAAAAGCCTGGCTTCTGGCCGTTTCCGCAAGAGCTGACACGGCGAGGCACCCAGGAAACAGGAAACATGATGTTTACGGAGGAAGTATGGGAAATCCTTGGAATCCACTGGTCATCAAACTATGGAGGGTAATTTAATTTGTTGTTTTTTTTTTTGGGGGGGGGATTTTTTTGTTCCCCTCTCCTGGTGGCTTCTGTGGCTCCTGGTGGCTTCTGCGGCTTCTGTGGCTTCTATGGCTTCTATTGCTCCTGGCTCCTAGAGCTCCTCGCTCCTATGGCTCATTTATCATCTATCGATCAATCTATCAGTGAAGCATGTTCACCAGGTGCATTGTGCATTAGATACACCTTGAGTATCATCTATCTATCTATCTTTCTTCTTTCTTTCTATCTATCCATCCATCGATCTATCTATCTATCTGTCTATCTATCTGTCTATCTATCTATCTGTCTATCTATCTATCTAACTATCTATCTGTCTATCTATCTATCTATCTATTTAACTATCTAACTATCTATCTACCTGATTCTATCTATATCTATCTATATCTATCTATATCTAAATCTATCTGTATCTATTTTTTCTATCTATATCTATCTATATCTATCTATATATCTATCTGCATCTATCTATATCTATCTATATCTATCTATATCCATCTATATCTATCTATATCTATCTACATCTACGTATCTATATCTATCTATATCTAACTATATCTATTTATGTCTATCTATATATGTATTTATATCTAAATCTATGGCTGTATCTATATATATATATATGTATATAATTATATATATATGTATATAATTATATATATATATATGTATCTCTATATATCTCCATTTATATCTATATATCTCTATATATTTCTATATATTTCTATATATCTATATATCTATATATATATATATACATATATATATATATACATATCTCTCTATATGTATTTCTATATTTATATCTATATATCTAAATGCCACTATATATCTATATATCTGTATATATCTATAAATCTCTTCATATCTATATCTATATTTCTATATATCTATATAGTTTTATATCTATATATCTTCAAATCTATATATATATAAATATCTATATCTATATATATATATATCTATATCTATCTAAAAGGTTTGCATTATCATCCGGATGATATTCAAACCCCAAGCCAACCCTGAACCAAACCTTATATAAAGATATCTTAAACCAACTCGATGATAACATCAAATGAAACTATTGTGCATTGTTGTGCCTTAACCTACATTCCACATGTTTCCAAGGTGCATGTCGTGTAGTATATACACCTTGAGTATCACATTCAACCCAGCACCTTGCATGTGAAAATAGGTGTTTCCAATCTGCTTTGATCCCCCCCCCCCCGCTTTTTTTAATTTAAATTCAAACTTGCACACATTTCAATAGACTAGTTTGGTTAGACTATATATATATATTATATTGTATATATATTGTATATATATAATATACATATGGTTGTTTATATACACAGCTTTCATCCCAAAATAAACTGTAAATAATTATGTGCATGCATATGCGTCCACATAAAGTAGTTATTTGTATGTACATGTTGTATCCCAAAATAAACTGTAAATAATCATGTGCATGCATATGCGTCCACATAAGTATAGTTATTTGTATGTACATGTTGTATCCCTAAATAACCCCTAATCCAACCCTAAACAAACCCTAAACAGACCCTAAACCAGCCCTAAAGAAACCTTAAAACCAACCCTAAATACACTTTAAACAAATTTAGAATAAACCATAAACCAACCCTAAATAGACCCTAAAACCAAACCCTGCAGATATATTAATTACACGTGTAAATACATTGGTCTACATATGCATATAGTCATGATTAGTCATGCATGTATACCTATATCAGCCTATATCTATCTATATCTACGTATCTATATCTGTCTATATCTATCTATTTCTATCTATATCTATTTATATCTATCTACATCTGTATCTATATCTACATCTATGGCTGTATCTATATATCTAGATCTCTATATATCTATCTATATCTATATATCTCTATATATCTCTATATATCTCTATATATCCCTATATATTTCTATATATCTCTGTATATCTATATCTATCTATCTATCTATCTATATATATATATATCTATATATATATATATTAATATCTCTATCTCTCTCTCTATATATATATATATATTTATATCTATATATCTTTATATCTGATCTATATACCAATATATATATATATAGATATATATATATATATTTGTATATAAGGTTGCCTGGGAAGACGCTTTAGCTGATTCTGGGTGGACGCTACTGCTCCTCCTCAGCCCTCTCCCCAATACCCCCTTCCTGTTTCTTATTGAGGAAGGAAAGAAAATGTGAGGAAAATGATGAAAAAACAAAGAAAAAGTAATGGAAAACGAGGAAAAAATGAGGGAAGTGAAGGAAAACCAATGAAAAACTAAGAAAAAATAATGGAAAACGAGGAAAAAGTGAGGAAAATGATGAAAAACCAAGGAAAAGTAATGGAAAACGATGAAAAAGTGAGGAAAATTACGAAAAACCAAAGAAAAATACTGGAAAACGAGGAAAAAGTGAGGAACAATGAAGGAAAACCAATGAAAAACCAAGGAACAGTAATGGAAAACAAGGAAAAAGTGAGGAAACCGTGCCCACGACAAAAAAAAATAATAAAAAAATCCAAAACAAAAAAAACAAAAAAAATCCGCACCCTCAAACTATTTTATGGTGTGGTGCTTCAAAACATCACTGGTTTTCACTTGTTTCCATCGAAACTATGATGAGAATTCACTGCGATTGTGGGCAGGTTCATTACCCATGCAGTCAGGATACCCTTTGGTAATCTACAAGTATCTAAAATAGCAATGGAAATGGTTTGTTTGCATTTGTAGACTATTTATGATACTTTATGATTAGTTACTTGTTAAACCATAATTATAACATGTCTTTGGTCCACCATGTTGCACCCCTTGCGCTCGGCACCGCTGCTGGGGATGCTCACCACAAACCGGTGTTGAAGCCCTGCTTCTTGACCTCAGATCTACAGTTTACTGATTTACTGGTGTGTATGTAAATGTCTTATACCATTATATAACATTATCTGGTTGGTGGCTTGGAACATTTCTATTTTTTCCATATATTGGGAATTTCATCATCCCAACTGACTATTTTTTTTTTTTAGAGGGGTAGGTCAACCACCAACCAGTATAAAATGGTGCTTTCACATGGCCTCTATCCGGGTGACTCTGGGTGACCTCGTTGGTCGAGGATCGCCTATTTGGTGATGATTATCAAAGCGTGGGGCCAGATGCGAGCACAACTGGCACATCAAGTGGATACGTTCAGTGCTTCGCCAGGGATGGTGCAACGATGCCTTGGAAGGAAGTTGAAAACCCATGAAAACCCCATAATTTTGAAAGGTGACAACTGAAAACAAGGCTATAATTAGTGTAGCTAAGGTGTTCGTTTTACTCATGCTGCATGAAACATACGTTTTATTGCATATGTGACGGTCACATGGTTCCCCCGACTGGTTGTTGTAGAATTGAGCGGACCGTCCCATGATGTTGCTACTAGCCGAAGTTCGTTTGCTGGACCCATGAAAAAAGGTGGGAAGAGCCCTATTTGCCGATAGCCTACAGGAATGAAGTTTGACAGCTGCACTATATATATATATATAATGATGGTTTTTCCGGATAATTACCCTTTGGTAATCTAAAATAGCTATGTTTAAGAGGTAAAGAACTTAGAGAGACATGGATAATTCCCCATTGATACTTTAAATTGGTAAATTATATTAAATTACTTACAAATCTTTCTCAATTATATATTTGCTGGTTACATCCCCAATGTCGGTTCCCAACCATGCCTTAGGAAGCCCAGGTTTCGCCTCTGCCAAGTGCCATCATGAACCTGATCGACAAGACACTTGGTGGAGGGGTACTGGTTATGTCAACCCCCGGATGAATAAACAGATCCCATTTTTTATCACAACATGGGGGGGTACTTGTGGTTGATCACTTTTTTGGGGGCAACCGACCCAATTAAGCGTCAGGGTGAATGTGTATTAATCCAGGGTTGGTATTGGCATCCAAGCCTTTCCCGGACACCCCTGATCTCAGGAGATCTCTATCGCGGTGAAATATTTGGCCGAGAGAATTGGGTTACATGGTGAACTCTTGGTCAGTTCGGGAATTCAGGGCTCCAACATGCCAGAAATCATCCCAAGCGGGTACAAGCCAATCAGCAACCACATGTTGGGGCTGATGTGTTTTTGTTCTTGGAGGATCCCTACCTCAAGTGGCGATCATGATCACTACATAACCATGGGGTGAACCTGGGTGAATGGTTGGGGGAATGTGGCATCAGGGTAGTTGTCGATCTACTTCCAGTTGGTCATATGGTATCTATTTTCATGTCATCAAGTATCAAGTTTCAAGAACCAATCTCAGACCCAGATGGGTTTCTTCACAAATTAGAGACACCTAAATCGTATGATGCATAATAACCCTATATTTACTGTAGAATTGAAAACATATGTTTTATTGGCCTCTCAGACACACCCAAATTCAATACTGTTTCTATTTAGTAAAGTGCGTTAAATCCCTTTGTTTGATACTTGAATTCACATTTCTGTATTTTCTTAAATCTGCCTGAAATCCCTATAATATGCTCAACTCCCGATTTCTGCCGATGAAATTCCAAGCCCGTCCTGTTGATTAAATCAAGCTGTTTGCTGTGTTAGATCTCCATTTCTGTTAGATTTGATCGAAAAACACCACGTCAATTCTAAGTCTCAACTTACCTCTATGTTTCTTGGTCAATTTTAAGCACCAGTTGGCGAAATCTCCTAACATGCCCGCGGCGCCGTCGTTTTGAGGCTGGTGGGCTCTGAGGACACGCTAAGGCAAGCGCATCAAGCCTTGGAGAGCCATGCGCGACAGATGGTTCCTGGGTCATGGTGGATCTGTCGGCGGCTTTGGTTTAAACAATGCGATGCCATAAACCACCCATTTGGGAATGGTAAACATGCCACCTATAAAAATGGTGATGACTGGGGGATAGTTCATGATAGTTCATGATAGTTCATTATTGTTTTACCCACATTATATAGCATGAGAATTGGGAGGTTTCCTAAAATGGGTGCCCCAAAATCAATAAAAATCATCCAACATTATATTGATGATTTGAGTGTTGAAAGCCATGGTTTTGGGGATCCACCATTTACAGAAACCCCTATATGGCAATAGATGTAGGCATCTCTATATATATATAATATATCCTCAGGTACGAGTACGAGGTTCTAGAATCGGACCCCGTCAAGGGTCTGACTGGGGGTTCTAGACTGGGTATAGGTCAGCACCATTTCCCCTGTGATTGTAGAACCCTGGTGTTGTTTGTACAAACACATTGAACAAAATTGATTCCCACATTGCAATCTTTTCATAACGTACACCCCATTTGGAAACTTAATGCGTTCACTTGCTTTGTTGCGTTTAGTTTGGGGGAGAGATTTCTGGAAGTCGGTGCGTGCTGCGTCCAGCTGGTGTTTTGGAAGACATACTTTGGAACATTGATATTTTTACCTGCGTTCTTGTATGCTCGGTATTTCCCTAATGTGTCAGTTCCCTTGGGAATTGGATTGTGTTGGGTTTTCCCCTTTTGAAACTTGGAGATGTGGTTGTGTTAAAATGATGAGGGGGATTGGTGGCGAGAGGTTCCTTTTTTCCATTTTCGGGTATCGCCGGGGTATCGCCAAAGTATCGCCGGAAATACGTGAGTTGTCTTGCCTTGTCTTGTCTTGTCGCTGCTGCTGCTGCTGCTAGTGCCGCTACTGCTGCTGGTTCTTCTGGTCCTGCTTCTTACCTTCTCACTACCGAGCTGCGTGCGCCACAACATCATTCAACATAACCTAAAACAATGACTGCATAGATGCAGCGTCCAGAATATGATTCCTAATTTTAGAGCCATAAAAAACACCGAACATAAAATGAAATAGATGATTGCTGGCGCACAGCGTCCCATTCTGACTGGGTGTACCCAGGGGGTCGGAGCAACAGGAGCTAAGGAGCTCCTGAGCTCCTAAGAGTTTCCCTGCCACATGATAGCTGAAGTCATCAACAAACCCCTCATAAAATCATAGAACATATATATTATAGAAATATTTAGAAAACCGCACAAATTATATATATATCCATATATTTGTAGATATTGAAGTCAGAAAACAGTCACGGTGACTCACATATCATTATTGATTTAAGTCATAAAACAGTCACAGTGTGCTAATCCGTAATAACATGTAGTAACCAAAATAGTTATGACTGACATAATTCATATGAAATATCCAATTATAGTCATTTTTCACCACTCACATATCTATCATTGGATTGGTTTGGGGGAAAATCTACGGGACAACCGTTTGGACAACCACCTTTTTTCCTGGTGGGAAAAACCCTGGATAGCATGGATCCAGGTTTGGCCCGCCATGGCTGACGCCTTGTCCCCTGCTGGGATCCCTCCCTGCGATGCCTGGCTCATCGCTGTGCCGGTCCCTGGCCGCAACCGGCGAAGTGGGGAGTTGATCAAATCCATGAACTCATGGACCTTGATGGGTTTGAATATGTTTGAATGGATGTTCATGGGTTTAATGGATGTCTGTGGGTTTGGATTTTCATGGGTTTGTTTTTTTGTTTTAATGGATGTATGGGTTTTAATGTATCTTCATGGTTTCAAATGGATTTTATAGCTACTTGTGAATAGTGGAAGTGGATTCAGGAGGGTTTTGTACCCATCACATTGATATTGATAACGTATAGAAATTATATTGCACCGTAAAAGTTATCTCAGATTTGGTATACGGTGCAGTATAATGTTTGTGTATCCCAGTGTATGGCCGTATTTTTCAGGAAAACAATGATGATTATGCCCAATTGGTGTTGGAACACCCTGCATGTGGGACAAACCATGACAAACCCATCCAAGCTTCCATTGAAATCATCATTGCAAGGGAAAGGTATCAGAGAATCTATATATGCAGATTATGAAGGTTGGCATGTTTGCTTTTTCTTGGGAGGCAACACATGAAAAAAAAACAAGGGGAGTTGTGTTTTGGACCAGTTGATTATTCAACAGAAACCGCTGCGAAATCCGTGATAGAGACGTGCGGAGAACATGACTCAAGCAGGTTGTTGCATCTTTATCGGGACGGGAATGGACGGGACTGACCGTCTAGCTTTGTGAAGAAAAATAGGGGACCAGGGTACCCTCTGAATTTTGATGGTTTATCTTCATTTTAACCAATCAAAATGGCAAAAAAAATAGAATTCTAGAGTAAATCCCCTCATGTGTCTCATGTTCAGACACATCCAAATACCGTGGTGTTGGTTCTAAACATATAATGACATATATACATATACGTATACATATGTGTGATTCAATGTGTATGCATTTGTATGTGTATGTATATGTATGTATATGTATGTATGTGTATATATATATATTTATTAATTTATTTAGATATATATATATATATATGATTTGATAACTATGCCATATTCCATTATCATCATTATATCTCCATGATACACGTTCGGAGCCATGTTTCAGGGTATGCACGGCTCATCAGGTCATTGCCGTTGCATTGGACGATATCGCCATGGCGACCATCTTCTCTACAGGTGTCCTGGGCCGAGGGAAGATGTTGAAATGGGAAGGAATAGCTATGAGGATTTTTTTTGGAGGATATCGTGAACATATGTCAAAATGAATTGTATTTCATGTTGGGATAGAATGACGATACAACCCACCGTTTTTCTGGGAATAGGATAGATAAGTATTTAGGGGATATATCGAGATAGAAAAACACAATTATATATATATATAGTTGTATATATATATGGACCATTTATGGAGATTTCTTGGAACGAACTGTACTGTATAGCTCAACGGTCAACACTATGGATCCTAAGCCAACCCTCAGTGGAATTGCTAGTCATCTCTGGATGCGCTGAATGCGGGACCCTGGTTGCTGCAATCCCTACCCGCCAAACCATTGTTTGTTCCTGCTCCTTCATTTCTTCACTCATGGTTTTATTGATGTATTTTGTGTTTTGCCTTTCCGCCTCCCTTGCTTTATTTATTTCTATATAGTTTTCTTATTTTGTTGTTTCCTGTTTTTCTCCCATGCTCTTGGTTTTCCAAATGAACTCCTTGAGATTACTCAGTTTTGTGACAGCTGTCGCAGAAATCACACGAACAATTGGAGCTTGAAGAGCCGACGGCGCTTATAAACAAAGTTGAGGCAATGTTGTTTACAGTAAAGTACAGTGATGTTTTTTTGATTCGAGGACTATGACTACGGGACTATAGCAATTGGGGGAAGGGTTTGGCAATGGGAACCTCTCTTTTTTTCAGGACGATGCTTGATGATTTGGGACAATACTGGTTACCTTCCTTTGACAAAAGCAGCTCAAAACAAGTGCCACCGCGCTGATCAGGGTGCAACATGACGCGCCACCATTCCTCAGGGCTGGAAGGAAAAGACCCGGGTGACCAAAGGCTCATTTCCTGTGGAACATTTCAACATGATGACTCATAGGTCACCTCCTTAAGTAGCAGTTGACACCTGATATCTCATGATATTGAATTATGTTAGTGAAGCAATCAATAATAATCCACTCATATTTTCATGGTTTATGCATGTTTATACGAGCCATTTGAAGTAAAATTGGGGATGCCTTACCGCCTTCCTAATATTAAATGAACGAAGTACCCTCTGGTAAACTAACATATGTAAAATCACAATCTTTAATAGGTAAATCAACGAACTCAATGGGCCATTTTCAATAGCTATGTGACAAATTACCAGAGGGTTCAGCCCTCCCCGGCTGAGGTCTCCACGTGACGCTGACCTCGCTGATCGCACACGCGGCGGTAGCCCTCAACTTCCCCATTGTCATTGCCTTGGTGCGGGAACCCAAGGACTTAGCTCGCCGGTGTCAAAGGCGAGCTGGGAAAATCCACTATAAATAGAGGTTTCTAGTGGGAAAATTATAAAATCGTCTATGAAATCCACTATTTTATAGCTGGGAAAATCCACATAAATGCTGTAAATAGATGTAAAATGATGTAAATAGAGGTTCTAGTTGAGAACATCATCTATAAAATCAAGGATTTTCCCTTGCGCGGAGGGCAATGGGGATCCACCCAGCCCCAAAAAAATGCGGGGATATCTGTAACAAGAAATAAGGGTTTGTGAGCCACCAGCAACCACTAAGGGCCTATGATCCATCGATTTTGGGGGGTCACCTTTGGCCCGGCAAAAGGCAGATGAGCCCAGACAGCCCAGACATACTGTAGATAGGTCGGCAGCCAGCTAGGCAGGGAGAGAGAGAGAAAGAGAGATAGATAGAGATAGACATAGAGATAGACATAGAGATAAACAGAGATAGAGATAGAGATATATATGGAGATTGAGATAGAGATAGATAGAGATTGATAATGATTGATAGAGATTAATCAATGGAGATTGATGGAGATTGATAGTTTGATGAATTGATTGATACATAGATTGCAGGATAGATAAAAAATATATATATAAAGGTATGATATATATAAGGTATGTGTATATATATATGTGTGTGTGTGTGAGATATATTGTATGTACATGTATGATATATATATATATATATGATATTTGCAACTGGGTGACTCTTTTCAAAAATGACCGAACTTCTTAGCTTGGTGAATTACTATATCGTTTATCCAGATCCAATAACAAACCCCATTAGCACCCTGCATCATAGATTCAAAGATATTCAAAGCAATCAAAAGCTCGTGGTCTCGTGCCTCCCATGACGCTATTGCCGGCGCCAGACTTCGGTCATTTTCAGTCCCAGGTTTCTATCAGCTCTTGTCGGCCGAAAAGGGGCCGCGCTTATGAGTGCTTCGCGACAATTCTATGTACTTCAGCTGGACTAGTCTCAGGTGCCCAACATTATTTTATTGCCACATCAAAAAGCTGGAATGGGAAATTAGGTCATGTTCGTTTTTTTTCTTGGTTGTGGTTCATGTGACATATGAATATATATATATATGTGATAATTGTTAAATTATGAGAAAATAGACCTTCAATTTGGCATGGTTTATAATACCACCCATGTCGTGCTTATTGAGCTTACCACATTAGTTACAACCGAAAGAGTTGAATATGAATGAACCAAAGGAAGCGTGGGTTTACCAACACATATTGGGATTGAAGCAGCACACATGAGGAGGATTCAATAAAAAGGAATTCATTGTTCCTGTACCATCGGGGAATCTAAGCAAACAGTTAACAACCAAATTGTCAAAAGGTAGATCATCCCGAAATGATTGAATTTTCATTCCTAGGTGGGTTAGTGCAATTTTTGGAGGGTCATCAGTGTGTGAATTTTCAATGAACATGTTCAGGAAAACGACTCAGCCCTCAAGAACTGGTCCTGAGGTGTCGCCGCCACCTGTTGTTTCCTCTCAACACGTGACCTAGCTGCAGAACTCCGGCCCCAGCTGGTTGCAGCAGTCAAGCAATTGGGGGGCCCATACCTCAAATGTTTTTGTTGTTTGCATTCAACCATCCATTTTGCCCACCTTCACATGGTAAAATCGTATGAAATCTTAAACCCATTGAAAACCAACTTGGACAATTCTGTTGTGTTGGAGTCCTCCAACCTGTGGCTTCCGAGGTGGCTTGATGAACGCTTGGTTATTGGACCTGGCTCAGGGCCACGGAATTCTACGACACTTGTTTTTTTCATAGGCAGAATTAACATAATTTTTATGGAAAATTATAATTATTGTGGTAACCCCAATGAGTTTCAGTGGCAAGTATGCAAAAAAAAAACAAACTGAGGACCGCACTACGGGGCGAACCAGTCACGAACTGTGGATTATCACGGTTTATCAGTGCTTATCAGTAGTACCGCACAATTCGGTGGCGGAAGTTTCAAAAACCGGAAACCTATAGGAGAGATTGGTTGCTGTGAATCACGGATGGCAGAGCGAATCCACTGATGGACCGAAAGGTGCTTCAGGTCTCCTCTCTTTCTCTCTCTTTCTCTGACTATCTACCTACCTACCTATCGATCTATCTATCTATCTATCTATTTATCTATCTACCTATCTATCTGTCTATCTTTCTTTCTATCTTTCTATCTATCTATCTATCTGTCTATCTATCTATCTATTTATCTATCTATCTATCTATCTGTCTATCTATCTATCTATCTATCTGTCTATCTATCTATCTGTCTATCTGTCTGTCTGTCTATCTGTCTATCTGTCTATCTGTCTATCTGTCTATCTGTCTATCTGTCTATCTGTCTATCTGTCTATCTGTCTATCTGTCTATCTATCTATCTATCTACCTATCTATCTATCTAATCTAATCTAATCCAATCCAACCCAATCCAATCCAATCTAATCTAATCTCATCTAATCTAATCTAATCTATTTATATATATATATATCTCTCTCTCTCTCTCACCTGTCTATCTGTCTATCTGTCTATCTGTCTATCTTTTTCTTATTGTCTATCTATCTGTCTATCTGTCTGCCTGTCTATCTCTACTGCAGCGCGTTTCAGTGTAGTGGAGTGTAGTGTAGTGTAATTAGTGTAGAGTAGTGTAGCGCAGTGTAAATGTAGTATTGTTGCGCTCGTACTTGTAGTTGTAGTTGGTGTAGTGTAGTGTAGTGTAGTGGAATGTAGCGTAGTGTAGCGTAGTTTAGTGTAATGTAGCGTAGTGTAATGTAATTGAGTGTAGTGTAGTCGAGTGTAGTGGAATGTAGTGTAGTGTATTGTAATGTAGCGCAGTGTAGTGTAGTGGAATGTAGCGTAGTGTAGTGTAATTGAGTGTAGTGGAGTGTAATGGAGTGTAGTGTAGTGGAATGTAGTGTAGTATAGTTGTAGTGTAGTGGAGTGTAGTGTAGAGTAATGTAGTGTAGTCGAAGGTAGTGTAGTGTAATGTAGTGTAGTGTAGTGGAGTGTAGTGTAGTGTAATGTAGTGTAGTGGAATGTAGTGTAGTGTAGTATAGTGTAGTGGCGTGTAATTGAGTGTAATTGAGTGTAATGGAGTGTAATTGAGTGTAGTGCAGTGTAATGTAGTGGAGTGTAGAGGAGTGTAGTGTAGTGTAGTGGAATGTAGTGAAGGTGTAGTTGTAGTTGTAGTGTAGTGTATTGTAGTGTAGTGTGGTGTGGTTGTAGTTGAAAACGCTACAAAACCCCACGTTTTGCTATGTTTTCCTCATTTTTGACAAGGTGCACAATCCCTTGCGCCTGCCACGCGAAACGACATCTGAACCTCCAAAAGTGGTCCGAACCCCTGGTGTTTTGTACATTTTGACTTCGAAATGTGCTTCGCACCGCAACGGCGCGCACTTTTTCGACATCTCAACTTCCAAAAGTGGTCCGAACGTGGTGTGTTTGGTACATTTTGACTTCGAAATGTGCTTCGCGCCGCAACGGCGCGCACTTTTTCGACATCTCAATTTCCAAAAGTGGTCCGAACGTGGTCTGCTTTGTACATTTTGACTTCGAAATGTGCTTCGCGCCGCAACGGCGCGCACATTTTCGACATTTCAATTTCCAAAAGTGGTCCGACCATGGTGTGTTTTGTACATTTTGACTTCGAAATGTGCTTCGCGCCACAACGGCGTGCACTTTTTCATCTCTCATGTGGCCAGATGGCTCAGCACCCGCCGCTTTAGCGAGCCTACTTTTCGACCCTCCGGAGCCACAAATCATTGGAAAAACTCAATGTTTCGCGACTTTCCTACCTTTTCGCGCATCTGCATCTTCTTTCTTCTGACTCTTTCTCTTCTATCATTTTCTCTCTTCTACTCTTCTCTTCTCTCTGCCTCTTCCCCATCTCTGCTTTTCATCTGTCCATATTTGTCGGAAGTTTGACTTCAAAACTTCCTTCGATCAGGGCTAATAGCCACTCAATGAGGCACTTTTAGTACCCGAGGGATGTTGTCCGTACATTTCCCACCAAACTGTCACAGCTTGGTCCCGGTTTTGCTGCGCGAAATGGATTTCCTCATTGTTTCTCTGCATTTTACAAGACTTGATCATTGGTGGTATCAAATACCCCCCTTAAATTGGATTCCATATAATTTGGGGCGGACTATGGGAAGTTTTTAATATGGGAAATGTGAGTATTTGGGATGAACATCCCCCCACTCCCCAGCTCCGAGGACTGGATGCGATCCTGAGTGTCACTCAGCCACCACAAAATCGGAATTGATTTCGCTTCATCCATCGAAATCAGGCAGAAATGGTTCCTGATTCTGCCGTTATACCCTTGGGAAACAGATATGAAACGTTTTGGTACTGGATACTGCAACGGGGAATGGTAAGTCCATGGGATACTTCCTTGCTACTTTGATGGAAGAACATGTCATTTCGCACTGTAAATAAGTCGACTTTGCAGGGTATCTCAGGGATTCTCAGGGTCTAAGGCTAGCGTTTGCAACCAGCGCGCTGAGGTAATTCTTGTGATTCAGGTTCTCGTGTTGTGGTGCTGCTACGGAAGCGGCATTTGGCATCTACGTCGTTGCTGCTGTCGTGGGACCCGCTGAGCAGATCCTGTTGGGTCCATGGGCCCCTTTTTTAAAGGCCAGTAAAGCAAACAAAAAAAACTATACAATCCAGTCATCCGTTGGAAAATCAGGGTGGAACCCCCACAACAAAAAAAACGTTTGCAAGGTGATTTACGATCAACAAGTGCCTTTGTGAAACTGTGAACACTGGATATTGTTTCACTTAGGAATGAATATGTACAGTACATTCTCCGAGAGCCCCCTGGAGAGGGCGATGGAGAGAGAGATGTAGTGGATTCCAAGCTTGGTTTTTACCCAGTGAGGGCCATGATTTATTTTTTGATGTTTTTGGCATTTGAGAAAATAAACAAACACCAACTTTTTCTGAAGCCATTTGCTTAGGGATCCAAGCAACCCCGGCAAATTCAAGGCACAGGTTTCACTTCTAAGGACAATGTATGGTCAGAACTGATCCATACTTTGATACTTATCCCGGGATATCCCGGGTTGTTCCCGAAATTGGGAGATAGGAGGCCCAAGACAAATGTCGACCTCATTGCCGCTTTCTGAACGCATTTTCAAAATCTCATGGGTGTTTCCTCCTTGCAAACCCAGGTGAGAAGGCGAGTTCGTGGGTCAATTTTCTACAATGTAATGGGCCAGTTATAAATGTGACTGACTTGTAGAGACCTCACTGCAACATCACTGTAAATATTTAAATAATTTGATGATTACTATATAAGGTAGATCGTGAGATGAAATATACCCAATCAATTGCCTTATCAATTGCCTTATTTCAAGGTAGTGTTTTACTGTATTTGATCCAGATATATAGAGGCGAATTTCTGTACTTACTTGTCTTTTGGGGTACATATATTCTAGCACCCATTTGTAAAAATGACTTGTAAACCTAGCAGGAGCGCATGGATGCAAAGGTTGGCAATCAAAGACATTTCCAATATGTTTTTATAAGATCATATGATATGCCAAACTATCACATGCCCAGTCCTGGGTGAATCTTGATTGGGTAGCTTAATTTGTAGACTAGTGACTAATGGTATGTTTGTTCACGTTTGTTGATGTGAACGGCGGCATAGACTTCCCAACAAATGATCATATAGATTGGTTTTTGTTGATGTTTTTGAAGGGTACATCAGACTATATACAAGGAATTTAGGGTGTGTGGTAGATAGTGCTTTATGTTAGATATCCATAACAGATATGGTTTACACAGTTTACAAACTTATAAGTTTAAACTCGAGGAAATTACCTTGTAGGGGATTATTTCTTTGGTGGTGGTATGGATTGAAATTGAAGCACACTGAAGCCACGAGTGCTTTTGCAGAGCTGTGCTGTGCCGATCGCCACATGTCGCCATATATTCTACATAAATACATTACACCACATACATGCATACATACATACATACATACATAAAAGACATACATACGTACATAGATGCATACATACAGTATCATACGATGATACAATGATACAATGATACACTGATACAATGATGCAATGATACAATGATACAATGACACAATGACACAATGAACACAATGACACATACATACATACATGCATACATGCATGCATACATACATGCATACATGCATACATGCATACATGTATACATGTATTCATACATACACATACATACATATACATACATATACATACATATACATATACATACATATACATACATATACATACATATACATACATATACATACATATACATACATATACACACATATACATACATATACATACATATACATACATATACATACATATACATACATATACATACATATACATACATATACACACATATACATACATATACATACATATACATACATATACATACATATACATACATATACATACATATATACATACATATATACATACATATATACATACATATATACATACATATATACATACATAGATACATACATACATATACATACACATACATACATACACATACAGACATACATACATACATACATAGATAAAAGACATACATACGTACATAGATGCATACATACAATGATACACTGATACAATGATACACTGATACAATGATACAATGATACAATGATACAATCCTACAATTATACATACATGCATACATACATGCATAGATACATAGAAACATAGATACATAATTACATCATAACATCGATACATAGATACATCGATACATCGATACATAGATATATAGATACATACATACATACAGGCATACAGACATACATACGTACACATACATATACATACATATACATACATATACATACATATACATACATATACATACATATACATACATATACATACATATACATACATATACATACATATATACATACATACATACATACATTAAAAAAAAAACAAAAACATACATACGTACATACGTACATAGATGCGTACATACATACAAACAAACATACGTACACACATACGTAAATACGTACATGCATGCAACATTGGGTCATTGCATGACAATGTTTTCATGTAGATCTGGGAGTACAATCTGTGCAACTCGGGGTTAAAGCAGCCTTGATAGATAGATAGATAATGATAGATAGATAGGTAGATAGATAGATGGATAGATAGATAGATATGTATATAAATATGTATATATATAAATATGTAAATATATATATATATTTGCATATATATATAGAGAGAGATATGGTTGTTTCCTAAAGTCCTAAAATTCGGGGGCCCGCCAAGCGTGTGGAACTAGGGGGTATGTTTCGGAGGTATGTTTCGGGTCACGTCTCGAACTATGTCTCAAACTATGTTTCGAAGGGATGTTTCGCGATCCCTTTCCAAGATCATAGTGCCAAACGGATTGGTTCTTATGTGCGCTTTGGCAAGGGCTGCATAGCGATTAATGTGTGTGTGTGCGCGTGCATTTTAGAGATTAAATTCCTTTGAGGGAAGTGCACCTGGACTGGTTGCAACACATACACGACCGCAACTCTCTTAATGAGAGATTTCCATCTCCACAAAAGAGTGCGCAAAAGAATAACCCTTATGTAGGCCTTGCCAAGGCCTACATAAGGACCAGTCCGTTTTGCACTATTTTCCCAAAACTGTCCTCTCTTAAAAAGGGTTTTTAAGCCTTACCAATGCTTATCCAAACTTTCCAAACATTAATAGTGCTTATTTAGTCAAACATGGTCAAACCATATATGTGCAAAAAACCCATGGTTTTCTATTTGGATCTGCGGGTACAGTCTGTGCTACCCGGGGTTAAGTCTGCTATGATTCTATCTATCTATCTAATCTAATGTAATCAAATCTACTCTAATCTAATCTAATCTAATCTATCTATCTATCTATCTATCTATCTATCTATCTAGATTTACATATACATATGTATGCAGTACATCATAGTTATGTACATTTTGAATATTTATGGTATTTTCCCGGCTAAAAACTACTTTTAATGACAGCTTTCTCCTGCTCCCATGATGATATCTTAGAGTTGTGACCAGGACAAAACAAGAGATTTGCCCACAGCCTCTCATTTATCATTGCACAAACCTCCCACGGCTTTGCACGTAAAAAAAACATTCGTTAGTTTGCGATGGTAAACTTGCCATACTTGAGACTATGCCACATTATCCTGATATAGGTGAACCGTGTGGAACTACAGTGAAGGCTGTTGTGGAAAAAAAACTGCCAGTGCCGGTTTGAGATAATTTGAGACGACCAAGCACACTCTTGTTTTTTGTTATATACTAAGCAACGCTTTTATCCCTGAGCTAGCCGTCATGAAGTTTGTATCAAATTTATGCCGGCACTTCAAGATGGGCAGTGCCGGTTCAAATGATATACAGTAATAGATTTAAAAATTACATAGTTGTACTTGGTTGTTTTATTGTGGACCCTTTGGTTTTGACTCATCCAGAGATGTGCGAGAGAATTGCGTTTGTTTAGGAACCCTTTGCATATCTACTTGCATCAGGGTACCAGTATATCCCAACAAATCTCATTATATTTGGCTATATCCCATCATACTCATATGCCCACACACACATATATACAGTTAATATATATTAATATATATATATATATTTATATTTATATACATAGATATTTACGCAGTGTATTTCTATAATTCTATAACATGATTACTATTTTTTGTATAGCAAAATGGTCCATGGAGTCCATAATAATATTTATTCCAATCACATCCCCTCGAACGAAAGGATCATTACTACAAAAAAGGGAAAACAACATCCAGAGATGACGCCCGGCTTGGCGCATGTCAAAGTTACCTTTTTTCCAAGACTGAGCTTGCGTCATGCAGCCATGGGATTGCAACGCACCAGAGGCTGGTTGATCAATAGGATTCAATAGGACAGATGTAGCTACCTTCTCATTGAACAACGAAAAGGTATCTATGTAAATCATGTACCAGGTTTACCCAGCCGATTGTTCCCAAATCTTCATCAATACTAGTGGTGGTAAAACCTTTGTTGGGTCGGCTCATGTGTGATTCTTTGCCATTGGGGCACATGCATATTTTTCCCATTTGTGAGTGAGAAACGGCCAACCCAACCAAAGTTTATAGCCGGCAATGTTGTTTTGTGAAAAAAAAGTTCGATATCCTAGATGAACTGCACTATTGTTGCTAGGTATTAGTACATTAGATGTGATGCTGTTCTCTACTGTAGTATTAGCATCGTTGCATCAGTGCCAGCATTAGTGTGTGTTTGTGTTAGTATCATAATTATTCATATTGTTATTTAAGATTGGTTTGTAACTTTGTTTGTTTCTTGTTTTATACTTTATACCCCGGTGCTTCCCCATTGTCCGCAGAGTCTATGATTATGATCAGCCATCATTTGTTCGGATTGGCCATGGCTGACGCAACCAGAATATGGTCTGCCGAATGGCAGATCCCGTCGCAAGGGCACCAGGAATCTACCGCCAAAGGATACCCGGGGTAAACCTCGGCGAATGGGATATGCAAAGATGAAACAATGATACATGCACACAGATGCACATATGCACAAGTTACAAAGTTCATAGATGGTAGACTGTGGGAAGGTTGAAACACCTTGTTGATGTTAGGGGGTTTATTTGTCGTTGGCCAGGAAAAATGATTACAGCATTGAGAAGCCGGTTTTTCATCAGGGTGAATGTTGATTAACAATCAGCTTTAGCGGGCCTTTTTTTATTGCGGGCCTTACATGAGGAGTCCCTGCAAGCCCATTTGCAGTCTGTTGATGGTCAGCGCAAGATTATCATTCCTTTTGAGTGGGATTACAAACCAATTACTACATCATGTTCTAACTTCAGAGACGAGGGACTTTGCTCGAAGATATTCTCACAGCAGTCCTGCTTCCGTTCCACTTCACCCCAGGACATGTTCTGTGGCAACATATGTTCCAAGTTCAAGGTGAAATGCACGACTTTGTTTCCTCCATGTCAGTGGAATTGAAATGATGTGAGACCAATCATCGGCCCAGTTGTTGGACTTGAGGTTGCATGGTAGATATAAAAATGAATGAGAGGTATGGATAGGTATGAGAGGCTTTTGCCTGTGCGTATATGAGTTTTGTCATCGTTGTCGTCGTCATCATCGTCGTCCTCATCCTCATCATCATCATAATCATCATCACCATCATCATCACTATCATCACCATCATCACCATCATCATCATCATCGTCATCATCATCCTTGTCTACAATATATACATACATAGACATAGATATGTTCTTGTTGTATGCATGTGAAATATATATATATATATACATATATGTGTATGTATATTTTGTAAATATAGTTTTTCGCAGACAGGCGCATAAAAGACATCCATCGGTCATGTGGCACAGCGTGACTGCCAACTGTTGATGATTTCAGGTGCCCCACAGGCCCGCCGCGGGCGCGGCTTTTCATTCAGCGCATTGAAAAAGGATGAAAAAGGTAATCGCCGGCATGTTTTTTGTCAACTGCCTGATTTGTTTCCCTGTTCTCTTTCGAAAAATGTAAGTTGCAACAGCTCTTTAGCTAAAATAAAGATACTCTTTGAGTGTATCTATTGCTATCACTTAAAATGTTTGATCCCAAAGTCGCTGGTTTGTATAAGGTGAAGACTTGATGTAACCAATTTTATTGGTCGAGAATGGTACCCCTTTGGTGAAGTAGAATTACTGCGCTCATGTGCCCCCTATTGAATTGTATTTTGTATTTGAGAGTTGGGTTTACGACCGTTTGGTTGTCAACATGTTTCATGGAATTTGCCTGCGCAGAGGTGACAGCTGCTTATGGGCTGATGGTCATGAAAAAATAAATCGAACCACGACATTGGTTTGCAGGGAAATGTGCCACCGTAACATCTGATGGTTGGAAACTCGTTGATTATGGTCATTTCATGGGTACATATACAGACACCCCAAAATACCTTTTAAAAACATGTATTTTTAGCATGTTACCCTTTATTATATTATTAGTACTCGGAGGGTCTATCTCTACCCCATTTTCAGACATATCCATGTGAAACATCGAAGGTTCGAACAGCAGAATCGGTGGTGTTTTTGGGCAGGCCTGCCGGTGAACAACAGTGAGGTCGTGAGCGATTGCGAAGGTATCTTGTCACCATTGGGGAGTCAAGGCGTCCCAAGTTGCACAAGTTGCCTCCTTGGTGGTATCGATAAGCCAGTAGTGATACGTCGGATCTGCCGATGATCTGCCGATGATCTGCCGATCCACATGGCTGAACCAATTACTGATTTGCACCCCGACGGAAGCATTGAAGCATGGCTTTTCAGGTGTAAGCACGGACAACCATCCCATGTGTTTCTTGTCCTTGTGGAGCTATGCCTTTGTACTTAGAGTATGGCAATCAAAAGGAACTAGCGGCCATTGAAGTTCTGCTGCTTGAGGACCGGTAGCGTCACCCGGTGACAACGGCTTGACCAAACGATCACGTTTAGCAATATGAAACGTTTGTTCATGAAAAAAAACACGTGTGTATGATACATTATGATAATATATTATATATAATATAACCCTAGTTTGTTTGAATTCCAAGTTGGATCATCGTTCACAACCCGTTGTTATTACCATCATTTCCCCCAGGGCAAGCCGGGTAAGCATTACAATTTGCAATGTTAAGGTATATATGTCCATATATGTCCTATTTTAGAGAATAGGTCAGCAATGGTCATTCAATGGTCATCCCTTTCAAGGCTCGCTTTTGGCCCCCCTGTGGGTGGGGCCATCAGGTGTCCGCACTGGAGAATCCTGTCACCAATACTGCGCCATGGGCTATGAAAACACCACCGAGGAAGCTAACTTCGTTTGTGCCTGGTCAGAACATGATTTTGTTTAGCCACATGCGCCACGTCATGATTTCACGGCAGCCGGGCCAAGTAGGTTCAACGATGTTCAAGGGCAGTTGGGATGGAGACTTGAAGTTGTCTGAATCCATCCTCCCAAACAAAGCTTCTCACGTGGCCCGCCCAGCTAGTGACATCAGATGACATCAGTAAACCTTCACTCGCCGCGCCAAGGTCAAACCTCAGGGCAAGCAGGACTGGCCTCCAGCCAGACTACGCAGTGTCAACCCATCAGCTGCGAAGGCAATTCCATGAACTTCTCCTTGGTGCAGCACAGCTGTCACTTGGACCGGAACTGGGACATTTCCAACCTGTACACTGCACTTAAAATGCATAGGTATCATAGGAGTCATAGAAAACTAAAGACTTAAATCCGAGGTTTGGAGGTGGAGGGGAAGACCCAGATTAACTATATATATATAAAAGAAACTATGTATGGATATGTGTGGATCTATTGAACATTGGCATAGATGTATTTGCCATTGGCATCCCACCACAGTGAAATATATTGGTTATTTCAACGTAGCCATCGTTTGGGGGCACCACCTTGAAGGTATCATGTATGCAGTAAAATCTGTCCATTGAGGCGGCGAGTGATCCACGACCAGTAGTGGGTGGAAGAATTTTACTTCAAGGAGGGAATGACATTATGAGTAATGTGGGTATAACATGGTATAACAATAATAAACCATCCCCCAAACTGAGTTTAACCTGACCAACAACATTGAGACTGCTGTGAAACGCGCCCCGATTTCGGGCCTGTGTCATTTTAACGAACGGGAAGATCATGCATAGAGGCCAAAACTGAGACCCCAAGACCCCCCAGTTGGCAAACACTCGGGGCACCAAGGTGTCCATGAGAATATATATATACAGACAGTAGCTACATTTGGAACTCCAAAATCCTGTCATGGCTGATCATCTTTTCCCCAATGGTTTCGACAAACTCCTCATTTCGAGACAAACTCACAGTGGACGCATTTGGAGAGGATATACCATTAAAAAAAAAAGCGGAGTGCGAAGTATCTAGCCAATCCCTTCCCTGTACACAAAAATCCGCCCAATTCAAATCCTGGCTTCGCATTTAGATTAGTTGATCCTGGATTCAAAGATGAGGGATGTGATGTGTCACCTAGATGTCTCTTTCCCACTGGCTGGTTGCTGAATACAGGGGTCACCCCCCACTCTACATGTTTCTTCGCTACATTTTGCAAAAGAACAATCTGGGTTTGTTCTTTAGTTCGAAAAGGTGGTGCGGGTACCCTTAAACAATCCGCTAACTGCATCTTCCCTATATTGAATTTCCATATATGATCAGTATTATCAGACAAGCTCAAATCATAATTTGTTCATCCCCATTATATATCACCATGTTTAATTACCAGTAGTACCGCACAAGGCGGTGGCGGAAGTTTCAAAAATAGGAAACCTATAGGAGAGGTTGGTTGTTGTGAATCACGGATGGCAGAGCGAAGCCACTGATGGACCGAAAGGTGATTGATGTCTCCTCTCTTTCTCTCTCTTTCTCTGACTATCTACCTACCTACCTACCTACCTATCTATCTACCTATGTATCTATCGATCTATCTATCTACCTACCTATCTTTCTATCTTTCTATCTATCTAACTATCTATCTCTCTCTCTCTCTCTCTCTTTCATCTGACTATCAGTCTAGCTGTCTACCTCTCTATCTGTCTATCTATCTATCTATCTATCTACCTATCTATCTATCTATCTCTCTCTCTCTCTCTCTCTCGCATTCATCTGTCTAGCTGTCTACCTGTCTATCTGTCTATCTGTCTACCTGTCTATCTGTCTACCTGTCTATCTGTGGTGCAGTGTCCTTCAGTGTAATGTAGTGTAGTGTAATGTAGTGTAGTGTAGTGGAGTGTAGTGGAATGTAGTGTAGTGTAGTGTAGTGTAATGTAGTGTAGTGGAGTGCAGTGGAAGGTAGTGTAGTGTAGTGTAATGTAGTGTAGTGGAGTGTAATGTAGTGTAATGTAGTGTGGTGTAGTGTAATTTAGTGTAGTGGAGTGTAGTGGAGTGTATTTGTGTAGTTGTAGTTGTAGTTGTAGTGTAGTGGAGTGTAGTGTAGAGTAATGTAGTGAAGTGTAGTGGAAGGTAGTGTAGTGTAGTGTGTAGTGTGTAGTGTAATGTAGTGTAGTGTAGTGTAATTTAGTGTAGTGGAGTGTAGTGTAGTGTCATGTAGTGTAGTGTAGTGTAGTGGAGTGTAGTGTAGTGGAGTGTAGCGGGGTGTAATTTAATGTAGTGGAGTGTAGTTGTGTGTAGTTGGAGTTGTAGTTGTAGTGTAGTGGAGTGTAGTGTAGTGTAATGTAGTGTAGTGTAGTGGAGCTGTAATGTAGTGTAGTGTAGTGAAGCGACGCGAAGCGACATCTGAACCCCCAAAAGTGGACCGAACCCCCCTAGTGTTTTTAACATTTTGACTTCGAAATGTGCTTCGCGCCACAACGGCGTGCACTTTTTCGAGATCTGAACTTCCAAAAGTTGTCCGAACCCCTAGTGTTTTGTACATTTTGACTTCCAAATGTGCTTCGCGCCACAACGGGCGTGCACTTTTTTGACATCTCAACTTCCAAAAGTAGTCCGGAGCTGGTGTGTTTTGTACATTTTGACTTCCAAATGTGCTTCGCGCCAGAACGGCGTGCACTTTTTTCGACATCTCAACTTCCAAACGTGCTCCGACCATGGTGTGTTTTGTACATTTTGACTTCCAAATGTGCTTCGCGCCACAACGGCGTTCACTTTTTCGACATCTCAACTGCCAAAAGTGGTCCGGAGCTGGTGTGTTTTGTACATTTTGACTTCCAAATGTGCTTCGCGCCAGAACGGCGTGCACTTTTTTCGACATCTCAACTTCCAAAAGTGCTCCGACCATCATGGTGTGTTTTGTACATTTTGACTTGGAAATGTGCTTCGCGCCACAACGGCGTGCACTTTTTCGACATCTCTCATCTGGCCAGCTGGCTCCGCACCCGCCGCTTTAGCGAGCCTACTTTTCGACCCTCCGGAGCCCCAAATCATTGGAAAAACACACTGGTTCGCGACTTTCCTACCTTTTCTTTCCTTTTCTCGCATCTCCATCTTCTTTCTTCTTACTCTTTCTCTTCTACTCTTCTTTCTTCTAATCTTTCTCTTCTCTCTGCCTCTTCCCTGCTCTGCTTTTCATCTGTCCATATTGTCGGAAGTTTGACTTCTAAACTTCCTTCGATCAGTAAAGTATCAACCATATGTTTATCATGTTTTGAACCCAGCTGAAGTCGCATGAGCGTGCCAAGGTCAGGGAACTGTTTATTCCCGGACTTGCTATGCCAGCTGCATCCAGGGCTACTCAGCCACACCTGAGCAATGGCTCTGCGGCGATACGTCCATGGGACCAGAGCTAGGCAGGATGCTGCGGTTTTGACGCTCGAAAACTTGACACTGACTTGAGCATCCAACAACATGAAAACGTGGGATTTGTGCACCCTGAAGAGTTTCCGGAGATCTTCCGAAAGATCTTTCGAAAGATTCCTGCGAAGTAGTTTTCCTCCGACCAAAAAGTTGGAATTAGCAACAAACAAATGGGAGGGAGCCTACCCACAGAACAATCTGATTGTTGTTGGACAAAGTCAGCTTTAAAGCCGAGGTGTCGCTATTATTTAAGTTCTGCTGAATGAATACTAAGATGGTCTCAGCGGACTGTTGTCCATATATTTATATACCACATGCACGGATCTGCGTGAAAAACGTTGAAAAACATGTGCTTGGAAATCCTGAAAAAATTGCAGATATGACAGGCTTCTGGTTTCAACATGTTTCAACTATGACCTCTAGCTAATGATATTGAATGAAATTCAATTTGGATTGATTCTACTGAAAACTATTTATCTCTATTTATCTCTATTTATCTCTATTTATCTCTTACCGTTAAGGTTTTACCAATGTTCCGATTCATGACGAAGTCTTGTCGGGCCTTGCCGCAGGCTTCCAGGTGTACAAGGGCATCACCCTGAGAGGTGTTGTGCCTTCCTGCATGGCCAGTCCCTGCGTACCTGGGCAGCCGGGCTGGTGATGGTCTTTGGGGAAAAACAACGCTTGAGTTTGGCAATTTCTAGTCCCAAAGCAGCACCTTTTTCGGGGGTACATGTAATAAATACATACTGGTACCCGGATCATTGCCATGTAGCCTCCATGGATTTTGGATATTTTGGGCCGGTGCCGCTATGAGTGGAGTAGGTCTTGGCCATTTCAGTGATTGTCTCTTGGTAAGTACAAATTTCCGATTTGTTCGACTGTTGACTTAAAAAAATGTGAGCCATGTATACATATAATCATAATCATATATATATATATAGTTTACATAATTATATATAATGACCTGCAATGATGGGCCTGTATTTTTTGGCTTGGGACTCAACTCAGGCTACAGCCAAAAAAAGACCAGCAGTTGGGCCAAATTGTCGCCTGCCAGGAATTCAACCTACCAGTGGGTGTGCAATACTCACACAATTGCACTGGTGTGACCACAGGTGCCAACGGGGGACCAGGGATATTTGGGTGATGGTGAGTTTCCCAACCATGTCTTGCGGATTTTGAGCCATACATTGACCCAATAGCCCAATAGTTAATGAAAAACTCCCTGGGCTCATGGGAAGCATTTATGAAAGCGGGGAGCAATCTTTAGTGGCTGTCAAGCCAGGCAACTGGTTTGGACACGTATTATGTGTTCATCAGATTTTATCAATGTATGTCCAGTCCCCAGTTTTTGGAGAGTGCAGTTCAAGAGCAGCTTCTGCATCTCTCAAGAAATCAGGCGACGGTTTTTGGGATATGAAATATTTGCTGAATCCCATTGAAACCCAGAAGAGTAAGGTTCAGTCCTTTTGGTCCACCAGCCCACCAGAAGGCATACTGCACAGGTCTGCACAGTTCGCTTTTCCTTTTTCAATGAAAACTCCAAACAGGAATGGGTCAAAACATGCAAAATCCGGTTTTTTGTCTGGGGTAGACATCCATATATGTCCTCCTACTTTGTTCCTTTAAAGTAAAGATTCCCAGGATGAACTGCTCCCACCCTGCATCACCACGGCAGGAAGTTCTTGCCTGGTTCAATGTGCCGATGGTTGGGATGGGATGATGGAGGCACTTGGTCACGGTTCGGCGATTTTGAGTTGGGCATGGGAGTCCCAAGAAAGATAGAACAGGAATGAACAGGATCTCCAGGATAGATGATGTGTTTCTATGCTTTTCCCCATCATTGCCAGTTGTACAAATGTTCGACCTTTGTTGGGGGTTGCTATAACGGGATTTGACGTTGAACCATCAAGGGTGAGGATCGGTTAGGATCACTGGCGGTCACTGGCCATTGGTATTGCAGAAGCCAGTCAGAGGCAGACAGTTGTCTCAATTTGTACCGTATTTTTTCCCAACAGAGAAAAAGAAAAGGAAGCCAAGAAAAAACGAAAAAAGGTAAACATATGCAATCATGGCAATGGAAATGTCCCCACTTTCGATAGACCTTTGGCCAGGATTGCCACAATGTACTGGGGGAATCGATGGCTGCAGGTGTTGACGTGCGGCACAGATGCGGCGCTCTCTGGAAGTTTCCCTAGTTGCAACTCGGAGGGCAGTGCAGGTGCAGACAAGGTGGTGCCCCTGGAGTTATAAGTACTAGTTGTTTTGCGTCCCATCAACATACTGTAAGCGTTTGTAAGTCTACCATATCGACCCCACAGAATTTATCTTATTTTTCTATATGTATATATATATATATATGATGTTACTTATAGACTATAGACTATAGACCAATTTATCTAAATATGGGACACCACCCTGTGGGTATGGTGGCTTAGGTGCTCTTTTCGGCGAAAAAGTGTTGGGTGCCAGGTGAAGCCCGGTGAAGCCACCTGGACACCTCCAGGACTTCACACTCTGTCAAGCCTGGTAATAACCGACTATAACCCTTTCAGAAATGGATAGTTGATGATGTTGATGATATACAAGAGATACTGCAGAATGACATAAACTTGTAGGGTTGATTGAACTTGGGGGATAATTGAGAGCTAAAACCGCCGATGCATCACAGTGGAAACCGGGAACCTACATCCTTTTCATCAATGAATCATTAATGATCTTAAACCTACCCCCAGGTTTGCATGTGGAGTGCGCCCCATTGAATGAACTGGAGCCATACCTTGTCCACGACGGTAGCCTTGAGGCAATCCAGTGACTTCCACGAGAACCGCTACCAGTAGCTCCACTCAGACCACCACGCAGACCAGCACGCTGACGGTGGAAACTTCACTGAACGACTGAGATTTTGGTGACCCCTTACTGGAAAATCGACTAAAAGGATCTAAATAGGTGTTGATAGCTGGGAAAGTCTCATATACATGTGGAATTCCATGGGAAATCTCTTAATTACACGTCGGAGGTTTTACAGTAATTGCAAAATCAGTGACCTAAGTGGCGATGAATAGTGATTTGATGAGAGGCTGCTGCATGGTTTTCAAATTGTTTCAATGAACCACAGGTTTTTACTCCACCAGGGATTTCCGGGTAGAAATCCCCAGCCATAAGCGGCCATAGGTCCAAAATCACAGGATGTCCTCCATCGGCTTTCGCAGAATGGATCATCAAGTCGAGGATCTGAAATTTGCGCTCTAAAGTTGATCGGTTCCAATGGAATTGCTGAAGATATACCCTCTGGTCAAACATGGCTGGGAAGTACGGAAGTACCCTAGAAATAGGCGGGAGATGTTCCGTTGCCTTGATTGCCAGAGGATACCCTACATCATCATACATCACTTTTTTTTGAAACCGTGACATCATCGTTGCATGTGACCTGCTACGCTGCAAATGATCGCCTTTGGCGGTGACGGGTCATGATCCTTGTGGGGCCATGGGGGTGCCCAGTTCTTTGGAGACCTTTTGTGGCCGGGATGACCATATGCCTGAGTCCCATGCTGCGACGGATGACCATACCACATATACCACATTGTTGGTTTTACATATAATTATATATATATATACATAACAAATATATATATATATAGATCTGTATATATATATATATTTACATAACAGGCAGGCAGACAGGCAGACAGACATCCATGCATACATACAGACATAGACATCCATCCATACACATACATACACATACATACACATACATACTATATATCATTCTATGCTCATCATATCTCCATTTTTGCAGGCTAAACCAACCATGAATCCCAACCAGAATCCCATGGTACATCAAGGATGTGACCAGCATCACTGCCACGAGAACGAGCTCCAGCACCACCGTTTTTTCTTACACCTGTCCAGAGGAGAGGTTCATCTTCCAACCGGGAAAGGCCTCACCTCAGAGCACGTGCCTAGCTGTATAGATATTGAAGGTATACCCTCCGTAATCTAACATGGCTAAAATGGCCCATGTCTAGATGATGCTGTGAAAAAATACATTTTTTGCTATGTTAGGTTACCAGAGGTCAGATGAGAGCCATGTTGCCATTTTCAACATCCAACTCCTCCAACCAGAAATTTTGTCGCAGGAAGTTCCTGCCATTGGGGCGACGTTCAACTGTTCCTTGGCTTCAAGGGGCAGGCGCCCGACGCAGATCCATGTCTGGATGGAGGACCCTCAAACCTTGTTGATTTGATGACAGATAGATTAGATAGCTGTGCATATTGTGCATCCACACAACGAGGGTTGGTTTCCATGCCTATGAGTTGACACCTACCATCTCTATACTAGATGTGGGGGTGTTTGCTCAAGCATGTTATGTAAGCATTGTATGTTTCTCCAAAAAATAGGGGACCCCAGTCCCATTGCTATTGGTTTCTTGGCTTTACAGTAATTGGGGGTTGGAGGGGGTGCGAGACCATGCCCAGCCAAGAAAAGATATCTGAGGACTGCGGTAGAACTCTCATAGTATTTCTGGGAGGGCTATTTATTGTTGTTTTTTTTCACGGCAGTTTTTGGATTTTTTTGGGGGTTCCTGGTTCTAGGCTTTCCTGTTTCTCTGATTTTCTTCTTTTCTGCTTCTCTGCTTTTCTGCTTTTCTGCTTCTCTGCTTACGTTGCTTCTCTGCTTTTCTTGCTTCTCTGCTTTTCTGCTTTCCCTGCTTTTCCATGCTTTTCCATGCTTTTCCTGCTTCTCTGCTTCTCTGCTTTTTGCTTTTCTTATCTTTTCTTGCTTCTTTGCTTTTCTGCTTCTCTGTTTTCCCTGCTTCTCTGCTTTTGTACTTCTGTGCCTTTCTACTTCTACTATTCTACTTGTTCTTTTCTTCAGTCATGTGTGTTTGCTGCTCTACTTCCTGCTCCTTTGCTTCTTTGCTTCCTGTCTTTACTGTCTCTTCGTTTTTCATTTTCTGGCTTTATTCTGATCCTAAATGAAACCCTAGAGAGACCCTAGGTGAAACCCAAAGAAACCCTAAAGAAATCCTGATAAGAAACCCTACGTGAAGCCCTAAATGAACCCTAAAGAAACAATAAATTAATCCGAAAGAAACAATAAATGAAACCCTAACAAAAACTTGAAATGACACCCGTAATGACATCCCAAAGAATCCCTAATCCCTTTCCCCTAATACTAAACCACCCTCCTAAATAATAAGCACCTCAGGTAGTTTTTATTATTAGGGTGTATTTATAATTAAGGAACTCTATTAATAAATTCAAAACATGTATAATCAAAACTATGTTTTCCGATTTCAACATCAATTAGATTTCCTTTTATAACGCAATTAAAATATTGTCAACAAAAATTGGATTTCGAAGCGGACCCTATTAATAAATTTAAAACCTTAATAAAAACATGTTTTTTCGATATCAAAATCAATTAAATTTCTTATATAACGCATTTAAAATATTGCCAAAAAATTGGTTTTCGAAGCAGGCCCTAATAATAAATTAAACGCCCTAATATAAAATAAAAAACAAAAATCGGATGGACCCTAATAATGAGCACCTCGGGGTTGACTAGTTTTTATTATTAGGGAGCGAGACCCAACAAATGGTAGCTTTATTTTAAATTTGTTTTCTAAAGGGCATCAATTAAGAGTCAAATTGGCCAATCTGAAATTTTCTAAAATTAGAGATGGACCCTAGTTTTTAGTATTTGGGGGAGGTTAGTAATAGGGGGAAAGGATTAAACAACACTCTGACAAAAAAAACCTAAATGAAATCTTAACTGACACCTTAGCTGAAACCCTAAATTGACACCCTAAAGAAACCCTAAATGAAACCCTAAATGAAACTCTGAAGAAACCGTAAAGAAACCCTAAATGACACCCTTAATTCCTAAATGAGACCCTAAAGGAGCCCTAAAGGAACCCACTTGAACGTTTTTAGAAATCGTGAACAGAAATCCTGATAAGAAACCCTGGAATGAAACCCTAAAGAAAGCTTAAATGAAATCCTCAATGAAACCTTAAATTGAAGCCCTAAATTGAAACCCTAAAGAAACCTTAAATGAAACCCGAAAGAAACCCTAAATGAAACCCTAAAAAAGCACTAAATGAAACACTAAATGAAACCCTAAAGAAACCCTAAATGAAACCGTCAAGAAACCCTCAATGAAACCCTAAGAAACCCTACAATGTACTACATGACACCCTAAATAAAACCACAAATGAAGCCCTAAATAAAACCCTAAATGACACCCTAAATGAAACCTTAAATGACACCCTAAATGAAAGCCTAAAGAACCCTCAAGAGACCCACATGAACGTTTGAAGTACCAAAATGTAGCAAATACAACGCAAATGAGAGGTTGACATGTCAAAATGTGACAAATACCATGCAAAATGGAAGGCAAACATGGCCAAATGTAGCAAATACCATGCACAATGCAAAGTGACCATGCCAAAATGTAGCAAATACCATGCAACATGACGGTTCTAGTTCCAAACTGTTGCAAATACAAGGCAAATGGTACCAGGAAAGAAAACCACAAAAAATCCAAAACCTGAGGCAAACAAAATACCAAAAACTATTCTACGGCCGTATTTCTGGGCACCTTTACACTTTACAAAAACAATATTATGCCTTGAATCAGCCCTCAAATATTTTGACCGGATTACATGGAAGTGTAACGCAGACTCTCTGTTCCAAATCCGGATTTGTTGGTGTAATGTGGTCAACCCAGTCATCAGCCATCCCCTACGTGTAAAAGTTTACTGTTTGCAGCTGTACTAAAAGATGTGAAAAGAGGTTTTTGGTTCTACCACATCATGTGCAGCTCGTCAAGATGCATAGCTTATAGGCGTAGATGTTCTATTTGGGGGGCATGGTTAAAGCCCATCATTTTTATATAGTGGGCTTACTGTAGTATGGGTGGGGTGAACCTACCCCATACATCCCCATACAATGTGTATATCTAATATTATGTATATTATATATATAGAGATATATATACACACTTACGTAAGTACATACATACATAATATATATATATATATACATCCTCTATCATCCTATGCTTTGGCCAGCCAAACCATATGGCCCATGGTGCCCTAAGGTACAGGTCGTGACGGCGCGGGGCAGGAGAATGGGACATGGGGATCATTCCATCGTGGTGTTTCACAAATATGTCAGCAATTTGAGGGTTTGCCAGTCAAATTTGGGAAAACAACATGTGGGATGTCTTAATGTATGTACAGCATTGTAACGTTGTACAGCTTTTTCATCTCATTTCCAAAGTGACGAAGGTTTATGGTTTGCAGAGGGCATTAAATTTCGACCCGCACGCATTCTGAGTTGCTCTTTTCACATTTTGGAAGACATTCCGGGCCGACCAAATCAGATGAGACGTTTCCCTATAGATCCACATTTGATTAGCCTAGGCCTAGATCCTCGGCCAGCAATGCTGAAGGTTGGAGTGTCACCCTATGGTGAGATCCTCGGCTAAGTTTGTTTATAACTAACATAACTATAGGGTTTATGATGTTTATTGTTTTAAATAGGCTTTGTAAACCAACCAGCATAACTGGAAACACCACCTTGTATGGATTGGCTGGAGTAGCCCTGCCCCAACCGCCAAAATCCACTTGGATCTCTCCAGGAGTGTCGGGCAGATTGTGACAGCCCGGAGCAGCGGCTGGGCAGATTCTTGTGGGGGCTCATGAGTGTTTGTGTCTCTATCCTAAGGGTCGTTCATCATCATCATCATCATCATCATCATCACCATCACCATCATCATCATCATAATCATCATCACCATCATCATCGTATATTTGTTCTGGCTATGTGGTGATTAGTGGATGCATTTCTTCAGTGTATTAATATATAGTACAACGAAATAAACAAATAAATACATATATATATAGATATATAGCCTACTTAGATACACATGTTATATTTTATATGCCGTGTTTTTCTGTGATGATATTAAATAGCAATGCTCATACATCAATGTACGCATGTTTGTATATACATATGTATGCATACATAAGCAAATTAATATATATATATATATATTAATTCATACATACATATACATACACACACATATGTGTATCTATATATATATATTTGCATGTATGTATATATATATATATTTGCATGTATATATATATATTTATTTATTTCTGTGTATGTATGTATGTATGGATGTATGTATGTATGGATGTATGGATGTATGGATGTATGGATGTATGGATGTATGGATGTATAGGTGTATGCATGTATGCATGTAAGCATATATGCATGTATGCATGTATGCATGTATGCATGTATGCATGTATGCATGTATGCATGAATGCATGAATGCATGAACGCATGAACGCATGAACGCATGAACGCATGAACGCATGAACGCATGAACACATGAACACATGAACGCATGAATGCATGAATGCATGAATGCATGAATGCATGAATGCATGAATGCATGAAAACATGAATGAATGAATGAAATGAATGAATGAATGAATGAATGAATGATGAAATGAATTGAATGAATATGAATGAATGAAATGAATGAATGAATGAATGATTGAAAGAATGAAAGAATGAAATGAAATGAAATGAAATGAAATGAAATGAAATGAATGAATGAATGAATGAATGAACGAATGAATGAATGAATGAATGAACGAATGAATGAAGAATGAAATGACTGAATGAATGGATGAATGAATGAATGAATGAAATGAATGAATGAATGAATGAATGAATGATTGAATGATTGAATGATTGAATGAATGAATGAATGAATGAATGAATGAATTGGTGCTACGTGTCCCTGCCGTTGCTGGGTCAGCAGTCCCATGTCCTGAGGGACAGTGGCAACGTCACTGAAGCCGTGATCCTATGCAGGCTGACATTGCTGTTGGCGGGTTGCGGTAAACGGTGAGCATTACCGAGAAAAACGGGGACATTGTCAAAACCAAGTTACAGACAGAATAGCATCCCTCCACTTGAAGGGTCTATGTTAGTTGCAAAGAGGGCCCAATGTACCATAATTCTGACATCATGGGTAGGGAATCCATTAGCCCATGGTGGTTTTCTGGACTTGGGGAGATGATCTTAAGCCGAAAATGAAGGTTCCCACCCCAAGAGATTGGATGGCCAGAATGTGGTGAGAACATGATCGTAACTAAGCAAGTCCCAGTGCATATCAACATTGTCATTGGATGTCATAGGTCAGATTTTTTTTATTCTTTCTGCGTGTTACCCTTTGGTAAACTAACATAACTATGGAACATCGCCATGTTTGATGGGTAAATCCACTGCAAATGGCCATTTTCAATAGTTATGTTAGTTTACCAGGGGGTATCAAGTTGAGTTCCTGTGCGCAAAGCGCAGTAGCATAGGCTTTCCGCCCGTTTCGGGGAGCTGCAAGGTTCGACTTGGTTTGGGAGGTCCGCCAGTCTTGTCCAAGGCGACGGGCTGCAATTGGGACCAAGGGAGTAAGGGATGCCACAGGGACACAGATATAAAAGGGATCCAACCAGTGGTCTAACCAGCTTTGAAGGCATGTGCTGGGCAATTGTTTCCGTGGTTCTTTCTTCTGCGATTTATCAACTGTTCCACGTTGCCGCTTTATTCGAAACGAACATGGATGCGGTCTCCATGTGGCCTTTGAACTTCCAATAAACCATTTGGCAAACAAACTTGCTACTAAGCACATCCCGAGCCGATAGAATAAAAACACCATGTGATGATTGAGCATTTGCAGCTTCTGGTGTGTACTATCGGCTGTCTCATGGCTTCATTTGGCCGGGCCACTTGCTCGCCCTTAGCCCGATGCTGAACCTCCACTATGGCGATGGGGAGAGAGAGAGAGAGAGAGAGACAGGCAGGCAGGCAGGCAGGCAGGCAGGCAGGCAGGCAGGCAGGCAGAGAGCATGAGTAACGTGGTCAAAACATGCTTGATTTATGTGTGTCATTTGTCTTTATTTTCCCATATCTTCCCATAAAAGGGCGTGGTCAATCCCCCAAGTACTATACCAACCTATGACCGTGGCCCAAGCGTTCCTCGCCGTTGCCAGTTTGGGTGGAGCTGCTGGTAGCGTTCCAATCTTGGTATATGTCCGGAGCCTCATTAGGAACTGGCCCTGGCTTGGCCTCAAAAAAAAACATCAACATCAAAATGGTGGTTTCCATAAATGGGATATCCCCAAAACGGATGGTTTATAGAAAATCCTATTAAAATGGATGATTTGGAGGTACCGTGAGGTACTCCCATTTCAGAAAACCTCCTTAAATCGTAACTGCAGGGCATAGTAATCAAGTGTTTTTAACATGATTTACTGATGACTTACTATGATTTAACATGTTTTTCACATCAGTAATCAATAGTACTAATTCCTGATTTACGATGATTCACGATGGTGATCACCCTTTTGGAACCCCAGATGCCATGGAAAATTCTGTAAGGCTATTGAAGCCTCTGTCAACCGTGCATTGTAAAGGTATGTAAAGGTCATGTTTCTATCAATATGACATTAACTGATCCCCGTTATGTCGAAACCAACTTCTGGTGGTTCAGCCGGTTAAGCTAGCAATTTTGCTGCTTGTTTATAGCCATTGTTGGTGATCCTAGGTTGCACAACTGTGTGGCATTGTGCTTTCCATGCCCTAGGGGCCTAGATGTCACAGACATGGTTTCGACCATCTCGCAGCTGCAACCAAACCATCAAAACCACCACCCTTTACGAACTTTTTTGAACATCCACCAAGATTGTGAAATCTCATGCTGTCCATTAAACTCATACATACTAAAAATGGTAGTTCCACGACGTTCCATGTAGTTCTTATTGTCCCAGAAATGATTTCAAGGAAGCATTATATGCAGGAAACCATTGTGGCCTTCACAAATATAGGGTGTTCGGTGTGCACGTAGATTTTCCCTTCAATAAATCCATTAAAAGTCACAGTAATTGCTGAAGTGTGCATCATTTTTGCTTCTTATTCCCATCATCCCAACCAGGTGGTCCCCGCATGAAAATAAGTTGGTTTGTAGATCCTATATATCATAAACCACAAGTATGGAGATATAAACTAAGTGAACTAACTTAGCTGTCTAGGAATCGAATGGAATCTAGGTGGCCCATGGTGACCCGGCTGGTGGCCCAAGGTTGGCATCACAGTTGGCAGCTGCGTCGCCTGTATGCTGGCCATTGGCGTGCTGACCTATTTCGGGCGCGGGGATAGCCATGGGATGGCCATGGGATGGCCCTATTTCGCTGATTTGATCGGTTTGTCTTGGGGAAATCGGATGACAGATGTCTTAGATTGAGGATCGAAATGGAGATTTTTAGATTTGACTAAGTCATTAATCTATATATTCATCTTGGATTTGAAGTTTGACTGGGATATGAGTGGGATTGGCATTGGCATTGTAGATTATTTGCCTCGTGGAACTTCGGGGTATTCCATGCTATCCCAGTACTGTACCATCTTTGACTGCTACAGCGTCATGAGGGTCGAACTGACAGATGTCGTATTCCCCGCTGGAGCAACAAGTTGCAGCTTTGGGATATTTTGGGGGGTTCCATGAGGGTTCCATGTAAATATCTCACAGGAATGGGAAGATAATTAGTGAGAACTGAGAACCTGCCAAATTAGCAGGTGTTCAATTCTGAAAAGCCGAAAGGCCACCTGCGCGAATGTGGATGTATGTAGATTCTGGGGGCCCATTGGGCCGCTGATTGTTCACATTGTTGTTGCCTCTAAAAATTAAGAAGGAAGTTCACTTTCCAGCCCCCAGAGAATTCGATAGAATTAGAATCAGATTCATCTTGGCGATGTGGAAACTATCTTAACAGAAAGTTTGGAACGACTTCAATTGACGATGGGCTCCTGGCAGGCGGAAACGCGACATGGCAGCGGTTGCACCCAAGGAGACCAAGGAGCCCAAGAAAGTGAAGGCGTGGGTCGGTGATGGTGTGTGATGTGGGGAAATCTTGCTGCTTGATCTGATTGGTCTGCTTGGTTGTCTCTGATTCATGACTTTCTTGCTGTGTTGAAGATGTTGTTTGGAGACGTTTGGATGATGATCACAACTAGTTGACGCATAAGAATCCACGTCTTTTCTAGGGCATCTATGGGAAGTCCAAGTTCCAACTAAAAGTATCCCCTTCACTAGTGGAGCTGTAGGAAGCTTGGCCTTCAAGGGCCCAGTCCCCAAACTGGTTTGCTGCGTACAACGATGCGCATAGCCTTGATTTGTGTTTTTTGGGTCTGTATTGCAAATGTTGCCAACGTTTACCTGGTTGACCAGTAATCAAACATATATATACATATATATATATTTATTTATATATATATATTATATATATATACACGTGCATACATTACTCAATGAAAATAATGTACTCCGTTACTTGCTAGCTGCTTACTGTTTAGGATGGTCGGAAACATGTCAAAGCCCCACAGTCTTATCAAATCTGCTGGCTGCGAGTGGTTTGACATACCCTGCTGCCTATGGAATTCTAAAGAGTTGGTGTATGGAAAGATGTAGCGGAAACGGGCCTCCTTTCGGTACACCAACACATGAGACTTGGTATCCAAGTCACTGAAGTCGGCGAAGCTTGTCAAATCGCCTGTGCAGGTGAAAGAACAGCCTGAACCCATGTTGGCTTGGGCAACGCCAAAATCCACCGGACAACAGGAGCTGGGGCCTGGGAGTTGCCGTTTTTTTTTGCCTCTTTCTAAGGATAGAAACTTAGAGATTGACATATCCCTGCTTTCGGTTCTTACAAAGCCTAGCTATTACATTGTTGTTGGTTCATATTTCCCCATGTGTGGAGGGAACCCCTTCAGTTTTATTCAACCTGTTTATTTAACCTAGCCCAGGGTTGGCGTTCATCAGTTTGAAATTTGAACATTTAACGAGTTGGCTTGCTAAGTCAATAACAGCCTTAAACGGTTCTTGATTGCGGCTTGGCGAATTCCAGGGTTTTCCTCTCCGGTGTGCCCAGGATTTCAATATGGGGGATCTACCTTCCAAGGCAGATGTGGAGCAGCCACCCAGGAATCTTGGACTTTCAGCTGGCTGTGGGTTTTTCAGTGGCAAAGTTTTGCCGCCACTTTATATAATCGGTATGTTGTTTTCAAGGAATACTTGCAGGAAACCATTATTTGATTTTAACTCTTAAAATACTATAGAGTGTTCTCCGATTCTTCATTAAACCACTTTTTGGGTGCAACCATCAAAACGTTGGGTCCAATTTAGTTGCCACATACTGCCCATACAAATGTTTGGGACCTACCCAGATGTGTCCAGGTTACCCCCATCCTTGTGGGACCTCCCCGATTTGCAACGGAAGATCCTACTTTATGAGTGTGCCATATTTATATGCATCATTTTCTAAACAAATATATACTGGATATATTTGTTTTATTTTGTTTTATTTTTTCACGGTTGCAATCATATATGAATCAACAATCATGGTTTTCTCATTCTGTAGATCACGAAGTAGACATGGGAATTCCCAAGCGTTGCTTAGAACTTTGAACTTAAAACCATTCTTGTTCCTGTTGGTAAAGTGCAAATGTTTGTTGGCCAAGTCCCCAGCTAGTTGTTCCTGCTATGCCCCATGTGTCCCATACGGATTACCGTACAACATCATTCTGAGATGTATTCTATCAACATGTCACTTACTGGTTGTTTACAAGTAAATCCCAATCTAGACTGCTCAAATCCATAGTATGTGTCTCTGAATATGCCCCCCAAGTAGCTGATTGCATACGCTCCATCTATGTTTTGCTTAAATATCGTTCAACCTCCGTTTTTGGCTGGGGAAATCTCACAATCATAGATTTACAGACCATATCAGGGCAGAATCTAAGTTGGCAATGGAACATCCTTGATAGATATTGATAGATAGTTCGATAGGTGGACACATAGATGTATAGATAGATAGCTAGATAGCCAGATAGATAAGCAGATAGATAGGTATTGGATATATATATATATATAGACCCTTTATCGACATTGTATTTTTCAATTTTTTTCTCCATATGTGTTCACTTCAAAAAAATGTTGGGATGCCGGCTTTGGGGCGCAGTTCCACTCATAGTTGGATATACTTCGCCATAGTTAAAGGGGCCCCATATCCCAACTTATGGAGGTGAACTCAGCATGGTTATATTGATGTAAAAAATAGCAGTCCCCCCAACTGGACATTGGATAGAAACGGAATTGGTACTTTACCTTTGCGGTGGCTTGGTGATATGACGCGCCTGGCAAACGAGCTTGGATGCTGACCTGCCAAGTCGCCTTTTTAGCTCGAGGTCAGCTTGACTGCTGATCTCCTGAGATGGCGATGGAGAGAGAGAGAAAGAGAGAGAGAGAGAGAGGGAGAGGGAGAGGGAGAGGGAGAGAAGTGGACATTGGTTTCACATGGTTTCACTATATAAAATTCTACCAACATGTCAAAATAACTATCCTAGAATATTATCCCATATTCAGACCCTTTTGCAATCAAATGTTGCGTGCTGAAAATCCATCACTTCGTTCAATGAAACCTCCATTGAGTTTGGGGATTTCCAACTAGCTATGTTTCATGACACCAGAGGGACAAGCTCCAATAATCCCATTGGCTATTCTTGGGATTTTGTATAGTAATAAATATGTGTGTATATATATAAATGTGTATATATTAGATACATCATATCCCCATGAAAATCACCCTCAAATCACCGCCCATTGAGACTAAATCATCATTTTTGGGGCAAAAAAAAACAAACCACAGCCATTCGAGGCCAGAGGACATGGAGCCCTCCACCCCAGTGCCGGCTACGCCTTTGGCACTGGTACCGGCGGAGGACGAGGATCCTTCGCCCCTGAGGCAGGGCTTCGCGAAGCCATCGCCGAAGGTGACGAAGGAAACGACAACGGGTGGCTGGCGGACGGTGGCAAGAAAAATGCTGGAAATGCAGGGCATTTGATGAGATTGTTTGGTTTTTCTTACTATCAACAACTTGAGTTTCATATGGTTTTGATCAACCCAACTGTGTTTTCTTGCTAATGAATCTTACAGATGTTTGCTACCAAAAACTAGGAAACACATTGAATGTTCAAACATTGCTTGCGATTTCATGGTGGTGTTTGCCAACCAAAATTGGGTTTTCCCATGTTTTCCCAATCTTTCCAGGGGAAGAGTTTTAAGCAACAAATATTCTGATATTTTGTATGATAATCCGACCTCACTGGCTGGAAGTTCCAAAAATGTTTTCATGAATGTTATAGATGACTTTCTTGTAGCTGGTAAAAGGGAACAAGGGGGAGATCGGTTGAAGGCAAATTATTGAACCCTAACCCAGCTGATGGTTTTGCGTTCCCAAGCCTGAGAAGAACGGACCCACCAGGGAGGGAAACATCAGATCTGGGAAACTCGGGGGTATGAAAAAGACATGATCGTGAACCATAGTCAATCATGATCAACCGTGCTGAAAGATGCTGGTATGGACGAAAATCTAGTCATCCCGCAATACGAGTGTTGGGGACATTCTATCTACTTCAGGTTGGTTGTTGCGGATGGATATGGGTTGAAAAAGAAGATCTCCAGCACGCCCGGAAGTGATTTTTGTTGTGCAAAGTGGCAATGATTCATTCGAAATTATTCTGCTGCCTAGGTTTAACCCATACATACCCACACTGGATCCAAGGGAAGTGATGGTTTTGATACTTCAGCACTTAAAAAAGCTGGGTGATAATTATGATGTGTATGTAAATATATACATATATACATATGTGTGTGTTATATATAATTATATATATATGCATATATATATATATATACCTGTAGTACCGTACAAGGTGATGGCGGAAGTTTTCAAGATAGGACGCTATAGGAGAGGTGAGTTGTTGTGAATCACGGAAAAAAGCAGAGCGAATCCACTGATGGACCGAAAGGTGGTTGGAGTTGTGTTTTTTGGAGTGGTTGCAATGGTTGCAGTGGTATGCAGTGGTCACCCAACCACTGCTGGATGCAGTCTGGTTTAGTGCAGTTGTAGTTGTATTGTACTATAGTGTAGCGGAGTTGTAGTTGTAATGTAGTGTAATTAGTGTAGCGTAGTTGCAAGTACAGTTGTAACTGTAGTGTGGTATAGTGTGGTGTAATTAGTGTAGTGTAGTCTAGTGTAGTGTAGTGTAAAGTAGTGTAGTTGTAGTTGTAGTGTAGTGTAGTGTAATTAGTGTAGCGTACTGTAGCGCAATGTAGTGGTAGTTGTAGTTGTAGTAGCAGTGGCAGTCGCAGTTGTAACGTAATGCAATATAATGCAATGTAATGTAATGTAATGCAAAGCGATGTAATGTAATCAGTGTAGCGTAGTGTTGTGTAATGTAGTGTAGTTGCATTTGTATTTGTGGTTGTAGCGTGCTGCCGTGTAAATGGTGTAGCGTAAGGTACTGTAGTTGTAATTGTAGTTGTAGTTGTGATAGTAGTAATTGTTGTAGATGTAGTGTAATTAGTGTAGTGTAGCGTAATGTGATTTGATGTAATTGGTGTAGTGTAGCGTTTTTATTGTAGAGTAATGTAGCGTAGTATATTTGCATTTGTAGCTGTAGTGGTAATGTTGTTGTAGTTGTAGTTGCAGTTGTAGTTGTAGTTGTAGCTGCAGTTGGAGTTGTAGTTGTAGTTGTAGTTGTAGTTGTTTGTCTATCTATCTATCTATCTATCTATCTATTTATCTATCTATCTATCTAGTCTAACCTAATCAAATCTATCTATCTACCTACCTACCTATCTATCTATCTATCTGTTTGTTTGTCTGTCTGTCTGTCTGTCTCTCTGTCTATTTGTCTATCTCTGTCTGTCTCTGTCTATCTCTGTCTATCTCTGTCTATCTGCAAGTTTAAAACGCAACTATTCTGCGAGACTTCCTCAAGTTTTGAACTTGACAACGTCAAAAACGAAGCAATTCTGCGAGACTTGATCGTTTTTTCAAGCTGACAATATCAAATACGATTCAATTCTGCGATGCTTCCTTTAAAAATGGAAAATTGAGTGCAGAGCTGACGGCCTTGTACCAATGCGTTTTGAACTTCACAACATCGAAAACGCAGCAATCCCCGAGAGTACCTCAATGTTTTAAGTTGACAACGTCAAAAGCGAAGCTGCGAGACTTCCTCAATTTTGAAGTTGGTCACATCAAAAACGAAGCAATTCTGGGAAACTTCCTTCAATAATGGAAAGTTAGCTGACGGCCTCGTACCAATGCGTCTTGCGATTTTTCCAGTCCATCTGTCTAAAGTATTGCGCCTGCCACGAAAAAGTGATGCCAGGTCATACTAGTAGTGCTGCACTTGTCACGCAAAATCATCGCAGCAAACCTGAAGATCTGATACTCCAAAATGCAACCCCTCTCAGGAATTCAGTGCCCTAACCTCCTAACATCTCTGATGAACATGTCTCTTGTACTGCGGCTGCCACACGAAATGCATCTTTGCAGATCCTCTTCCAATGTCCCACGCCTGCCAACGTTTGGGAAACTGCTACAAAACCCTCACGTTTTGCACACTTTTGGCAAGGTGCAGAATCCCTTGCGCGTGCCACGCGAAACGACATCTAAATTTCCAAAAGTGGTCCAAGAATGGTGCGTTTTGTGCATTTTGAATTCGAAATGTGCTTCGCGCCACAACGGCGTGCACTTTTCCATCTCTCATCTGTACATGTTTTTGTTTGCTCTTGTCACAAGCCCATCTATAACTATGGTATATACCAAACATTACATGTAATGAGAATCTTTCTAATCACAGCATGCAAACCATCTGTATACCCATTTATTTATCAGATCATAGTCTCCATAAGAATGTCATAACCAATGATTTGGTTTGAGGGAAAACCTACAGGATACCCATTAAATATGGTGCTTTCCTGTAAGTTTAATCCCAACAGCCCAGCTCCTGATTCGGCAGGAATTCGACATCGCCATGCACGCTCAAGGGCTTGGCGGCACGGCAGAGCCAGAGAGTGGCTTGGTTTTTTTGCTGCCACAAGTAGCTACAACATGCTACAACCCAATTTGCAAATCTTATATATACCGTAGTGACCATGCAGTAAGCTCACATAACTATGGAACATATATTCATGTTGAAGAGGTAAATCATCGATACGTCCTATCCACATCCAAATTTGCAACCCTATTTTATTAGATACCGTAGTTTATTTACAGGAACCTGGTATTGTAATACATTGTAATGCCACTACATTAGAATCCTATCAGCCGACTGTAATGCACAAATCCTTGGTGCACCGTATCTAATTGCCCGCCATGTCCTTGTGCGGTTTATCAATGCATCCAAAACGCGAAACACATGAAGATACCCACACATGTCCTGTCATGTCATGTCACGTTATCTCATTGTTGCAATGCACGGCTTGCACCTTTCCTGGTATTTGTTTGCTGGGGGTTGTATTTATGTGACATGGACTGGAGTAACATGTGCATGTAAGACTTGTTTTGTTTGTTGTGTGTGTGACCTGTGGGCAGGTGCGCATATCATTCCATCACATTCAATGCAAAAGGTTTGCAAATGAAAAACAGTGACTGGTTGCTATTTTACCCATTCACACTCCCATGATGATATGATTACTGTATTGATGAAAGTTAGTCCTTGTGGCAATGAGCGTGTTCAATGATTCGGTTTCAGTCGGACAAGAAGAACACACAGATTTGTCCGAAAATCAGGCACCCCACCATTTGCGGAGCAGCATAGCATCCGAGAATGGGGAAAATGATAGGGTACCCCGTGGTATTCCCGCAGTTTTCTCATCATTTTCCTTATGAACATGACCACTTTGGCAGCCACATCCCTGACATGCAGCTGGCGTTGAGGTACCTCTGTTGCGTCGCCTGCTGGACAACAATTTGATCCCAATTTCTGGGCCTTTTGGCGACGACAACCGTTTTTTCGATGCGGAAAGGGTACATATCTAATGTCTACAGCAGAAGGCTTGGTGGAACCATGAAAGATTAGGGAATCTCATGTTTTTTTCTTTTGGCCCGTGATGGTTTGCAGAACCTACGATTGAACCTGCCCTTGCGTTTTGTCATGGCTGTTGCTCCAGTCAACCTGTGTACTCCTACATCCTTCGTTCATGCGCTCAAGGTTCTTCTTAGGGTTTTGTCCAGCAGATAGGGTCCGACACGGGTTTCCGAACCACCTCAGCAATTTTGATTGAGGTAGATGATTCGTGTCAATGGGCAGATTAATAAATGCACTTGTTCTTCACCCGGACGTATATACAATTAAAGTATCACAAAGTCCCAGTGTTCAGTGTTTTTGCATTTGACTGGCCTCGCAACCATCAAGTGATGTCCGGATGCGATACGGTGATACCTTCCCTTTGTTGTGAGATTGTACTGGGCTGGCTTCAGCCCATTCAACTCGCAGATACTGGACAAGAATCCACCTGCCCATGCATACCCACGTGACATAATTGTGCTGAATGATGTGGCTCTAGCAGTCGCAAATAGCTCGATTTAATTGGTTTGTATAAGCACATTGAACATCATTCAGCTATCATGAACTGAGGTATTGAATATGTTTTTTTTTTAAGCTCATACAAACTAATCAAACAAATCCTTGCATTCGTCCCTGTCCATTCTCGGTGGTTCATCCCAGTTCGGTACCTCCCCATACCTTCGACCAGTGGATTAATCCTATTTTGCCCACCTATAATCAACTATATAACTATATCTTCTAACCCACTTACTGAGGTGAACCACTTTTTTTTTCAAGGCTCACACCGTTCATATCCAGTCGCGCTTAGGACTGGGCGAATCAGTTCTGGGACTGGGCGAACGACAAAGATGCTGGGCGGAAGGGCGGAACTGGCATGGGATGACAAAAATGGAGAATATCTCACTGACAGATCCCATGGGTCATATCATTCTCCATCCATCCACTATGTTGCACTATACATTACAGAAATTATTATGTTGATGTTAATTATACATATATTATACTTATATAAGTTGTATATGACCATTTGCCAAAAAACTGACAGAAGTTTTGTACTAGTTGTTAACTATTATATAGTGTGGACCAAGTGGTTTTTCCTCTTCGCTATGAGGTGGCACGCAACTAATTTCACAACTTCCGCAAGGCAGCGCTAGCAAACCCGCTAGGTTTGCGGTATGTTTTTCACACCCATGTTCAAGTTGTTTTTTTTTTTTTTGCGTGTTCCTGTTTGCTTGTTATTTCAACATGAAGAAAAGTCAAGATGCAACACTTAGAACCTAAGGATGTCTTAGTGAATTTCTGTGCAACTCAACAAGTTTCAATTGTTTTTTAGTGGTTGCGGCTCAACTTGTATATTTGGAAGATACTCCACGGATACTTCGATGATTGACCGAACTTCTTCGGTGGATCATCCCACTGAATATTGTCATCAATGCAGCTGACAAAAAAGTGCTGTAGCTTAAAACATCAACCAATGGCTAATGCATAGTTTTCTATTTGCCTTAAGTATGCAGAAACCATGGAGAGACTCATATTTTGATACTGTTTTCGTATGTTTTCGTGTCGATATGCATATGTACATACACAGAGAGATAGATGGATGGATGGATGGATGGATAGATAGACAGATAGATAGATAGATAGATAGACTAAATTAGATTAGATTAGGTTAGGTTAGATTAGATAGATAGATATGTATGTATATATATATATAATTTATTTGCGGGGCTTCGTTAGGTCAGATACCTCCTATTACCTACTGCCGTCCAAGGAGGGTGCTGGGCAGCAAGCCTTGCCTCCCCCACCGCCACCCATGATACCAAGCCATGGCGAGGCGGCAAAGATTTAGGAAAGCCGACAGGAAAATGTTCATGTCAACCTACAGGACTTCGACTTTCTCGGGCTTACTATTCTGAAGAGAATTAGTTTGAACAATGTACTGTATGCATTTGTATGCACTACTTTTGGTGTCAACCCCTGAACCAAAGCAAGGTCTACTAATCAGGAGTTGGCGGGATTGGCATCTGTCATGCAGAATTTGGGGTTGTCAGGGTAAATCGTGAAAAACTTCTACAAATTGAGTTATCTGGGAATGGCTTAGAGGATTCTTGAAAGAGTTAATCCCGTTTGATACCCCCAAATAATGAATAGTTCAGTGAAGTTAGTACTCCCTAATATTAAACATGCCCTATAAACCAGGGTTTAGCGGGGGATTTAAACATTTTTGGGAAGCTCATATTGGGGGAATGGATTCTGGCATCCTTGGCCATCAGCACCTGCCAGCGCCAGATGCTGCGTGGCATTGGGGCCTACAGTGAAGGACCACCGCCTTTGCCGCCACTGCCGCTGAAGTTTCTGGCTTGAGATAGCACGGTTCTGACAAGCGGTCAATATGAATTTAACTTAACTATGAAATTTATAGCACCCCAATGCGCGCAACTAATCCCCAGGCTTGCTGTGGGCACTGAATATATTAAATTAATAAATGCTTTCAGGAAGGCGTCACATGGCCACGTGAAAATTGCTGGAGGGATGCATGACTTTACTGAATTGCCGCCGGGCCATGCACTGCTCAAATTTTCACCTGGCCGGACCATGGCATGACCCTATTGATCCCCCTTGGAATTTCCTCTAGGAAATCGGTGGGGGAGGGGTCACGAAACATGCATTTTTTCCACACATTTTCGGTGGTGTTTGGCTATGTTGTGTGCCTAAAATAGTGTGCTTTTACTGATTTTCTAGAGACCCTGCTGGGTGGTTTGATGTTCTAGTGATTCTAGTGCTTTTAGATACTGGTGCTTGATCATGGGGTACCCTGGCAATATCAATTTTCTAGCGGGGTATACTTTTACATTCTTACTTGGCACCTTCAATTTTCTAGAAAATTCATGAAATTCGATGAGTTTTTAGGGGGCGTTCAGTGACCTTTATTCAACCATTGCTAGGCCCAAAATGGTTGAACAAGGGGACAAAAGAGATACCGGTTCATTCCTTGTTGATCCTTGCTGGGATACTTTACAGGGAACATGTGGGAACACAATAACAGTTATTTACTAACAAGGTTAGAAGGACCCCAAAGTGCGAACCTGCCAGGGGTTCTAGCTGTCAAAGTGCCACTCAAAAGGTCTACAAACCCCAAATCCTATGAGAAAAGGCAAATCCATAATACTGCAAATGTGGACCGGGGTTTTTCCAGCAGTGGGTGATGGGTGATGGACGGTAGTGGGAATCACTGAATGATTCTGAGATGTTTTCATTGAATCTCTAGGGAGTCAAACGTTTATTGGGGTCAGATTAAAACCCACTGGATGCGTAGAAGATTGAAGCAACTGGGGTACTAAATGTTATGGTTTTAGGGTTGCAGTAAGTTGTCATAGAAGTGGGCCCTGGGTGGTTTGATTTTCTAGGGAGAAACGAGGCACATTTAAAGAACAAAAACATGTGCACCTATCCCCCTCCCCATGGGATCTTCTAGAGAAATAACCCTTTTTGGGGGGATCCAAAGCAATTACCAGGCTTGATTGTCTAGATGCGAGTTTGATTTTGACCCCAGTGACATCGATACTCTAGAAACATGTTTTTTTTTTTCCGGGGGAGGGGGGTGCACCCGTTTTCTATCTAGAAAATCGATGCAGGGGGGAATGAGCTTAATTCAAAGGGGGATCCATATTGCAAGTTTTTGTTGTGTGATATCATTTCACCTAACCATGCAGAGAGCGGCTGTCTCGGTTTTGTGACAACTTTATATGAAATCACGTCGCGGATTTCCATTCGGACTGTCAGCCTCAACGTATGGAAGTTTCTTTGGCGGATGTCTATTGGGGTTGCAGGTTGGATTCCAGGCTTGTAGAAATTTGTAGAGTAGGCCGTTTCAATGTGTGGGTACCAAAGAGAGAAACCATTTTTAGTAGATGGGTCAGATAGGTATGTAATATTTAGATTGTTTAGGTTTAATAGTATTATTACCATTTTTATTATCATTATATTAATCTTTTTATTATTACTGATTATGAATATATATATATATATATATCTATGCACTGCATATGTATATACATTGCACACTACCACGCGCATGCACACACACACACACATTTTATCTATTTGTTTGTGATTGTTTGTGTGTTTGTCTATCTATCTATCTATCCATCCATCTATCTATCTTTCTTTCTTTCTTTCTTTATTCCTTTCTTTCTTTCTTTCTTTCTTTCTATATTTCTATCTCTCTATCTTTCTATATTTCTATCTTTCTATCTTATCTATCTTATCTATCTTATCTATCTTATCTATCTTATCTATCTTATTATTTAAATATTTATCTGTATCTTATCTTACCTTGCATTATCTTAATCTAACCTAATCTAGTCTAATCTAATCTTAGTCTTAATCTTAATCTTAATCTAATCTAATCTAAACTATCTATCTATAGGCAGTTATAGACATATGTTTGCAGTAGAGCTACCATACCTATATCATTTATGTATGTATTACATACCTGAAAACCTCGATCATATTCAGTTGCACATGTGTTCTATGCATATTGATTTGTATGTCTATATATATATATATGTATATAATATACTGTATATATATATATATATGTACAAGCAAAAAAAACAGTAGTCCTCAATTCCTTCGATGGACTCTAAGGCTGCACTCGCGTCCTTACCTGGGGTCGCCGTCGACCTCGGCGGCACATGCACCCCCGCCCTTGACACCGCTGCCGACAACGATTCGGTCGCAGGTGCCGGGCTTGGGACCTAACATCATCATCGACTATTTCTTGGATAATGGTGATTTAGGGTGTATTAAACCAACGCATTATGCAGAATGGCGCGAATATCATGGGACAGAACCAACAGTGGGGATACCGTTTGGGAGTCAAACATGGCTGGGAAATCCCCGAACTCAAAGGGTATTTCAATGAGAAAATCATTGAACTAAATGGGAAGATTTGCCATCGCCATGTTTGAGCACCGGAGGGTGCCAATCATAGTGGTGACACCTGAAAAACATGTGTCAGGCACTCAAGAATGTCGATAGGGAAATGAGTGGTCCTGAATGGTCATTATCCCAGTTAGCGGTTGGCCTAGGAATCCCACATGATGAGATTCCCAATGCTGGCGGCCATGAAGTGAATGGAGAGTTGCCCCTGTGGCAGGTGTCCATGCCATTGGAAGACCCTTCCCCACTGCATTCGTTGCCTTTGCCCTCTGCAGATGCTTGGACTGCAGGGGAAAGTGAAGGATGCGAAGGATCTCGTGTTGGAAAGGATTTTTGATGAGAATTTCCGCACAAAGCGAGGAACTCTGGTTTCAGCTTAAGCACCAGGTATACCCTGAGAACCACCTTCGTTTATTTGCTGATCCAATTACAAGACATCGCAAAAGCAACACCTGTTTTGGAGGGAGATCGGCTCTAGGGCATTGCTCACCATACCATTTGTGTAGGGTAGCTTGAGCTACTGTGTGATGGCTGGGTGACTTGTGTACTGCACTTGCAGTAGCTGGAAATGGGGAAACCGGCTGGAGCTAGTGGGGGGTGAATTATTGTTAGCCTCAAAGATCCTAAACAAAAAGACTCACAATTCTGCATGGCTAAGGTGTTTGAATTCTAGTCATGTTGCAAAGAGGAGTGCCCTAGATAGCAAAGTTGGTTTATAACTCTTATGACTTATTCCTATGGTTTATCAATGTTTATGGTAGATATACTATAGTTACTGTAGTTGGTTATAAACCCACTCCTAACTGGTAGGTGCCACCTGGTAGGCAATGCCCCAATTGAAATCGCGGATGTCCCATTGCATCCCATTGCAATATTGGCTGGATAGAGGAAGCCAAAGGGAATGGATCATGGGGGTAAGAAGCAAAGAAACCCGAAAATTCACTTGAGCTTGGAAACAATGTTTTGAACAAATCTTCACTGAACAGTTTCCATGTATACGATGGTTTAGTACGAACTTGTGAACCATGGTGATTTTCCATCGCTATCTCCGTTTGTAGGCACTTCATGGCACTTCAACAACATTTCTGAAAATTGAGCCCCCAGCTTTGGGCGTTCCAATCGCCCCGCAGGTTGAGATGGGTCATCACCACAGCGAACCCGTGCACTCCGAGAGTAGCGTCTCCAGGCAACGGACCCTCGAAGGCGCGGCCGCAATCATATCCCACAGGTATACGATTTGTAGCTGGATTTCAACAATGTATGTAGAAACATGTCGAAACGTATTCTTAACTAAGTGCATTCAGTCATAACCCATTTGCATATATATATATATATTACAATGTTGCTGCATGCTTCTGCTAAATTCACATTTGCCACATTGGTTGTTTGTCGTATTTTGTCGTTTCCTGTCATATCCACTGCAGGTTGGCCTCTATGTAGAAAGAGGCTGTCGGTAGGTAATTGAAGTGGAGTATGAATCAATATGTTTTGTTTCACATTTATTGGCATGCATTCAGCACTTGTTTGATATTCGGAAGGAATCTAACATCATCTACTATAAATATTTCCAACATGCTCTAAGTGACAGTTTATGGTTGATGTTCCATGATTTCCCCAGGTGTTTCATGGTGATGTCCAACCGGTAGACCTTTTTGTGTGATGTGGTGTGGCCCTTGCGCCATCGACCAGACCTTCTGTACAACCCCGAGATCGACGGAGCGTTTGGCGCTCAGATACCATTGATAGATATATACCAACTATGATGCAGATGTCACGCATAGCTGCCTGAACATGTTTGATGCTATGATTTTCATGACCTAAATTAAACACAGACATGTATGTATATCATATAGTCATATATATATATATACAATATATCTATCTGTGTGTATGCACATATTATATGCTGAGAAATGCACTGACTACTTAGCGTGCCCAGAAATAAAGGGGACCGCCTGGGACCAAGGTCGAGGCCGCCACAGGTGCGGCCGATCACAAAAAACTATGGTGGAACGTTAGTTCTTGTTTTGTTTGTAGTGTAATATGTATATATAAATATAAATATATACATATGTTTTATTTGTGGGTTGTTTCACATATATACATATATTTATTTATTTATGTATACATATAAATATACATATATTTATTTTGCCCCTGATTTTGCCCCTCCATATTCATTCGAACAGCAGCGTAGGGCCAACGGCCGTAAGTCGCGAACTAAATCGGCTTTGGCAAAACGACATATATATATATATATACACATATACATGTTATATATATATATATATGTGTGTGTGTGCCTTTCTTATGTATATGATTTGTCCTAGCTAGGGTTTATGGTATATATATAGTTAATGTCCACCTCTGATTTATAAATAGGCCCCCCCCCCCTCTCTGACCCTAAATAGACTTAAAGCCACCATAAAACTTGTTTGTATGTAAAGGATTTAGTCTTCCACAATTGAAAACGAATACATAAAATGCAATTTCAAAAAAAAAGGAATCCAGCAATTGTTTTAGTATTGATCTAGTACTCATGTCATGGACTTAGTATTGATCTAGTACTCATGCCATGGATTTAGTATTGATTTAGTATTCATGTCATGGACTTAGTATTGATTTAGTATTCATGTCATGGACTTAGTATTGATCTAGTACTCATATCATGAATTGAGTATTGATTTAGTATTCATGTCATGGATTCAGTATTGATTTAGTATTCATGTCATGGATTTAGTATTGATCTAGTACTCATGTCATGGATTTGGTATTGATTTAGTGTTCATGTCATGGATTTAGTATTGATTTTGTATTGATGTCATGGATCTGGGCAAATCTGGGTTTAGGGCCAAAAACAATTAGCTTTATTCAGGGTCAAACTCTAATTAGTGCCAAGGCACCTCATGGGGGGGTACCCTTGACGAGTTGATTTGGGATTGATTTTGGATAATTTTGAATAAAGGTTTTGAATAGAAAAGAGCAACCATTATTTTTTGAAAATTTGAAGTTATCAAGGTAAGATCTAATGAGCTGGCAATATGAATTAGTACATGAAAGCCACCTCAAATAAAGCATGGAAAAAACAAAATCAGCCCCATCTGGGCAAATCTGGGTTTAGGGCCAAAAACAATTAGCTTTATTCAGGGTCAAACTCTAATTAGTGCCAAGGCACCTCATGGGGGGTACCCTTGACGAGTTGATTTGGGATTGATTTTGGATAATTTTGAATAAAGGTTTTGAATAGAAAAGAGCAACCATTATTTTTGAAAATTTGAAGTTATCAAGGTAAGATCTGATGAGCTGGCAATATGAATTAGTACATGAAAGCCACCTCAAATAAAGCATGGAAAAAACAAAATCAGCCCCATCTGGGCAAATCTGGGTTTAGGGCCAAAAACAATTAGCTTTATTCAGGGTCAAACTCTAATTAGTGCCAAGGCACCTCATGGGGGGTACCCTTGACGAGTTGATTTGGGATTGATTTTGGATAATTTTGAATAAAGGTTTTGAATAGAAAAGAGCAACCATTATTTTTGACAGTTTGAAGTTATCAAGGTAAGATCTAATGAGCTGGCAATATGAATTAGTACATGAAAGCCACCTCAAATAAAGCATGGAAAAAAAAATCAGCCCCATCTGGGCAAATCTGGGTTTAGGGCCAAAAAAATTTAGCACTATTCAGGGTAGTTTTATTATTTAGTTGGGGAGAAAATTTAGCACTATTCAGGGTAGTTTGATAAATCGTAGGTCAACATTACTATGATTTACAAAACAAATTTAAACTGGGGGGCGCCACTTTGCATAAAGTCATGTTTCATGGACCACATGGCCCCAAGGTTATAGTACCTGTGTTGTCTATGAATATGATATGATCATATCTTTCTAACATCAATGTGCATACATATCTACAACCTATTACATCCTCAATATAACATCGAGTAGATATAACCTTCATCAACTATTGTAACATATTGTAACCGTTATACTCGAGGTCTAAGGCCCTACTTTAAGGCTATTATTTACTGTAAACATCACCTAAATACGATATCATTGATATGTATATAATATATACAATAAACACAGCAACCCCATTTAAAGGACCGGATAACCCCACAAATCAACTTCTTCCAATGACCACCAAGCAGATGTGAAAATGAGATGGGAAAGGCAGGAAGGAAAGGAGATGGTGCAAGACAGGTTGGGTGAAAGAGCTGTGTGCGACAGTGTTGTGTGTGTAAGTTTGTGTATGTAAAAGTGTTGTGTGTGAAAGAGTTGTATGTGACAAAGTTGAGTGAGTAAGTTGTGTGTGAGTAAGTGGTGTGTGGACAAGTTGTGTGTGAGCAAGTTGTGTGTGTGTGTGGACAAGTTGTGTGTGAGCAAGTTGTGTGTGAGCAAGTTGTGTGGTGACAAGTTGTGTGTGGAGAAGTTGTGTGTGGACAAGTTGTGTGTGTGAGCAAGTTGTGTGTGGACAAGTTCTGTGTGGACAAGTTGTGCGTGAGCAAGTTGTGTGTGGTGACAAGTTGTGTGTGAGTAAGTTGTGTGAGGAAGTTGTGTGGTGACAAGTTGTGTGTGGAGAAGTTGTGTGGGAGTAAGTTGTGTGTGTGTGTGTGGAGAAGTTGTGTGGTGACAAGTTGTGTGTGGAGAAGTTGTGTGTGGAGAAGTTGTGTGTGAGTAAGTTGTGTGTGGACAAGTTGTGTGGTGACAAGTTGTGTGTGAGCAAGTTGTGTGTGAGTAAGTTGTGTGTGGACAAGTTGTGTGTGAGCAAGTTGTGTGTGAGTAAGTTGTGTGTGGACAAGTTGTGCGTGAGCAAGTTGTGTGGTGACAAGTTGTGTGTGGACAAGTTGTGTGTGTGTGAGTAATTGTGTGTGTGAATAAGTTGCGCGCCACCAGATGCCATATAAGTGCCACACCTGCCACGCAAAGTGAAGGTCCATGTCGCCAAGTGCCACGCCTCCCACGCAAAGAGCCGCGGCGCCCACGGCGTCAACTGGGAACCAAGCGCGCCACCAGAGCCAGCCCAGCACCATAAGTGCCACGCCTGCCACGCAAAGTGCACGTCCATGCCGCCAAGTGCCACGCCTGCCACGCAGAACGCACGTCCATGTCGCCAAGTTTCACGCCTGCCACGCCAAAAGCCGCGGCGTCCACGGCGTCAACTGGGAACCAAGCGCGCCACCAGAGCCAGCCCAGAGCCATAAGCGCCACGCCTGCCACGCTAAGCGCACGTCCATGTCACCAAGTGCCACGCCTGCCACACAAAGTGCAAGTCCATGTCACCAAGTGCCACGCCTGCCACGCAAAAAGCCGTGGCGTCCACGGCGTCAACTGGGACCCAAGCGCGCCACCAGAGCCAGCCCAGTGCCATAAGTGCCACGCCCACGCAAAGTGTGCAAAGAGCCGCGGCGTCTACGGCGTCAACTGGGACCCAAGCGCGAAACCAGAGCGAGCCCAGTGCCATAAGTGCCATGCCTGCCACGCAAAGCGCACGTCCATGTCACCAAATGCCACGCCTGCCACGCAAAGTGCAAGTCCGTGTCACCAAGTGCCACGCCTGCCATGCAAAAAGCCACGGCGTCCACGGCGTCAACTGGGACCCAAGCGCGCCACCATGCAGCCAAGTGTCATAAGTGCCACACGTCCATGTCACCAAGTGCCACGCCTGCCACGCAGAATGCACGTCCATGTCACCAAGTGCCACGGCCTGCCACGCCAAAAGCCGCGGCGTCCACGGCGTCAACTGGGACCCAAGCGCGCCACCAGAGCCAGCCCAGTGCCATGCCACGCCTGCCACGCAAAGTGATGATCCATGTCACCAAGTGACGATCCATGTGTGAGCCAGTTGTATGATGACAAGTTGTGTGATGACAAGTTGTGTGGACAAGTCGCGGTGGGAGTAGAGTTGTGTGGTGACAAGTTGTGTGTGGACAAGTTGTGTGTGTGTGAGTAATTGTGTGTGTGATGACAAGTTGACAAGGTGTGTGAGTAGAGTTGTGTGTGATGTGGATGATGTTGAGGAGGAGGGCAGCGGGAGGAGGAGAAGGCGGGAGTGCAGACCCAAAACAAGAACCCCACACAAAGATGTGGGGAAAAAAATCGAAAACATGTAACTACAAACTATAGTCCCTTGGGTCATTTAGTGCAATGGAAAATCACCATTTAATTGATAGCTAATTCGGAAATTTATCAAAAAAGATGTTTGGTAATTCACCATAGCCATAGCTATGTTCAAGTCCCATAGCTATCTCTTGCGTAAAATTACAACAGTATAAATTAGTGGACCACAGCTGTGTTCTAAATTCATCCATCGCTATCTTTTCAGCGGTAGGCCGTGGCGGTGCGGCGTCGATCCTCGGGCCGTCCTCGCTCCAGACCTGGGAGGCGGAAAAATCAACCATTTGTAAAGGATTTTCCTGGGGAAACCATCGGTTTTCATAGGTTTTCCACATCCATGAACGTTTACCCTAGGGAAATTAAGATTTTTTTAGTGGAAATTCATCTTCCAACCCCTGCCAGGGTCTGCCAGTGAATTTATTCCAGGGTAACCAATAGGAAGTGTGCAATATTGTCAACCCTGGATGAATCAACCACGCTGCTAGGCTGTTTGATTGCTGTGTAAGATAATTCCTGTTTGGGGAATACCAACCTTGATTCACCATCAATGGTTGATTAATCCAAGGTAGACATTAAACGTATGTATATTTTTATTTTTTTGTATGTATGTTCGGTAAAGCAATACTAAACCATTCCAATAGGAACTCATATATGGGTGGTATAAACCATCGAAATATGGGTGGATTAGGTCTTTTGTGCTTTACAATTATACACTATATATGTGTAAGCAAATAGATATATATTTTTTTGTTATGAAATATGTGTACACTGTGTACAAGATCACGGGGAAGCATTGGATAATTAAACGTAAACATTAAATGCATTTTGGTGTAAATAATATGATGTAATATGATGCAATATTACACATTAATGATTTAATCAATGTCATTGGATTTGTCTTGTGTATTTAATTATAGTTATATATATATATATATACGACCTAAATTACAATATATTTATATATACATATATTTGGAGGGTGTACATGTATAAAGCTGAATAGATGCAATGGAACGTCTATAAATTAACGAAATGTAATGGGTATATAAGTAAATAATTTACACTATTATACACACATAACCAACAATATTGTGGGATATATGTGTATAATGAAGTAGATGTAATCATTGAATTGCATATGCTTGCACATTACACAAAACATACTACTTCAGTATTTAGTGTTTATGTTTGTTCACTTTGTGCATATGGGTTTGTTGGAGACTTGCTAATACACACACACACAGACACACATACACAGAGTAAAGTCCATTTTGACAGGGCATATGATCAACCATTGGATGGAATGTGGCAACCAATTTATGAGACAACTCTACATACATGTACACATATACACAACTTGAGCAGTTTCAACAACTGCAGTTGATGAGTGATCCAGTGGATGCATTGTAGCAACGCACCTAGGTTTTTAGCCTTTTTGGCATTAGATGGGTGTTACCATTCGCCTACAGTACAGATTTACCATTCCCTCGTTACGCGCTCAGCAGGCTCAATTTTTTTGAACAGAAAAAACATAGGAAAAAATGAGCCAGCTACATACCCTTGAGCCAGCTCGGTGTCCCTCACCATCCTGCCCAATTCATATTATGTATCCATCCAACACTGTCACATTCGTTCGCCAGCTTACCTTGACGCTACGCGCTCAATTTTTTCGATGTTGTTTTCGTGTTTTTTTCGTCCAAACAAATCGAGCCAGCTCGATGCCATTGAGCTAGACCGATGTGTTTGAGCTAGCACGGTGTTGCTGAGGTAGCTCGTTTCACTTGAGCGAGCCTGCAAATTGCATCCCAATGTGTCCAATTGCCAGGTTCAGTCCCAAATGATTTGTTCAATAGAAATGGTACCCCTGTTGCAGCCCAGAAATTCAGGAGCCATGTTTTGGGCCAAATCTTCTTAGACAGCGGAACAACATTAAAGTCAAACACATGACCCCTTCTGAAATTGAGCCGGCTACATGTTTTGAGCCAACTCGAAAACGAGGAAGATTGTGGATTGCTACTTTCAATACTGGCATACGGTTTTTAACCTAGTTGCAGCATGAAAAGTATGGCTGGGGATGGAATCGATACGAATTCAATGATTCGTTTGTTGATGGCTATATGTTATCATGTTATGGGGAAGTCACGGGAAAGCAATTGTGATTTCATGAGGCCTTGAAATAGATCCAACAACATGATATTGTTTGTTGGTTGATGATTGCAGGGAGCTTACTGCCCAATATATTACATTAGAGATCATCATGATCCATTTCGGCAGGGAAAACATGTGATGTAGATATTGACAAACCCCGAGGGAAATCCATCTACGTCAACGGGAAATGTTGATTTACTGTAGGGCCCTGAAGGGCAATAGCACGGATGGCTTTATACACATTCCATGGCCAAGATGGATGTTCACATCAAGTATCCGGCCGGAATATATCCAACAACCTATGATTCTTCAATATTCGTGGGTTCGTCTTCAATATATTCTTCGCGAACAACATCTGTGGTTTTTCCCAGTGGCTACCGGGATGTCCGAAGAAAAACCACTCGGAAGATCCCAAGGAAGCTAGTCCTTGGATGACTGGACATGAATGGGGCGACTAAACACTTGGTTTCAGCTCTTTTTGTCCCCAAAGTTGATTTATTTGTTGGAATTTGGTCATCAATCCATTAATTGGGGGATTTATATGCCCACTACTGTATGTTCGAATTCCCATGGAGTAACAGATGGATGAAAATACCACAAATACCTTCTTGTAGGTTGTGTCTCCCACTATATTCCCATGATATCTTCATTCTTGTTAGTGAAACCACCCATTCATCCCATGGAACCTGACCATGGCACGTGCTCAATTGACCGCGCCATGCTCCGGACAGGCGGCGCAGTGGACGTCAACCTTCGGCCTGGGAGCCCAATAGATGGTTCTGGAACATCCCCCAAAAGGCAAAAAAATGGATGATAACTGGGGGTTCGCCCATGGCTTAGAAAACCTCCATATATCAAATTTACACCATATACACACACATATATATATATACTGCGCCAACTACTAATTTTCTTGATATTGGTGGCACATGTGTGTCTCATAGACATGGATTGTTTGGCATCATGGATGATCCACTGGTGGTCAGGCCGTGATGTCCCCGTGCTTGGACGTTGATCCAAAGCAGCCAGTTCTTGGGGTCCGGGTTTCAAAATCTGAAACGAAAGCTTTGGATCAAATCCGTTGAGGTATCACTGCTATGATTTTGACATGGTGCTTTCATTATCAAGGGAATTTGGAAAGCAATCTTCCGAGTTACCGAGCTACCAATCTTCCGAGTTGCGGATGACTTTTATAACATCAGCAATACATACAAAACAATACAACCAATACAATGCATACATAACAATACATAACATTACATACATAACAATACGAACATAGCACACACACAGCAATACAAACATAACAAGACATACACATTTATAACAATAATTACAAATGTGCGTAGATACATTCGGGTTTGCCACTTTGCATTGTGCTGATTGCATTGTAATGCCTGCATGAATGTTGCAAGAGACTTGTTTTGGCAAGGATGCCGGAGCGAGAAACATTGTTTTTTTTGTGGAAAGTGGCTGGTGCTGGCCCTGAAGGGAAGCTCCTTTGTGAGGCGGGTGCGGGCTGGCTTCGACCCTCGGAGTAGTCCGCACTGTCGTGCTGCTTGGATGTGTTGCGCATGTTCCTGCACAATGTTGTTTTGGAATCTAGTGTTACAAAACGCATTGCAATGCCTTTTGTATCCCTTTGGAGCAGCAATTTCTGTTGCCATTGCGCGTAGTTCTATGGTGCTTTGGAACTCAGTCTTTGCAGTTGCAGTGGGGTGGCTGCATACATTTTTTTTTGCTGCTGCGGCCGCATGCGTAATAGCATTGTCTTCTGCAGCTGAGCGTCGTAAATCGTATTGGAGTGGCTGCATCAAAGTTGCGACGGTGACTTTTCACAAGATTTTTTCAATTTTGACGGTGATCATTTTCATTCCTTTTGAAAAGTGCTTCAAAATGTTTTTTTTTAATATTTGTTTTGGCTTTGGCGCCGGGATCCGGTCGTAAAGCAGCAATTTCTGTAGCCATTGTGTACGTGAAGGCTTCTGTGTGTAAAAGCTTGCTGTGTGAAAAAGTTTCTCTGTGTAGAAGCTTATTTGTGTAAAAGTTTCTCTGTGCAAACGCTTCTCCGTATAAAAGCATCTCTGCATAAAAGCTTCTCTGTGCAAACGCTTCTCTGTGCAAACGCTTCTCTGTGCAAAAGCTTCTCTGTGTAAAAGCTTCTCTCTGTAAAAGCTGCACTGTGTAAAAGCTTCTTTGTGTAAACGCTTCTCTCTGTGCAAAAGCTTCTTCTCTGTGCAAAATCAATGCAAAAGCTTCTGTGCGTAAAAGTACTTTGTCAAGCTTTGTAGTACAAAGTAGTGCCGGAAAGTGATTTGTGCAAACTTTGTAGCACAAAGTAGCACTGAGCAGTACTTTGTGAAAGCTTGTGGTACAAGTACTGGGAAGTGTTTCGTGCAACCTTTGTACTACTTTGTGCAAGTTTTGTAGTACACAGTAGTACTGGGAAGTGTTTTGTGCAACCTTTGTAGGACAAGACGGATGGCAAGTGCTTCGCGCAAGTTTTGTAATACGAAGTAGTACTGGGAAGAGCTTTGCGCATACTACTTGGAAGTACTTTGCAAGTTTTGTAGTACGAAGTAGTACTGGGAAGTACAGTATGCAAGTTTCGTAGCACAAAGTGGTATTGGTAAGTGCTTCGTGCAGGGCTTGTAATATTATCAAGGCCAACTAAGCTATAGAAGGGTTGTAGTAGTTTGAATTAAAAATGCGAAAGATGTGTTTTTAAAATGCATTATTTTTGACATGTGAAAAACATGTATTTAAAAGATGTAAAAACATTGTGGAAAAATGTATTTTTTGAGGCAATTTTGAAGCTTTGTTCCTCTTCCCTCTGCATTTGACTTTATGTTTTTGCTCCTGGTAGTCACTGCTTTGCTATAGATATATTAAACAACAGATCTGCGATCTGCACAATCCACTTCCGATCGATTTGAACTGCTCCTCTCCGATTTTCAACCTGCAGAAGTTTTGGCAGGCAGCAAAGTAACTGCAGCAAAACTGGACCCAAAAAAATCAAAGTTCCACCTTCCCAACTGGATGTTCCAATGTGTTTTTTCACATGTTTTGCATTTTTCTCGTTTTTACCAAATGCATTTTCAAAACGTTTTTCACATTTTTTCCAAGCGCATTTTCAAAATGCTTTTTTTCACATTTTGTGAAAAATGTGAAAAATGCGAATAAAATGCGTTTTGAAAACGGGCTTGGAAAAAAGTGAAAAATGCGTTTTGAAAATGTGAAAAAATGCGAGTAACATGTGAAGACATGTGAAAAAAGGGAACAAAAGGCAGTTGAAAAGTTCCTGTTTCTTAGCCCCATGTTTCCCATGTGTTTTTCCAGATATAGGTTTTTCTTCAAGTTTTCTTTGAAATCAAATTTTAAATTATAGACTAGAATATTAAACTATATTAAACTATATTAAACTTAAACATTAGGACTCCACATAAGTATAAATTCATTTTCAATGATTCATGCCAATAGGTTCGCAATGAATGCATTTTTTAATTTAGAATAGGAAACATTTAAAAACATGTAATTTCCTGTTTTCAACATTTTCCACAATTTTTCACACTTTTTTCACATGTTTGAAATGCATTTTTCACATTTTGTTCCAAGCGCATTTTCAAAATGTTTTTTCACATTTTTCACATTTTTTCACATGTTTAATTAATCATTGTTTTCAAGCTTGTAGCTGGAAATGGCCATTGTACTTGTAGTACAAAGTAGTACTGGGAAGTGCGTTGTGAAAGTGTTGTAGTACAAAGTAGTACTGGGAAGTACTTTGTGCATTCTGTTGCCAGTCTATGCGTACAAGGGTCTCTGTGTAAAAGCTTCTGTATGTAAAATTGTCTCTGTAAAAGTGTCTCTGTGTAAAGGTTCTCTGTGTAAAGGTTCCCGTGTGTAAAAGCTTTCTGTGTGTAAAAGCTTCTTTGTGTAAAAGCTTCTGTGTGTAAAAGCTTTTGTGCGTTAACATGTGTAAACGCATCTGCGTCTAGAAACTTCTCTGGGCAAAAGCTTGAGTGCTTTTTTTGCGTGCAACAGATATTGTGTATAAGAGCTTCTCTTTCTCACAGAGTTTTCTGATGTACAGAGGAGCTGAGATGAGTTAAGAACAGCTTCGTTGATATGAGAAAGGCTGAGCAGTGCTCAGATGAGGTGAACAACAGTTGGGAAGAACTTAGATGACATATGACATGAGATGAGAAGCGAAGAGATGAGATGAAGTGTGAAATGTGAAGTGTGGAGTGTGAAGCGCGCAGTGTGAAGTGTGAAGTTTCAAGATTGAGTACGCACGCACGGGCCTGCCTGGCGCAGGGCGCATGCAGGTCCTATAGACTATAGCGAAACGGTCTTATAGTATAACGCTAAGGCAACTTCCGCCCCGCCTCGTGGGGGTACTGCTGGTATTTTTCAATGTTATATTGTATTTCTAATATGTACATGTATTCATGACATATGAGAATAACAGAACAGTTTCTTCGATGACCAGTGGTTACTGTATCGAGGTGAGGGACATCAGCCCGACTCAGGAGCCCCGTGAATTTGTGCTGAACTCGGGAAATTGTAGATGAACATTGGATGTTTTTCCCCACCTGCCAGGTGAGGGTCTCTAGATTTTGACAAAAGTGCAACTCCTCACTCAATCACTCCTTCCCTCCTTGACTCGTGGAGCGCGCCTGGACCTGAACAGCATATCACCAGCTCGGGATGCAGTGGGCTAGAAAGAATGCCAGATACAATGTCAGAAAATGTCAGATAGAATGTCAGATCTAATGTTAGAAAAATATGTCAGGTAGAATGCCACTTGGCAGGGGTCACTCGAAGAAAGTAATTTGTATTTTTACATATGGGTACATATGGCATGTAGATCATCAATGTTCATCACATTTTACTGGATTACTTGTGGTTTATCCTGGCCTCATGGGCCTCATATATGTGAAAATTGATGTGTGTCCCTGAAGACCTAACGGGGAGACTTCAGCAGGTGTCGAAGCAAGTCCCTACCTTCATGGATTCCACGGGGATTAGCGTCAAAACTTAGAACCAACAAATACCCTTTGGTAACCAAACATAGCACTTGGAAATCCCCTATAAATGGAAGTTCCAGCCAAATATGAATAAGGGATTTCCATTACCATGTCTGCCATGTTTGATTACCGGAGGGTATACCACAATTGATCTAAAACATGGTTAGACAGACCATCGTCATCTTCATCATCATCATCATCATCATCATCATCCCCAGAGCAGTAGGTAGATAACCACCCTTGAGATTTATCACCAAACGAAAAATGGGTAGAAATGGTAGAACAATATTCCAGCATCTCAAGCTACTCTTTCATGTCCGGTTTTGATCCATACATTGCCATAAGTCCTTTCTGTGTTTTGATCCTCTCTGTCCGTTTCCAAAACACACCACCCTTGTATGGCACGCAGCGTTGATGTAATACCAGACACCCAAAACATAAACCAGGTATACAAGTAGTAGCTTAACCTACCAGCCACACACAGACACCTTGGTGTATATATATATGTGTGTGTTTTTGTTTTTTAATTATATATATATATATATGTATTTAAATATGTTTATATATATATAAAGTTTATATATGTATATAATATACAGTCTTCCTGTATAGTATATATGATTTTTTTAAACTGTTGCATGATTGAACTGGCACGCGCACACATCATACCCTCCGGTACTCAAACATGGCAATGCAAAACCCCTTATTCATGGTTGGTTTTCCCAGCTAGAAACCTCCATTTATAAGGGATTTCCAATTTTTATGTTTGATTTCTAGAGGGTATTACAGATGGACCATTGAGGTTCTCATCCTCCCATCCGTCAACCACAGGAGAGACGGAACAGCCGTGCTGCAGCCAACCTCCATGATGGCGCTTCCATGTCAGCTTTGGAGATGTTCAGCCTGAGGTGCTTTGGGGGCTATGGTATGTCCACATCCCCTGGAAAGAGGAACGACCACATGATAGAGTAACAAAAACAATAGGCCCTAAGGCACTCAACCGTTGACATATTGTTGGTCATGTTTGGGTACGTTCAGAATTTCTTTATCCGAAACGATTTCGTGCGTTTTTTGTTCCATGATGAGTTGACATAGCAATTTGGAGATGGGTCACAATTTCCAGCCGACCATGTTCAGCATGTTCACCCCGGGGCCCAGGTTTTGACACATGATTTGATGATTTGCCACATGTCAATGTGCTTATGTTGTGGTGTTCCAGATGGTTTTTCTTAACATGTTTGTTGCACCAAAGAATGTTTACAAGGAATCAACACTCAGAAACAAAAATAACTATACAGCAATATTACATGAGTATAATTCTAGTCATTGAGAAGGCCATGGAGGGAGAAACATAGAATCATATTTCAAAACTTGGGTACCACAAAAATTGCATCATGATTCTCCCTTACTTTCCCCAGGTTTTTCTCAAAACCCAGCAGGTCTCCCCAGGGTCCACCGGAGCTTCCTGCCATGCGACTCTCATCCCCCGCAGCTCGGCAGCGAGGCCACGGGATAGCTCCAAAAAATAACCGTTACTCTGCTGTAAACGGTTTCAAAAAACTATGGAAAATCACCATTTTTACTAGGTAAATCAACCATAAATTGGCAATTTTCAATAGCCATGCTAATTTACCAGAGTAAGTCATGGGAAAATGAGAGTCAACCCGTTGGATTTTGGGGATGGCCCCTTTTAATCCCCTTTACCAGCCCCAAAATTTCGAAAAACATTGAACGGGGGTTCTATTGTTATATGGATTAGATGTTTGCTCTGTGGGAAGGGGTTTTTAATTTTAACATAGAGTCTTATTTGTCATTCGAGAACTAGTGGCGAAGCCCTCAAAAGTGATGCGTCCTGATGTTACATGATGTGGTTGGACAACGACTTGATTCCATGTGGATGGTGAGTTGATGTTTTCCATCACTCATTTTTTTTATGTTACTCCTGAGTCTCTTTGGGTTGAGGCTCCAATGACCTCTTTGTTTTTTTGAGCCATTCATGCCGCAAAGAATCCTACATCATAAGTGGCAAGTGGACACCTCTTAGTTGACAGACGGATTGTCATGTTCCATTCAAATGGCCATTTTAGTATTGGATAGTATTGGCCATTTTCCGAAATACGTTGGATGGTTTACTCAGCTGGCTGATATTCTGTAATTGGGTTCAAACCAACAACTAGAATCAACCAGATATGATCAGATATGTCTCATTTATATACACTAATTTATCGCCTTGCTGCTTGTATATGCCACGATGTTCTTAGTTTTTTGCTTTCAATCCTCATTTGAGTGGTAAACGCCCAATCTTGCTCTCTGAGCTCCCAACTTTTGTCAATTTCTTAGGCTGGGTTGCTCCAGCCTGGGGTGATGGGAGAAAACTTGTCAATCCATGGATCCCCATAAAAATTATAAAAATCCCAATGAAATGCGCCCATTCATATGTCCATTGTACCATTTTGTTTATGGAAAGAAATAGCTTTTGATCCATCCTCAGACATTTTCCTGTTTGGGGGTAAGTCCCAATTTTGGATGTCAGTCCCTGATTTTTGTGTATATAATATGATCATTGGATGGATCAAAACTCAAAACATAGGTTCCATTCATATTTTCATGAAAAACCACCCCGTGATTTATGGAAAACTTTGCCCTAAATGCGTGCCCACGTTTCCCATGTGATCCATTGAGAAACTAACATGGGATAAATGTGATTTCACGGCACTGTGGATGGTTGCGAAGTCCTGCCCTTGGGTGGTTGAAACCCGATAGTGGGATTCTTACCACCTATCAACTGGTGGATTTCGCAACCATCCACCCTATGTCCCATGCCGCTCCTAGGACACGGATGCAAGGCGTTCAGGATCGGCTGCCAGCAGTGCAACGAGATCTGTCGCTTCCTCGACCTTGAGGAGTGGTCAGGGTCAGCAGGGGATGGGCTGGGGAGATTTTCGCTAGATCCTGTAGTATTTATATAATGGACCGTACTAGTAGGTTTCTAAGGTTTCCCAAAATTGGAAATGGATCCCTTTTTCCCCAACAGCGTATGCTAATGGGGTCTTCAGCCCAGAGTAGCTCAGGTGTGCACTGGTGCAGGCGCCGGGTCAAGTTCAACGAGGTTCCCGAGAATGTTCCGAGGTTCCGGAGAAGGTCTGGGAGGCTTTGGCGCAGAGCCAGGTCAGGTTCAGCAGGTTCTGGAGAAGGTTCCGGAGAAGCTTCTGGAGAAGGTCTGGGAGGCTTTGGTGCAAAAGCCAAGTCGGGGTTCAACATCCGGAGAAGGCAGGCTTTGGTGCAGAGTCGGGTCAGGTTCAACAGGGTTCCGGAGAAGGTTGCCAGAGAAGGTGTGGCAGGCTGGTGCAGAGCCGGGTCAGGTTCAACAGGGTCGGGTTCGGGAGAAGGTCCCGGAGAAGCCTGAGAGGCTTTGGTGCAGAGCCAGTTCCGGGGAAGGTTCCGGAGGCTTTGGTGCAGAAGCCAGGTCAGGTTCAACAGGGTTCCGGAGAAGGTTCCGGAGAAGGTTCCAGCAAGCCTTGGTGCAAAGGCAAGTCAGGTTCATTGGGTTCCGGAGAAGGTTCCGGAGAAGATTGCAGAGAAGGTTCCGGAGAAGGTTGCAGAGAAAAAACATGTAAAAATAAAACGTTGCGGCTGTTGGGGATACCACCAAAGCTCTTTTTTTTTAAATATTTGGAGTACATTTAGAATAGGGGGAAGGGATTAATATATGTATATATATAATTGACAGTAATCCTCAAGCAAAGATAAAACAAAAGTAAAATCTTATACCAAGACATATCGAAAGTTACTGGCTATTTTTAGGGTGCTAATTAAAATTACTATAGTTGTCCCATTTTTTACAGCAAGATGGCTGACATTTCAATGGTCGCCAGGCCATGAGGTGATCCATGTCCTATCCATATACACTTTGGCAATCAAACATTGCAATGGGATATCATGGGATATCCATGGGTATCCTCTATAAATGGATGTGTTCATCGGAAAATCAACTACAAATTTGAGATAACGTGAATATCCTGCAGTAATTCGAAGTGGTTCGCGTCAACATCATTCATTAAGTTTGGCGATTCTCCGATATTAAAGTTTGAACATGTTGGAACTTCGCATTGCCATGTCAAATTACGTGAGGGTGATATGTAATATGTTTAAGACGTGTTACGATCCTTGCGCAGCCCGCAGGCGTGCAGCACGGAATGAGGCTGGAAGATGGGCACGGTGGGTGTGAGTTTGTGTGGCACCAGTTCTGGGACTTATCAATCACTGGATGTCCAAGAGAAAGTACTGCAATAAGATAATCATAAATAATCATGTTCATATTGATACGCGCGTGTTGTTTGATTTGAGTTTATCTATTGTTAATCTGCTCTTTGCAGATTTATGATAAATCCGTAGCTACACATGTTTGTTTTTTCTTGGAAGTTGTGTTGGAACCTGTCCAATGTTTTCACATCGGACCATGCTTGAATCGGCGAAACGCCACTGGCACTGCGCCCAGGTGATTGTGAATATCAAGGATGCGGATCCGCGCCTCGGCTGCAGCGTGCAAACACAATTTATTTCCGTAACCGGTATAATTATATACCTGCGTGTGAACAATAAATTGTAATTATATGACACTAGTATAGCACACTCACACATATACGTATATATATATATATACGCACACATACATACATACATACATACATACATACATAGATAGATAGATAGATAGATACATACATACATACATACTTACATACCTGCATACTTACATACTGACATACTTACATACTTACATAATTGCATACTTACATACTTACATACTTACATACTTCCATACTTACATACTTACATACATACTTACATACTTACATACTTACATAGTTACACTACATTACATACATACATACATACATACATACATACATATACAGTATACATTTATACGAATATACATTTATACATTTATACACACATATATATATATATATATGTACTTATCTATCTATATATATATACAGATGCGTTTGTCTAAAACCCCTATTTATATAACAGCATTGTAGCGAATCTTTGGCCAAGTTTGGTGCACCAGCTAGATTCCCATGCTCCAAGGCATCGATGATCCCATTTGGCGCGCTGAAAAAGACCAGGGTTTCACTGAGCAGCAGCGCTTTTGGCCATCGCCGATGGCACTGACCATTTTTGCTGGAGATCTCAGGTGGGAACCTTTTTTTGTTTTGGCCGACAGGGGCTACTCTAAAGGTGAACAACAACATGGGGGACATAGGGTTTTGGGATGGCAATGGAAAGAGAGACAGAGAAAAAGAGTGCGTTTTTGGGTTTGGGCGAGAGCGATTTCGCGGAGAATTTCAAATTCTTGATTCTTGCGGCAATTGTTTGTGTTTTCATATTGAATATTTGCAAAGCAATCTTTATTACATCATGACAGTATTTTTTTCAGCTGACAACTTCCGCCGAGTTGTCCAGCGACGCTGCACACCAGCGGCTGAAGAGGGGCCAGCTGATAACGTTTTCAAGAGCGCAGGGTGCGCCAAAGGGTGCAATGGCGTGTTGGACTTGATATGTCAACAATTGTAAGTGAAAACATGCATATTTACAATACATTATACTATTAAATGTATTAATTATACATAATTACTACATATATATATATATACACACGTAGATATTTTTATATAAACATAAGAGAAACATACACACATATATATATATAGATTATGTGTGTATATTTGTATGCATACACATGCATATGCGCAAAGAGTGTGTTCAAGCAAACCCTTGCCCGGACCATGAAACCCTCTAGAAGTGATCAGATTGGCCAGTTGGTAAGTGTTCGAAACTCAATGTCCATCCTTTCATTGTAGATTTTCAGGGGTCATCATGAGACCATCAAGCAACTGACAGCTATGACATCCTATGACTCAGCCACCCTTAGTCGATGCTCCCTGCGGTCACGAGCGAGTTAAGACTGAGAACACACCTCCAATCGGAGGTGTTTTGGAGTGGCGTTTTCCTCTCAGACTTGCCGAGACTTGATGAAACGTGAAGTGATGAGAAGCCATGTCGCTTGCACATGTTGGGCAGTCAGATCTCTCTGTTGGGATATTGTGGGTTTTGGGCCCTTCAAAACTCATACAATTCATATATTGCGATGTTTGAATCCAGGATTTTGACCCAGCTCCAACTACAGGTGTTGAGCCAGTGTTGTTTTTACTTTTTTGCGGATGAATTCATACCTGAAAAGTTTGAAACCAGTTATGATCGGGTGCCAGGATCATTGAAACTGATTCATTGAATCACTGAGCTGGACGCTGAACAACTCCTGGTGGTGCAAAAGGTGCTGCTGACACAATGTTTCTTATTTAGGGTGAGAGTTACCGGCGAAAGGGTCCCAGGGTGGCTAACATTGCGCTGCTTGCCACTGCTTGCTACTCTTACTGTCTTACCGTAAAGGAATGTACATGAAATAATTTGATATCCTGCAAGGGCCGGGCAATCATCCAACATCATCCAACTATAGCACCAAATAGAGATGGAGTAGCTACAAGGAAAAACCCCCCGAGTGGTATGCCCCATAGATCCTAATTACCCAAGTTTCAAGTCAAGCTAGCCATCTAGGGGGCCCAACCTCATAGATTCGTATCAGCTTGAGATTTTGGATCAATCACTACAGGTCCCATGGGCAAATCGGTTGGTCCCAGGACTTGACCGGAAAATCCACGGATTTTCCCCGGATGAGTTGAAGGTAATAGGTGGAAACCTTGGTTCCCTGCATTTTTGTTCAATACCTAAAATCGATCAGATTGTGTATATGTATATATATATAAACCTTGGATATTGATGGCCACAACAGTAATCCCATCCCCTAATATTAAATATACACCCCTCAAAACGTTGGATAAGTATAAGACTTGTTCAGATTGGGAACCACATAGATTATCAGTGGTTGATAATCATCAGCGAAACATTATTTGTCCAATGTATCCCCATATCTTTGATGGTGAATTACCAATTGTACACGTGTATCAACAATTGTGCAGCTGGGTCATGGTCTTCCATACATCATGATAGCCACAGAACTGCTCTGTGGAACATCATTTTTTCGGAGCTCCAGCTACCTTAGTGACACAGGCACATGGCAAGGTGGATCATTGCTTTAAATGTGCCCTAGTATCATATTATACATCAATATATATATATAAATAGTATAATTCTCTCTCTCCCTCTCTATATATTTATATAGATATACATCCATGCACATCTAGTAATTTCAATGTCCACAAGCTCACACATCCAACTGCAGTGCCTAATATACGAGTTGAAGCTGATTTTGTCCGTGTAACTCTCCCCTTTGTAGTTCGTTTGTCTTGCTCGAGCCGTGTGTGTTAAATGCGAGTCCGAAAAATCAGCTACTGAGAGCCTTGAATCATGGCAGATCCTGGTAACGATGGTAACATCACAGCAAAGCATCTGTTATATGGCTGGATGAATCAAACCATATCAAACCATTTAAGTGTGTGTAGGAAAATAATAGGTGGCATGACTCAGGCCCCTATTCCTTCAAGTCATTGACACTCAATCAGTATGACATGAGGTTTTTGTTCCAATCCACATGGTTATGAATTCTTTGTCCCTCTGGGTTGACAAACATTATTGATCTTGAAAGAGGGTGAACACCACCAAGAAAATAGATGTAAAGATGGCGTTCCCTACCGAAGCAATGCAACATATATTGCTTGACTAGAATATCTCGGGAGTTGGTTGGTTTCAACTTCAAGGTGTTCGTTTGAAGGCCGACCTACGGTGCAGGAGAGAATTTCGACATGCTTGGCTGACCACGGAAAGATATATAGTATATTGTATAATTCTACAGTATTTGGCAGTATTGGACCGTTTGTATTTGGTATATTCAATGGTATTTACAATGTATGTTTATGCTCCCGTTCACACACATGAATAAATTGTTCAATAAATCAATATAAATAAATAAATTTGAATGAATAAATATAATAATAATAATATATATATATATATATACGATCCGTGATCAATTGCTTACTGTGCAATGGTGACAAGGCATTTGCTGGCAACGCTAGTTTTTTGGCCCAGGAGATTTGCAGAAGGACCGATGAACTTTCGTCAGACTGCCGATGAAATCAACATTGTATGACCTGCAACACCCGTCTTTCGAATTGTTGCTTCAGCCTGGGTTCAACCTTTACCGCGCCAGCTACCCTGGGTGTGTCCCATTCAAAGGGAGCAGCGTGTTGCTAAGTTTTACTGTAGTTTTTTTTTAACCTAGTTCTACTAGTTCTACCATGTTCTACCAGTTAATGACATGATCCTATCCATGTTGATGTACTGTGTTACATTTTAATGTTCAAGTGCAAGAAGACCGAAAAAAGTGCATCGCACATCATCATCAGAGCACTTAGAGTTCGCTGTGTAAGATCCACAGGCGGAAGAAATAAACACACCCAAACAACACTAAACAAGTCTTGGCATGTGCTGCGTGCCCGTGCCAATCGGGAACATCTACAGGTGGGGCATCCTCGTTTTTTGATGCAGCTATTACGAGGTTGTGGTCGGCAATCCAGCAAACCTGCTTAAAATATTTCTCCGCATTTACGATTAAAAAAACTAAGACAATTGACGCATGATTTCAATCAGTTCCCATAGGCAGATGACTTAGAGAGGTGGATTCATTGCATGTTGTCGATTCATTCAATAAATGGAAGGTATCTCATCTCTAACTTTTGACATGTTGTCATATTGGAGTTCGTACGCGCAAGTAACAAGGGTGGTAGACTCTTGATGTGGAGGTATCCAGTGCTGCTCATTCGCTCAGTTTGAAGCATGGTTGCTCACATGGGTTTGTCCACTTTTTTTCGCAATGGCAACCCTAGACCCGAAATATTCTGACCAATCATGAGGCTGCATGATTTTTACCCAAGATTCAGATTTTTTCAGACAAACCTCTCTCTCTCCCTCTCCCTGTGTATATACATAGTTTGGATAGATTCCTTGCCTTTTATTATAAGGTTAAACCAGCTTTCCCGCAGATTTTCTACCCTCAAAACTCTCACACCTGTTATCAATGGAATTTGCCTGCATGGTCAATGCCGAATCCAATGGGCGTGCCGCAGGCATCGATGAAACCAACTCCTCCCAAGACTCCCCCGCAGCTTGGTAGAGCTGATTCCTCTGTGGGTATGGTTTTATAAGCTTCCGAACCATGTTAAGCCAACGTGAAACCTAGCAAGGGAAATCATATGAAATTAATTGAAATCATCACAATACAAAGAAATCATAAGACACGCACACACACACACACACATATATATATATATTAATATACATATTTTTACATATATGTATATATAATAATATGAAGTGGTTCTCTTGTGGGGTGTCCCACTTAAAGAAATTCATATTATAAAGCGGCTCACTTTTGGGGTGTCCCACGTAGAGAAATTCATATGAAGTGGTTCACTTGTGGGGTGTCCCACGTAGAGAAATTCATATGAAGTGGTTTACTCGTGTTGTTGGGCAACCTGGCCAATATTTCCTCTGGAAAGTAAAACTTCAACAATCAATCGCATCCAGTTCTGATCAAGAACGGATTTCAGCCTCTGGACATTTGTTTTTGCCCCTCATGGGGCAAGGGTGTTTTTCTCATTAGGGTTTGAAATTTTGCACACCTCGGAAGATGGAGGTATATATTTATATATATATATAAGTGTGTGTGTGTGTGCGAACTTCCTTCAGGCCCTCAGGGTGGTGAATTTTCTTTGCCTTCGTGGAATAGGTTATGCTGCGGTTCTGCTGGCTGTTGTCGTGTGTCATTTGTTGTCGCAGATGGATCCATATACTAACCAGCCAATTGTTTGGAAGGGGTTAGGTTACACTGGGCCATGGTCAGATTGACCCTTTTGGGCCTATGCCTGTGCGCAGTGAATTAATACATGGGGGTATCGGTCAAAAGACTTTTCGTTTGGAAAAAAAAATGAAGCATAGAACGAGGGACTAACCATCCAGAATCCTGGCCATCAGCCCCTGGGCTTACTGAGTAAGATTGAGTAAGCACAAAGAAATATCAAG